ATTTACAATTAGAAGCATCTTTTTCATACTTGTTTAATATTTTTGTTAATAACACACCGATTACAATAAAACTTTTTAGACACCATCGCGTTACCATATATACAATACTCCATTCTTAAAAACGGTTATACGTAATATTTATTTTTAAAAAAGATATTAAGAAAGACGAACTTATCCGCCGCGCGAACTTACACACCTTTCCCCTGTACTCGAATAGACACAAAATATGAAATCTTTTTTTTTTTGAGGTGAGGTTTATAGGAAACCTTCCTCTATGTATAGGAAGTCAATAAAATGGGTTAAAACTAGGTGGGTAATTTGAAAACACAAACGATATTTCAAATTACCCGCCCAGTTTTAACCCATTTTATAGACATATATATATATATGGACTATATACTAGTGGAGAGTTTTTGTCGTGAAAAATTACTCTCCAATATTTGTCCTAGCCCCGGAAAGTTAATGTACAGTTTTTATGCAGTTTTCCCTCTGAGACGCTTGTTTTACCTCGAACGGTCCCTGAATGGCAAAATGTCGAATCTTTTTTTTGAGGTGCGAGAGTTTATACTCTTTATGTCGAATCTTTTTTTTGAGGTGCGAGAATTTATACTCTTTATGTATAGGATATCCTATACATAAAGAGTATAAACTCTCGCACCTAAAAAAAAAGATTCGACATTTTGCCATTCAGGGACTGTTCGAGGTAAAACAAGCGTCTCAGAGGGAAAACTGCATAAAAACTATGTACATTAACTTTCCGGGGCTAGGACAAATATTGGAGAATAATTTTTCACGACAAAAACTCTCCACTAGTATATAGTCCATATATATATATATATATAACTAAGATAAGGCCACAACAAATTTCTATACGGGATCAGAGTCAGTTTCAATAGAATAATTACAAAGTATATAAAATAATTTCACTATTTCCGAAACCTTCATGAAGATGGCTTCGACGCTCAAAATGCATTTTCTTTCGTAGGATCAAAAAAATTAAATATATTTATATGCAAGAATATATTTGGTACCTAAAACCTTTTTTAAAATGATTTAATCTGTTTGGTCCTGTGAAAAAAATTTTCCTCGAAGCCATCTTCATGAAGGTACAATTAAAAGTTGGAGCCGCACATATAAGGAAAATGATTTTAAAAAACAACTTATTCTTATAATAAAATATTGTTTTAATAATTTTTTACTCTTTTTGTTTTTTTTTACTCCAAAGTGTCTAATAATGGTCTTTTTGGCACTTTTCGAAGCACTCTAAAAAATTAATGTGACATATATACCTTCAACATTATAATCTTCAAACGCCAAACCTGTGTGGCAAATATTACAAAATTTTTATTGCGGGGACAACTTTTTACCCCGTGAGCACAGCAATTTCAATGTGGAAAGCAAATTTTTAAAAAATTAATTAACTTTTTTTAAATTTTGTAACTATAGAGGTATTCGATGCCGCAGATTACGAATCTGAAGTCAGTTTTTAAAAATTCAAAATGGTGGATCTAATATAGGATGTCGAATCCTTAGATTCATAATTTTAAGAAAATTCATTGATTTTTTAAAAATTCTGTCACCATATTGAATCTGCCATTTTGAATTTTTAAGGACTGACTGTATAGATTCATAATTTGCGGTATCGAAACACAGAAAATTAAAAGGCATTAAAATAAGCTGCAACGCTTATTATTTTAATCTAATTTTGCTTATTTTAATACCAAAATGGATTAAAATAAGCAAAATTAGATTAAAATAATAAGCGTTGCAGCTTATTTTAATGCCTTTTAATTTTCTGTGAAATAGTTACAAAATTCCAAGAAAGTCCATTAATTTTTAAAAATTTGCTTTCCATATTGAAATTGCTGTGCGCACGGGGTAAAAAGTTGTCCTCCATAATTTTTTATAATGCTTCGAAAAGTGACGAAAGGGCAATTTTTGGACACTTTGACCGCGTTTTCCTTAAAAAAGTTTCAGAAAATAACTAAAAGACTAATTCTACTTGTCAAATGCAATTTTTTTGAATTTCCTGAAAGTTAATGATATTTTTTAGGTTAGTTTTAAAGAACTGCAATTTTTTTTGCATTGAGGCTCTATACCGGAACTCCTTAAGAGTATTTTTTAAATAAGTAAACTAAAATCGATTAACTTTTGAGATGTCGGCAGAATTTTGTCTTATGAAAGTGCTTTTAACCACACTATGTGCCCTAAACCAATATTACTGACTTTGAAAGTGGTAAAAATACCAAAAAGTGTAAAACTATATCATATTTAAAGTGTGAATATATATAACCTTATTAAAAATGGCAATTTCACAAATTTTATTAAAACTACAAATTATACACACTGAAAAAAATTTGCTTCGCATTAATAACTATTAACCATAGTAACTTTAAATCTAGTTATGGTTAATATTGTCAATGTCGATTTAGTAGAATTGACCCCTTGTTTCCTATAGTTATATTAACTAAGGTGTTTGGTTAATATCGCATGTATCTACACGGAAAGAAATGCTATTGAAATTTCAGCCATATGAACTTATGGTTGAGATTTCTGGTTGAATTGGTTATACTGCAGTCTGTCAAATTGGCAGGTAAGTTAGGTTATATTAGCCATGTGAAGTCTGATTCAGACATCTTGCTCTTTGGAAGTACAATTCGTTTGGTTAGATTACCCAAACTGTATGGCAGAAACGCAGTGCCATGTTAATTCAGTTATACGATATGACAGAAACAGCAAGAATTATGGCAGTAATTACGAAAAATTTCTTTCAGTGTATAGTCAATTTTGCTAAAGGTTAATTAGTCAAAGTGATTATAGCCAATGTAACTAAGATACCTGGTTATTCTGATAAGCTTCCCCATAGTCATTCCGACTAATTGTCGAAATCAACTTTGACCAAGATTGCCTAGTGGGTTCCTCTCGTAACCGCAGGCAAATTAGTCAATTCCTGGTATACGGGGGTTATAAGAATTTTTTTCAGTGCACGAATAATTCCTATATGTGACCTGGACAGTTAAAAGGGACCTTTTGTCCGAAAAAATTAATTTTTTATTAATTGGTGATTCTGATAGAAAAAAGTTTTCTCTATATCAGAAACACCAATCAATAAAAGAAAACTTTTTTCTATCAGAATCACCAATCAATAAAAAATCGATTTTTTCGGACAAAAGGTCCCTTTTAACTGTCCAGGTCACATATATAGGTACACACTGTAAAAAAAAGGAGTTGAATTTCAACTCCCTAGGGGATGCTATAAAAATCCCACCCTTTATTTGGAGTTGAAGCGAAGGGAGTTAGTTTTAAGGAGTTAATTTAATTATTAACTCCCTGTTTAAGTTGATTTTTAACTTGAAAAATTCAACTCCCAACTCCCTAATTTTTTTACAGTGATACTGTTAAAAATCGTGCTTCAACTTTACATTAAAAAAATTGAAATAATATATTTTCAACCTGAAAAAGTGTGAATATGTTTGCATAATGTCATTATTGGTTGGACAAAAAACTTTAAGCCAATGAAATAAAAACATATTCGCACTTTTCGAAATTATGAAACTATACACTGCAAAAAGAAGTATCTTAATGTAAGATGTTGTGGTATAGTCATTTTTAAGATGTTTTGGTAGTAAATTTTTAGTTATTTGAAATATCTTAGTTTAAGATGTTAATAATATCTTTGCCAAAGTGCTTCACATATTTTTAATAAAAAAAATTTTGAGGTTAACTATGGCCTCTTATGTAAGATGCTTAATGTATTTTATATTTTATAGTAACTTCAAATTCTGACGTATCTTAGAATTTACAAGCATCTTTTTTCTAAACATCTTATGACCCCACAAATATCTTAAGGGGCCATTCATTAATTACGTAAGGACGATTTTGGCTAATTTTGACCCCCCCTACCCCCATGTAAGGATACATAAGATTTTTCGGACCCCCCCTCCCCCTTCTTACGTAAGTTTTTAACAATATTAATGTAATTAAAAAATTAATTACATCATAATACAAATGGAAAATACTTGGCAAAATCTTACGTAAGATTAGCTTCTACCCCCCACCCCCCCACGTAAGACCATGTAGAGATTTTATAAACCCCCCCTCCCCCTAAGGACCCTTACGTAATTAATGAATGGCCCCTAATTCAAGTTACTTATAGAAACTTACCGAAGTAACTTACATTTTAAGATGGAAGAAATATTTTAATTCTTGTTAAAATGCAAAAAGCATCTTAAATATTAATAAGATACTTTATACAAAATACCTTTTTTTAAGATGGAAGATACCATTTTTCCATATTACATCTTATTGTAAGATACCAAATAAGTCACTTATTTTTGCAGTGTATAAATTCAATCTTTCTATTGTGTAAATTTGAAACTCGATTTTTAGAAAGATTTTTTTTTTGCACTGCATTAAAGATTGTGAAACTTTGTAAAATAAATATTCCTTTCAACTTTTAAGAAATATGAAAAAAAAAAAATTTTCATTTTAACATTAAAAAATAGAAACTTTTGTTTCTCACCGCAAGGAGAAATCGCGATATTCTCTCCCTCTCTTTGTAACTTGCTATGCTTTTACACAATTTACAGTGAGTTTTAGATATATAGTAGGAAGAGACCGAGAGAAAGTGAGGCAAAATAGAGAAAGAGGGAGAAGTCCAAACGTGTGTTGAGCACCATCGATGAAGGGAAGTAAGGGATCGAGAAAAAGATATATAGAAACAAGGTGGGGTAAAAGTTCGTTCGAGTTGTACGTTACAGGGGTGTGTTGGGGAGGGGGGAGAGATGAAGAGAAAGAGGGTGGGAGAGTAGGGGAATGACATATAGGGGAAGATTGCTTTGAAAGAGGGGTGAACGGGGGGAGGGGAGAAAAGTACGCTGGCAGAGAGAGAGAGAGAGAGAGAGCAATACGAATACACTGTTGAGAAGGGGATAAAAGAAGGGGCAAGAGGAGAGGTTATATGGTTATGGGAGGGAGGTTCTCGTTCCATTTGGAGTTCGGTTTCAGTAGTTCAGTTCAGCTTTACACTTTGTGAAGAGTGGGTTTATATCGTTCGTATTTCACGTTGTATTTTAAAGACGCCTTAGCTGATTTTCTAGTACAACGGAATACCGCGCTCTTACAAACGGCGCCATCAGTCTCGCTTCTCTCCTTGGATTTTCTGTGGTGTGCTTTGCCCATAAAAAACTATATAATTAGATAAGTTTTTGATTAGGGAATTGTGTTTTTTTTTTCTCGTGATATTGAGTGACTATAGTGGAATTATAGTGAAAAAATGAGTGAATTTTTAGAAAAGTAGCATATAGATGTAACGAAAGTGAGAGAGAGAGAGAGAGAGGGGGGAAAAAGTCGACAATCGGGTAAATTTGCGACTTGCTGGCCAAGGCAAGAGAGGCGTTCTACTGCAGGCCGCCCGGCTATGTCGATGTCTGGAGCGAGGTCGGCGCACACAAAGAGGATCAGTCTGTCGAGACTGTAATATAGTGTACACGGTGTGTGTGTGTGACTATCCTGTAGCAGTTTTTGTACTTGTAACACAGAGGTGTATATAGAGATAGAGAGAGAGCCGGCTGAGATAAAGCCAAGAGTAAAATGCTCTACTGCCAGAGGGAATAACATTAGGCCTCCGTACGTAGGCTCATGCGTACAGAGGTTAACCCGCCTTCACATAGGTGAGTTATACATGTCTCTGTTACTCATACATGCAAAAAAAAAGGGTGGGGGGACGACGACGACGTATCAAACGCACGGTGCAATATCTCGGATAGGAAAATGATTCTAAATTCGTTAGGGTGTGCGAAAAAGCCGGGTGTTACGATATTCTCTTAAATGGAAGTATTTCTTTCCAAATTTTAGTTTTGCCCAATTTTTTCTTTATAACGAACCCGTACATGCCCTTTAAAAAAGAAAATCATTCCTAAATATACAGTGAAATATAATTTTTTTTTTTTTTCTTTAATTTTTGATAAAATTTGATGCGCGGTATACGAAAAAGCAACTCAACATGCGGAAGTAAGTTGAATTGTAACACATCGTTGCATCAGTGGTGAAAACTACCACATGCTATATAATCCATGAAAGGTGGGGTGAGCCCTTCAAAAACGGAAACGATTATGAGACGCGGATGCAGGTTTCCTTCTTGGTATTTTTAAGAAGAGTAGTATTATTCTGTTTTAATGTACAAAAAAAAATATTTCAATAATTTTTTCGTATAAATACAAGAAAAAGTGGTTCTAGAGAAAATTTATAGAAATCTTAAATACTACAATATTGTACTTTATTGCTCTAGTAATGTTAAAATTTTAATTTCTCTTTTAAAAAAGTTGTGTTTTTTTTTAAATAATCCATTCACGTATTTATATAACAAGTCCAAAATGTCAAAGTTTAAATCTATTCAAAGAAATATTGCAGAATTACATGTAGTGACCGTTTTTTTTTTTTTTCTTTTTTCTTTAATAAACGACATTGTGACTTATCGACACAGCGAAAAGTAGAACATTTAAAAATAAATATGTATATTTGCGATTGTACTTTAAAGGGAAGTGATTTTGCAATTATCCACGTGAATTATAAATAACTTAAGAGGGGTTTAGGAGAGGGGTGTTATGAAAAAAGCTAGAATTAGTTTTCAAGTTACATTTTGTGAAAACTATCTACTTTACCGACTTATTAATTTTTAGAAGAGAGGAAAAAAAATGTGATTTTGTTTTTTTAATTTAAAAATTATAATCAATATAAATCTAATCAAAAAAAAAATGTATCTTTTTCAGATTTGTCTTATGAGACAAAAATTAACTGCCAAAATGACGGGAATGAGTAAGAGAACATATCTTAGGGAAGTTAATCCCTATTTGATTTGCCCATTATGTCGAGGATATCTAATAGATGCAACAACTGTTGTTGAATGTTTACATTCTTGTAAGTATATCAATAATAATAATTATTATTATTATTTAAATTACAAAGATCACAAAAAAACAAATTTTATATTCTATACTTCGTCGGGTTAGTGGAAAATCATACCATTTCAGAAAATTGTTTTAAAACATACCAACTCATGAAAGCCGTATAAAACATACCATTTCGGATGACATTTATAAAACATACCATTTGAACGAAGTTTTTTTTTTTTTGCTTCGATTTTAAGTTGGTAATACTAACTAGAAATAAATAAAATACATTTTTTAAAAGAGATATTTATATTATTTAATGCAATAATATAAATAATAATATATATATATATAAATTATATAATATAAATAATTCCATAATTATCATAAAATTCATTTATTTAGAAATTGTAAACGGGATGTAACCTTTGAGTACATAGGTACCTGAATAATAATGTTACAAAAGTAATCGAATTACAAGAAAGAAAAACATAATTAGACCGCAGTGCCAACATTGTAATCTTGAAATATATGATTACGTAGTACTTTGATAAATTTAAAAATGGAATAATATTTTGTTAGATATAATACAAATCAATAATAATGCGAAAATACATTGAGTTATGTACTAACGTTAGAATTTGAGGTTATTGGCAATGTTTTCGAAAAAAAAAAAATGCTAATATTTTATTCACGAAGTAGTATAAGGAGTCCCCACTATGCAAAATGAATATGTACCGAGTTTCCCGACTGCCTTTCAATTTGGTAGGATAGCGATACTAGCGCGATTACCGGGAAAATTGTTGCAACTCAACTGGATAATGGCGGAAATGTATGTTTCGTGATGATTCGTATCTGCTCGTGAAGAGTCGAGTGCAGACGACAAATCTGTCACAAACATACATTTCCGCCATTATCCAGTTGAGTTGCAACAATTTTCCCGGTAATCGCGCTAGTATCGCTATCCTACCAAATTGAAAGGCAGTCGGAAAACTCAGAACATGTTTTTCCTGAAATTGCCTATGCAGTGGGGGCTCCTTATACTACTTCGTGATTTTATTATTAAAGTATCGAATGATGTCTTTCTTTTTTCACCATAAACAAAAAAAAATATGTATAAAATTTAGATTCGTACATAAAACAAAATATTATAAGAGTATTTTTTAAATATTTTTGAAATTATGGTAATGTGGACAATCCCGCAGTAAGAAGGCTTGTATTAAAAAGTATTCAGAAAATTTCATCCCATCATCATATCAACTTAAGAATTAAAATCCTTTTGAATTTCCTTTTTGTTCATATATAACTTTAATTCCCAAATTGTGAGAAAATTTTTTTTACTAAAATATTAATCAAGTCGAAATCGAGGTTATGTTTCAATTACATCTGCCATAGAGAGGAATTGAAATTTTTTTTTTTTTTTTTTTTTTTTTTTTTGATACCTTCTTGGGGAATTAAAAAAAATTGGACAAAAAAGAAATTGTTTGGAATTGAATAATTCCAATACTTTTTAATGAAAGTCTTCTTATCGGGATCACTGTAAGGGGGATAACGACTGTACCGTTTACCTCTATATTCTCTATAAATTTTTATTAGTAAAAAATAACTAATTTAATAGCAAAAAATTAGTTTCTGATTCAAATAATACTATTTCTACTAATATTTTAGTAGAAAAATAACTATTATTAAATTCACTTTTAGGTTATGTTAAAATAACTAAAATTATTGCCAACTATTACAATTAGTTTTGACTATATTTTCAGTCATTTTTCCATTGAAAGTTAGTTATTTTTTTACTAATTGCTGAAGCAAAAAGTTAGTCAAGATTTTACTAAAAATTAACTATTTTTAACTGATTCAGATTTAGGGAGTACGTTTGTATCATAAAAGACCTACCGTTTGGGGCTATTCTGGTATAAAATTTTTTTGTGTTAACAAAATAAAATATTTGTTTTTTATTATTAAGCTACATCTAAACTTTTTACTGTATAGTTACTGTAGAGAACAATTTAATATTAAACGATTTAATATTGGTTAAAATAACTTTTTAAGCCACTTTATATCAAATAGGTTTTAAATTAATTTAAAAAAACATATAAATATTAATTATATTAACATAAAAAAGTTACTTTTTGAAGTTAAGTTGTATTCCTCGCATATAACGTAATTAATTGACTTAATTTTAATTTTCAGATACAAAAATAAGAATGAAGCATAGAAATCTTTTTCAATTATTATGAAATGAAGTTTCACATAATTACTTTAATGTTGTATCAGAATAGCCCCTTCATAATGTACCTGAAGTTTTTGAACGTTCAAATGAACGAACAATTTATTAACTTCTTTTTTAATTTCAAATTTTATTACAAAATGTTGCTTTCTGTATTCAAAAATACATTAATATTCATGTTTAGTAATTTTATAATAATTTAGAAAAAAAAATTTAAATACCCCAAAAGAATAATTTCATTTATTTGAATGTTTAGAAGTTCAATAACATCCGTCATATTCTGAACTTTCTGTTTTTTTTTTACACTTTTCTCCTAAAATCCTTTATAAAAAGTTAGTCCATCGCGTATATAAATATTGTTATAACTAAATTTTTCCACACTTTAAATATTTTTTACACCAAATTCGTGAATTTTAAGATTGAATCAAAATTTTGAAAATTTCAAACGAAAATTTTACATGAATTTGTTTTTGATTTTTGACCAAGAATAAATTGTTTATTTTTTAAGTTTTAAATTAAGTATAAAAATTTGTTTAATCATATTACACGTACTTGATCCTAAATAAAAAATTTTTTTTTCCAGTCTGTCGAAGTTGTATTCTAAAACATCTTCGATCAAAAGCACAATGTCCTTCCTGTTTACATTTATTAAATAAAGCTAAGCCTAACATTAAGTGAGTATAAATAAATAATATAACTATTGAAATAATTATTCTTGTAAAATAGATACACAGTAAACTAATGAATTCTATTTTTTTTTTTCGCAGAGCTGATAAAGCTTTACAAGATATTGTATACAAACTCGTACCAGGACTTTATCATAAAGAAATGAGAAAACGAAGAGAATTTTACAAAAAACATCCAGAACATGGTAAATAAAATTTTCTTTCTTTAATTTCTGTCTTTTGATATATAATATAATTTAAATAATAGTTTGGGAATTTATTTACAAAATTTTGATTTTATCACATTAATAGCCGATTCTGCAACACCAGAACAACGAGGTGAAGATGTTAGTGGAAGACTGATTTTTGTACCAGAAGATGCAATAAGTTTAAGCTTGGAATATCTTCCACCTGGTGCAGATCCTTTAGCATTAATTTTGAGTACCAATGACGCTGACACAATACAGTCAAATACAAATAATACCCAGTCAAATAATAAAAATGAAGATGCAATTACTCATGATTGCAGTCGAAGGTATTTGCAGTGTCCAGCTTTAGTGACAATTGCACATTTGAAGAAATTTTTGGCTCTTAAATATAGTGTTGACGTTACTCGATATTGCATTGAGATTTGTCACAGGCGTGCACCACTTCCCGAACATTGGACTCTAATGGACGTTGCATACATTTATGCTTGGAAACGAGTAAGTAATTTTCTTTTTTTAATCTTTCTAGTTTTCATAATTTCAATTATTTTTATAATAATAATATTGAATGTCCAGCGGAGCTTGAAATCGTTTTTGAATTTTTTTTTAATTTAAAACAATTTTCTTTTTAGAATGCACCGTTGAGATTTTTCTATCGAATAATGCAAGAGGAACAACGATTGGAAGCCCCAATAAATGATAGGCCATCAACTCCCGGTGTTGGTGCAAGTTTATCAGCAGTTGATAATGGGAATAATAAAAATGAAAGTGACGAAAATCAAGTACAAATTGAAAAAGAAGAATCCCTTAAAGTAAATAAAGTGTCAAAGAAAAATGATCAAATCAAGAATCAGTTAACAGTGACAAATTCTACAAATACCAGTGTTAAAGTTGATAAAAAACTTCCATCATCTCCCATTTCGAAAGAAAGTGCCAAAGCAGTTAAAGTGAATAATCATCATCATAATAATCATCATCATCATCACCATCATAATAATCAAACATCATCAATTGACGATGAAACAAAACAAATTAAAAGTCCTATAAAAATTTTGAAAAATTCCGAAGGACGTTACGAAGTATTAAGAACGTCAAATAATCAAACATCACCTGAATCATCACGTACTGTTGGCAATGTAAACGAAAAGAAAACTCCAAGTCCAGAATTTAGCGTTGTAAGCATTGGCGATGGACCAAATTCAAATGGAGTGAAAATAACATTAAAACAATGTTCACCCGGTAGTGGATTATCGTCATCAAAACCAAAAATTGTCAGCAATGTTCTAATGAGAAATGGACAGACGGAAAAAATTTTAAAATCACACGAAAAAAATCGACAAAAGGCAGATTTAATTGAAAAACAAGAAAAGCATAAACGTAAAGTGACATTTATTGATAAAATAGAAAATAAAGTGAAAGATATTAATGAAGAAATTGATAGAAATAAAAAAATTACAGAACAATCTGATAAAAAAGAATTTCTTCACGGTTTTCGTCTAACTGCCAAACAACCATGGAACGATGATAAAAATTCAAATAAAACAGTAAAAATTATTGACAACACCATAATAAAGAGTCCCGAGAAACAAGAGAACAAGAAAAATAATCAGAATGATAGTAATACAATTTATTCGATAAAAAATAAGAATACCGAAAAATTATCACCACCATCATCATCATCATCATCATTGAAAACCGAAACATCAAAACGATTTCTCAATGGAATTGTAAAAGATTTAGATACAAATGAATCAAAAATCGATGTCTATGCATTTCCAAGTGAACCGCCAACACTTCCAGCCGGTGCTGTTAAACGAAAATGTCCACCGGGTTTACCAATTTTTGAAATGGGTAGAAAACGACCACATCTACAGGGACAAATACGTAAAAAAACAAATCCAACACCAGTGAAAATTGCCAAAAAACAACAAGACAATGTCTATTCAAAACGAGTTGCAATAAAAGATAATACACAATCAAATATAATTCCAATTAAACCTCCCGCAACAACAACAACAACAACAACAGCAATTTCCGATAATACAAGAAATTTACTTGATGGTTGTGGTTTAAACATTCCTGCTAGTCTAAGTATCACTCTAACAGCACCAAAATCACCAAATCACAATACATCATCATCTTCAGCATCATCATCCTCCACAGATGTCAATAATCTCAAGGACAATCAAACAATACTTTCCGGCAAAGTTAATCCCAGTATTACATTAAACGATCGTTCAGTTGATCCACGTGTATTGAAAGCATTAAAAACAGGTCAAATTCGAATGCCAGTTGCATCGAGTCGACAAAAAATGAAACAACAACCAATTTTAGAACGTAGTCAACCGGTAAAACGAAAGAAGGACGATATTTTAGATTTAAGCGGTACAAGAAAATTGGATATTCATCCATTAAGAATTCCTCAACCAGTGTCAAAATTTAAAAGTAAATCACCAATTCTTCCAACGGCATCTAGTCATCAAGTTGTAACATTAACAGGTGGACAAAAATATTATCGTGCACCACCTGGTTCATTAACACCCGCAGTTCATCGCGTTAGTGATTATCCACAAACACCACCATCGCGTGGTCCTGTTTATGCACCCTCATGTTTTTCACACAATAGTAACAATCGTAACACCACTACCACTACCAATAATAATATTTCCTCTGTTTTTCCAAGTCTACAAAGTTTATATGCTCTGAGTCAAGCGCCAAATCTTCAACAATTTCAAATGGATAATCGACTTCGACTTCCACAACAACCGGAAAGTACAACTTCCAATGGTCCTAATAAAAGTCATTTGGCAGCACAATGCGCTCCATTAAAACCCGCAAGGTCTTCCTTTGCCTCATTAGCAGTTCCTATAGTTAAGCAATCGCCACCTTTACGTCCAATTACATTTACCAATACACAAACTACCGAATTGACAAAAATTAAAACAAAAGAAGATAACATTCAAAATTCATCTCTTACAAAAGAAACACAGGAGAAAATTGAAAAATTAAAACAATCTAGTCCAATAACGTCAAATTCAAAACAAGAGGCGGCCAGTACATCATCGTGTATTGATTCAAATTCACAAGAAGCGGCAAGTCCAAGAGTTAGTTCAACAGTTTCTCCATCGCCACCACCGAATCCAGTTATTAACAACAGTATTAATTCTTCCCATACAGATGAAGTATCATCGGGATCAATATCTTCTAATAAATCCGAAGTTATTGTTACAAGCACTAAATCACCTGAGAGTCCCGATTCAAGTTCAATTGTAAATGAAAATTCAAATTCTAGTGTAACACCAACAACAACAACGACAACAACAACAGCGGCGATAGTAACAACACCAATTGATGATCAAGCACCATCATCGAAAGATGAGAAAATTAAGGAAATTTCTAAAGATTCCGTAACAACTGAAAAAGAAATAATTTCCGAGGAAAAAAATGACAAAGTTGGTGACACGACTACTAATAATGATGATGATGATGATGATAATGATGGTAATAATGAGAAAAAAATTGAGAACAATATTAAAGTTGATGTTAAACAAATGACATCTGAGGTCTTCCAAAAAAGATTATTGGCTGCATTTCCATCGAATGAATGGGCCAATAATCCAATTGCTGCGAAGCATTTAGGAAATTTATTGAAAAGTTTAACATCAATGCAAACTGATGATCAAGGGGAGAAAAAAAATCAGTCAAAAGAAACAAAGGAAATTATCACAACAAAATGTGTAAAAGATATTTTACCGAAAACTAATGTTGAAGTAACTGATTGAATTGGAAAGAAATTAATTTTACAAACACAATATTTGAAATGTGAATTTTCATACGGATTACAATATTGACTTCATATCTAAAGGTAATTTTTACAATTTTTTTTTTATTTTTTTTCGTTTATTATTTTAGGCTGAAAATAATATAATTATTTTAAATCAAAAATATCGATAATTTGGAAAATGAAAATATTTTTTTTGAAATATTTAAAGAAAATAGTTTTAAATATTTAATTATTGAAAAATAATTATTAAATAAATTATTTATTTTCTTGATAATTGATGATAAATAATTTATTAACGTTATAATTTTTATGTGTATATACTTTTTTTTTATTTATTTTTTTTATTCGCATAAATATTAGCATAATATTTTGCATATTTTTATATTTTGTTTTTTATTTTTTTATTTATAAAATATACAATGAAAAAAATAATATTTACACTGAAAAAGAAAATTTATTTGATTCAAATAATGGGTTACTTGATTATTATCATTTAATTAATTTAATTGACACAAATATTAATTATTTAAATTAAATATTTATTTGATAATAGTCAAGTAACCGATTATTTGAATCAAATAAATTTTTTTCTAGTGTATTTAATTCAAATAATTGGTTATTTGACTATTAACAAATGAAATTTATTTAATGATAGTCAAATATAATTGATTATTTGAATTAAATTTTATAAATATAGTTTTTTCGACTTTAAAAAAATGTGACTAATTGACTAATACATTTTAAATATTTTTAAAATTGTTACACGTAAAAATGTAATAAACAAAAAAATAGACTGTATCCAAATTTTTCTAAATTTAAGTTATATTAAATTTATATATAGTGTTAGTTTTAATGTAAAATCAAATTTTTCTCTGATATTCAGTGAATTTTATTGATTTTTTTATATATCTATTTATTACATTTTTAAGTGTAACAAATTTATTTCTTAAAAATGAAAAATTACAACAACAAAATCTAAAGGATAAAATTTTTAATTAAAATGTTGCTTGTTAACATTTATATAAAACCAATAAATTTGTTTCGTTTTGTACGAAAATTTTATGTGCTTCGGTTTTATTTTTATTATTATTATTTATTTTTATTCAAATTTTATCTGAGATAATGAAAGCAAAATTATTTTACAATAATTAAATGTTACTGAGTTTAAAAAAAAAAAAAAATTCAATCAGATTAATTTTCTTATATTTAGCCTAAAATAATAATAATAATTATAATAACAAAAGGATCAAAATTTTTCAAAAAAAAAATACACAAATTGAATAGAGGTCTTTTAATTTTTATGAAACTTGGTAAAAATATATTATAAAAAATAAATCTTTATGAAAAACATTTTTCAACAATTTTCGAAGTTACCGAGCATCAAAGTTTAAGGTAGATTTCTTTAAAAATCGAATTTTACCAAGATTTATATAAGAAATTAAAAGTAATCAATTTTGTTATTGAGAGAAATTTTGACTCGCGAACATTTTTTATCAATTTTCTAAAAATGCAAACACCATTAATTTGAAGTTAATTACAATACACCGTGATGAAATATTATGTACCAAATTAATGGGATAGGAACATTACTGTTAAGCATAATTGTTCTTAATCATATATACATATGACTAAGAAAATCATTTTTGTCGTTTTTATCTATATTATAATGTTACTTCAATGCAGGAATTGTTTTAAATTATTGTTTACAAAAATGCATAATCCTGTCTTAATTAAGTCACTTAATTTTATTTGGTACATATAAACATTTTTTTTTTTAAATTTAATTTCTATTTTCATAAAATAGAATGTGTTATATATATATATATATGTTTTTCTAAAAATTAATTTAAAATCAATTTAACAAAGTTATGAAATAGTGCTCAAGATATAAACAATATTGATGAAATTAAGAATTACATAAGCACAAATATTGACACTTTTTTTTCATAACTTTAATACAAAGAATTTTTCACAATCATTATTGTACATAAAAAAAAACATTAATTTCACGAAATTTCAACTAAGAATATTTCTTGAGAACGTATTCTACCTATGATACGTATATATTTTTTAACACAACCAAGGGTATAATAAAATAATTGTTATAATTACTTTAAGAATCTTTGAAACGACACCAGTGTTACTGTATTAACTTGTTCGCAAAGTATTTAATTATAAATAAAGAAAAAAAAAAGTGGGGTGAAATTTTTCAACTGGCAGTCATTAATAATAATTTTATAAATTGTAAATTCTTCTTTAGTGTACCTTCTTGTAATCAATTCATTTTAATTGACTCGCGAAACTTGATACAAAATGTTTTACATTGCAAACAAGTTAATGAAGAAAAGAGAATAAAATAAGTTTTTTTTAATTTTTTTTTTTTTTTTTTTTTAATTAGAAAGAGGTCAATTTCCCCTCTTATTCGTCGACGTAAAGTGAATAAATGTCTTGCAGTATTCTTATAGCCTCACCATATTATAATAAAAGTGCGATTTTTTACAAAGTCTCAAAGAAAACAAATCACAAATAACAGTTGTATATTTTTTGAAAAATAACTGTTATAAACAATTACACTCTTTAAAGAAGTACTTAAGAGTCAATGCTATAAATTTAATTTACTGAAATGTGGACTATTATATATGTACTAAAAATATTTCCGTATTATAATATGATCTGTTTTGGGAGCTATGTTAACTTAAATGTTACAGTGGTATTAATGTTATTTTTTACTTTATATTCTGTTAAACTTTTATTGTGTAAAAGGCGTACAATTGTTATGACGCCTACATGTATTTGTATTATATTTACTCCTTTATAAGTTGTATATATTTAATAATTAAGGTAATCCACTAATCCAATTTTGAGTTTTCAATTTTGGCCTAACAAATCTCATAGATGTACTGATTTAGTTGCAATTTCACTTTTTGAAATTATACAGTAGAATCGAAATACATTCATTTGAAATAAAAAAAAAATAGCGTTATTTATTTCTTTATACATATTCCTATTATTTTACTATATATTTAAGGGTAAAAATCAAAAAATCGTCAATATGAGACTAACACTTCTCTGCTCAATAAAAATTTTTCTAGTAATCACATATTTAAATAATTTCCATATAAAAAAACTATACAAAACAAAAAAAAAAACGTTCTTTCTATTATTTTAATAACGACTGACTTCACTGTTTAAAAAAAAATATGTCTGACGGGACACGATGACAAAAATAATAAAGACAAATTTTTAATTTTAATTAATTAAGATGATTTGTAAATATAATATTTAGAAATAATTAATATTATTATTAATTAATATAAATTAATAAATCTTAATTAATTTTTAATTTTGATATTACTCGAAAACTTCAATTTAGTTTCTATTGCACATTTACACAAATAATATGCATAAGCTAGAAAATGTTTTTATGCGTTACTTACATTTTAAAAATGTTCTCCTTTAAAATAAACTTAAGGTCACGATGACAAAAAGAAGATGTACGTTTTTTTTATATAATTATTAAAATATTATTTTATTGATTTTTTAATTAATTTTGACACTTCTCTATGCTAACATATTATCAAATTAACATCGTACTTCATAGTTTAAAAACATTTAATTACTATCCCAGTTGAAAAATCGGTAAATATATGTACGTGGACACGTGGAAAATTCTTTATATTTCGCATTTAGGGTTATAAAAATACTTACCACTTTCTTACATTACATTTTATACATTATACAAAAATTTTAAATTAGATAATAAAAAAATTGTATTAAAATTTTTTTAAATCTTAAAATGTAAATAGGGATAAGGGACACGATGACATTTTTACAATTTTATACTTGTTGTAGCAAGAAAAAATTAATTAATGATGTTTAGAGGCCTTTTACAGTTTTTACATGTTTCGGCTATTTAGCCCTCATCAGGTAAGTCAATGCACTTTTCAAATAAGTATAAGTATAACAAACATAAGACAAACACGTAAGTAAAACAAAATCTGTAATAAATAAAAAAAAAACTTAAATACTGTAAAAGGCCTCTAAACATCATTAACAAATTTATAATAAAAACAGTTTGAAAGAAATTTAACAAGAAAAAATTAAAATTATATAATGGGGTATAGTAGAAAAAAAAACCTACTCTGCAAAATGTTAATATTTAAAATCATGAATTTTTAAAAATCAAAGTATTATTTATTCATGAAAAGATTTCAACAATTTTTTTTATTTTAACCCTTAAAATGTAGAATTTGTTTAAAAAAATTAATTATTAGGTTCAGTCCGGAGAAGTTGGTAATAGGCGTCCGGGATAAAATCATTCTTTGGCTTTTTGCTTTATCAGAATTCTTAATTTAAAGTGATTAATGTCTTCTCATTTATCAATAAATTCAGTGCAATTTTCATGAAGCCAAAGGTGACAAATTCATGTCATATATCAACTATTTTTTCAGTTGACTTTTTTTTATTCCAATTCGTTCACAGCTTTGTCTTCAGCTAAGGAGACCCTTCCTGACTTTTTTAATTTTATATCTTTGTTCCTGATCAAAAATAAGTTCAACCAATCGTAGCCTGCTTTTCTCTCTTCCTTATTAAATCTATGCTTTAAACTCAAATGCTCTGCAAAACTATATGCGATTATTCGAACATCAGTTTTAGTTAGAGAAAATCCTTTCTTTTGCATTTCTATAATATGCAAAGCTAGTTTCCTCTCATTTTCTATTCCGAAAATAGAAGACGGACCTAAAGGTCCTTTTTTATCATTATTATTCTTAATGCGCCTTTCTAAGGTCTTCCTCGGAATTCCATATGTTTTAGAAGCCGCTAAAACCGACATACCCTTAATTTTGACAGCGTCTATGGCTGTTTTTAGTGATTCTTCACTCCAGTTGCCTCGTATATTATCACTTTTCCTTTTATATTGATTAGGCATCTAAAAAAAAAGATAGAAAAACTGAAATGAATTTAAATATATATAAGATAATAATGCAAAATTATATAAATAAAATATAACAAATAAGCAAATAATTGAAAAGTACCCAAATTCGAGAATTTTTTTGAATCAGTTAATTTTCTTTTAAAAAAGAGCATAAAATTAATAAAAATAATAACATTTTCCACGATAGAAAGTAAAAGAAGACAAGACCATCTTTTCTAATGTTAGAAGACAGATTGACAGAACTAATATTTAAATAAATAAAATTCTTAGATAAATTTGAGGTTATGACAAAAAATTCAAAATTATTCTATAAAATAATATAACACCAGTGAGGAACGTGAACTCATTATCTTTTTTCAGAACTAGTCAAAATAATAAATAATGATTTTACTTACTTTTTCATTATTTTTCGTCAAGTTTTTTCTTTTGATTATGTTGTCACAAAGACAAAACAATGCGAACTAACCTAACTTTTAATAAGCGACATCTAGCAGAAAATTCTGAAAAATATTTGAATTTTCGATCTCTCTCGACTTACTCTATAGTAAAAAGGAACTAATTCTAATTTTTAATAAAAAAAAAATTATTTAAAAAAATACAGTCAAATTCGACTAATTGAATTGGTTACTCGAAATTTTGGCTAAACTGCATAATAGGTACGTAAAGAGAGAAGTTGTCTTCACTATGTAACAGGTAGTGATGCCAACTATATAAAAATTAACGCGCGACATTTAAATTCTCTCAAATATTTACCTTTAAAAACTTTACTTTTTTCCCACCCGACTTTAAGGCCTGAGCAGAATAGAAACGTAACCGGAATCGTAATCGCAAACGCAACCGGAAGAATGAGTTAGAGAAGGACAAACAATATGTCTATCATTCTCTAACTCATTCTTCCGGTTGCGTTTGCGATTCCGGTTACATTCCTATTCTGCGTTGGCCTTTATCCGCAGAATACTTTCGGCCATATCCGATTCCCCCCACTCCAAGGTTTCCTTATGCTGACACTACATTGGCTGCGCGAACGTGTATGTGAATGTGAACGTGTGAAGTCACCCATTTGAATAAAGAGGGGTACAGAGATATACATCTATACCCCTCTCTATCATTAGGTACACGTTCGCGTCCACGTTCGATGCGCCTATTGTAGAACCAACTTTAATGCTGACTCTACATTGGCTGCGCAAACGTGTACGTGAACGTGTGACGTCACCCATTTGAATAACATTGTGACGTCAGCATGTTCACGTTTGCGTGATTCTACATTGGCTGCGCAAACGTGTACGTGAACGTAAACGTGCTGACCTCACAAGTCACAATGTTAGGCTGGTTCCACAATGGGCTCGACGCAAGGTAAACGCAGCGTTGACGAGACGCAACCCAATGCTAATCAAATAGGGATGCGTAGCGTCAACGCTGCGTTTACCTTGCGTCGAGCCCATTGTGGAACCAGCCTAAGGCTGCAGTCCCATGGCAGCGTTTTGCGTTGCGTTTTGTCACTAGACCATGAGTGTAAAAGAGATGCAGATATATGTTTGCTATGTTTACACTCAGGGTCTAGTGACAAAATGCAACGCAAAACGCTGCCATGGGACTGCAGCCTAAGGCCCTCTCCAGAATGGAGCTAAACGCAGACCAAGAAGACTAGAATAAGGAGGTCTAACTCAGGTAGTGGGGGTACGTAAAGAATTGGTTTTCGAGGTAGGCCGAAAGGCAGAGTGTGCGGTAGACTTCTGCGCACACCAATACATATACATTTTTGTTGCCTTGTCAAGAATTACTGAAACTTGTATGTATTGGTATGCGCAGAAGTCTACCACACACTCTGCCTTTCTCGAAAATCCGAGACGCCTACTTTTTCCTCAATTTTTAAATAACCGAATTTTTAATTAACATAATTTAAAATTACAAAAGTGTTAATAAACCGAATTTAAATATTTCAGAATTTTTAAAAAACCGAATTTTTATAGTTCCAAATTTTCAGTTTACACAATAAAAAAATAATCGAAATACCATTGGTTATAATTTTTATGTTCTCGAATATTAAAATTACAGAAAATGAAAAGAGCAGAAGTTTCACTTGACAGACTTTCTGTTCAACCTAATTGCGATTGGACAAAATTTTAAGAGAACAGAAATATCAGTTAACATAATTTCAATTTTGCAGAATTTTTAGTTAACATAATTTAAAATAAACAGAAATGTCATTTGACATAATTTTTATGTTCTCGAATTTTAACTTTTCCGAAAATAAAAATAACAGAAATTTAACTTGACAGACTTTCTGTTCAACCGAATTGTGATTGGACAGAAATTTAAGAAAACAGAAATATCATTTGTCATAATTTTAATTTTGCCGAATTTTTAATTTACAGAATTGAAAAACAACCGAAACACCATTTGTCAGAATTTTTATGGTCACAAATCTCAGATTAACCGAAAATGAAAACAGCAGAAGTTTCACTTGACATACCAAATCCATTGTGTATTCATTGTTTAAACAATCATCAACAATGGATTTATTCTATCAAATGAAAGTTCTGCTGTTTTTATTTTCGGTTAATTTCAGATTCGAGAACATAAAAATTATGACAAATGACATTTATGTTTATTTTTAATTATGTAAACTAAAAATTCTGCAAAATTGAAATTATGTTAACTGATATTTCCGTTATCTAAAAATTCTGTCCAATCGCAATTAGGTTGAATAGAAAGTCTGTCAAGTTAAATTTCTGTTATTTTTATTTTCGGAAAAGTTAAAATTCGAGAACATAAAAATTATGTCAAATGACATTTCTGTTTATTTTAAATTATGTTAACTAAAAATTCTGCAAAATTGAAATTATGTTAACTGATATTTCTGTTCTCTTAAAATTTTGTCCGATCGCAATTAGGTTGAACAGAAAGTCTGTCAAGTGAAACTTCTGCTCTTTTCATTTTCTGTAATTTTAATATTCGAGAACATAAAAATTATAACCAATGGTATTTCGATTATTTTTTTATTGTGTAAACTGAAAATTTGGAACTATAAAAATTCGGTTTTTTAAAAATTCTGAAATATTTAAATTCGGTTTATTAACACTTTTGTAATTTTAAATTATGTTAATTAAAAATTCGGTTATTTAAAAATTGAGGAAAAAGTAGGCGTCTCGAAAATCCGCCTACTGCAACTACCAATTTCACACGTATACTTACCATACCCCCACTACCTCAGTTAGACTTCCTTATTCTAGTCTTCTTGACGCATCGCAATGCTAAAGGCCTAAGCAGAATAGATTCTTGAACGGGAACGCAATCGTAAACGGAAACGTAAGAATGTGTAAGACAAGGATAGCAAATATCTTTATTCTTCTCTCACCAATTCTTACGTTTCCGTTCACGATTGCGTTCCCGTTCAAGAATCTATTCTGCTTAGGCCTTAAGCAAATGGGGATGCGTCGCGTTTGCGTTGCGTTTAGCTCAGGGTTGTGCAGTTACGTGTAACTCGAGGTTGTTGACGTTGTTTACGTAAAATAAGTAATTTACGTAGAAAACTGTAAAAAAACTCGGGTAATTTACATTTTAAATATGGCGTCTGATAAACACTCGGAGTGCAGCAAAACATAACCCCTTATTCAGGCCTGCCCTTATTGGATTGATTATTGTTTAGCTCCATTCTGGAAAGGGCCTAAAGTTGGTTCTACAATAGGCGCGTCGGACGTGGACGTGAACGTGTACCTAATGAGAGAGAGGGGTACGGAGATATACATCTATACCCCTCTCTCTTAAGTCGGCTCTACAATGAACGTGTACGTGAACGCGATGTCCTGACGTCACAATGTTAATCAAATGGGTGACGTCAACACGTCGCGTTCACGTACACGTTCATTGTAGAGCTGACTTTATTAGGTACACGTTCACGTCCACGTCCGACGCGCCTATTGTAGAACCAACTTAAAATATGTAAACGAGCGAAACTTAACGCTAGTGTTCTAAAGACAGTAAATTACGTCAAGAAGAGAAAGAAGATTACGGTAATTTACCGGTAAATTACCGGATCGTTTTTTCTCTGAGAATTTATGAGAATTTTTACTTGTACTTTTATCCTTGTCTGACACGTGCGTTGTCATGACAACGTGTATGACGAGGATAAAAGTACAGACATATGTTCCTGACTGTACAATTATTATTATAATGAAAAATATCTTTGTTACAATATATAATATATATATTAATATATTAATATTGATATAATATTACATTATTATATTGAATCAGGTACATTTATATGCCTGCACTTTTATCCTTGTCTAACACACATGTTGTCATGACGACGCACATGTTAGACAATGATAAAAGTGCAGGCATATATACCCGACTGTCATCTTGTCAGTAAGAACACAGAGAAAATGAGGGTGCAGTCCCATGGAGCAGATTAGCAGATTAGACGTTGACCAATAAAAAAACAGTCTCTAACGGAAATGCAAAATTTGCCGCGAGAGACTAACTTTTGATTGGCTGAAATCTATTCTCCTAATCTGCTACATGGGACTGCACCCTTACAGTCTATTATATTCATTGTTCAAATTATTCATTTAATAACATGTTGGTCGTTTATTTATAACTTACATACTATAAAAATACATATTTAGATTTAAAAAAGGCAATTATCAATCACTTAAATGAATATTCTCATAAATTCTCTTTTTTTCGGTAATTTACCGCAATTTTCTTTCTTACCTTCTCAGGTTTCAATTTTACCGAGAATTTTAAAACACTACTTAACGCGGCCAACTCGTTTGCTTATTTTAAGAAAACCTTGGAGAGGGGGACAAAGTCGGGTGGGGGCCGCAGCTTATATTTACGAAATTATAGCAAATAAGATAATATTATTTAATTTAACGGAATGTTCTCAGTTGACCAATATTTAAATAGTTTATTTATTAATTAATACTTATTTACCAACAATAAACCACAAAGTAAATAACAAAAAGAGGTTATGTTGCCATTGATGCGGCTACAATGTCAAAAACCTGGTTTTCTACAGTATTATACGTATAATACGTCATTTATGTATTATACATTGAAAACCTCCAGAAAAGCACTTTTACCCATCCTTGCCTAAAATTGAATTTAAAGGCTTATGGAGCGGTCACACTATCTCATGCATGCACTATGCATGCTTGCAGACTGGTCACACTTCAACGAAATCTAGTGAATGTTTAGTAACTTTCTAGTAATTTTCCAAAAATTTCGGTTGTAACTAGAAAGTTACTAAACATTCACTAGATTTCGTTGAAGTGTGACCGGACAAATGTTTCTGCATGCATGCTTTTAAGCTCATCTCACATTCTAAAGATGACGGAGATATAATTATGGTTAGGGAGAGTCCAGAATAAGTGGTTTCTGAACGTCGACGTATCATTCTGTCTTTGTCTCTCCCATTGATGTCCCATAAGACCGACGCGTCGCTATCAACGCATCGACGTTCAGAAACCCGTGTTCTGGACTCTCCCTTACAGTGCATGTTCTAATCATTCTTTAAAAATTTTTCCTTTTCTGGCAAAAGTGATTTAAATGATTTTTCCCAAATATTTTACATTTCGGATATTCTACATTATCCACGTCCATTGTCATTGTTGACACGAATGAACTAACCTTTTAAAATTACATATGAATTTTCATTTATTTCAAGGACAAGTTTTTAAGTTGTGATGTTAAAATTCTACCAATCATCATCTGGTATCAGCTGAATACAAATACATGTGAATATATTGAAATGTGTTAGTGAAAATCGTCATATTGTAAATCAGTGTGTAAATCCAAATCCGGTACATCTAAAAGCAACTTATCGCAAGATGTCGGGGAATGTTTTGGGCGATGAGTTATTATGTTTTTGATGGAAATGACTTCTTTGTTGCTTACGATAATCCGGCCTAAGTTTAATTTCAAAGTGTTATAAAAGTTTCTTGTGTAATCAACGAACTTTGAAACACGTATATAACTTCTCTCGTTTTATATATGTTTAATAATAAAAGAAAGAAAAAAAAATATCGAGAGGTAGTGAATATTTTTTAAAGCACACTGTGAATGTGTATAAATTGTGTGCAATTTTTTCGCGATTAAATAAAATTATTATATTATAGTTAAACGATTTTTTTGTTTTTTTATTTTGTTTTTTTTTTTTTTGCTCATCGAAAAACTGTCATCATTTTATATATATATATAGTATTCATTGGTGATTGGAATGGGAGCAAAAGCTAGCACTGTTGCACAGTCTGCAGGGGGCAATGGCCAATCTTCCACAGGGGACAATGAAACAGCAATGCAAGGTTTTTCAATTTTACGCTCACTTCCTGGTGGTGTTGGATTACTTCAACATCAACAGGGAAATCAATCGCAAACATCACGAGTTACTGGCGATAGTAGACAAAGAGCTCGTTCATTAAGCTCTGTTCCTGATCTTTCATCTGGTGAATCTAGTACTCTTGCATCGGCTGTTGGAGTTGGTGTTGGACAAACACTAGGTCTACCACAACTTGATGTTGATGACATTGACGAAGAAAGCGGCAGAGTCTACGCTGCTCACAGCTTGCCTTCGCACATTTGGTCTTTAAATGGTACGTGTATTATTGTAACAAAGAAATTATTTTTAAAAGAGTATAATACAATTCTAGTTTGCAATTTCTTTAAATTTAATTATTTATTATTTTGAATATTACAAATTTTCTATTTTTAATTTACGCAGTTATATAAATTTTTGCAAAATTTATAAAAGAATAATCTTTCTAAAAAAAAAATGTCATTTTATCATTTCAATAATGTGTCATCATAATTGTTTTTATCACGTGATTAAATTTCCCTTAAAAAAAAAAAAAAAAAAACATTTCTATTTGCAATATAATTGCTTCGATGACGTGAATTTTGTGTGTATATTCATTTGGAATTTGAGTTCATAACCTTATATTTGGAATAGAACACATTAAAATAGAACTAGTGCTAAAAACATAGGTTAGGTTTACTACCATACACGTTTTTCTAGCTTGTTTCTTTTTTTTAATACAATAAGTTCGCATATAGTTCATTATTTTATCGGGAATTTAATAGGGGGCGTTTTTATTCTTTATTATTTGTTTGTTTTGACGTATGTCAGTAGTATGGTTGGCTTGGTAACTATTTATACAATCAATGATGGCTGGAAATGAAGTGTAAATTTTAAATTGTGTATAAAAAAATTATAAAAAAAAAAAAAATATTCACTTTTCAATTCTTGGAAATTTCAAAAGGTTATGTCTCGATTCGCGAATTTTGTTAATACAATAGGGAATAATGCGTGGGATGGATCTGGCTTAGGTTAGGTCAAGATTACTATGGGAATTATTGTGAGCTCATGCTTAAATGACACGGAAACTGAGGTTGTTCCAACACACACTATTAGAAGAGTATTGTATGGTATTGTATATAAAAATAGATTTAATATTTAAACTAATTAATTAAATTGTTAAGTTATTTAATGTATTTATTTTTTTTTTTTAAAGGTTTAAAATGTCCAGTGTGCTCCAAATTCATCCTGCCAGATGACATTGAATGTCATTTGGTTATGTGCCTGACCAAACCGCGTCTTAGTTACAACGGTAAGTTTTTTTTTCGTTTTTTTTTTAATTTTAGTTTAACAAATCTTTAAAATATTTGTAATTTTTTTTTTCTAATATAAATTTTAAAATATTTTAGAGGACATATTGGCAGATGAAAAAGGCGAATGTGTCATTTGTCTTGAGGATCTACAACCTGGAGATGTCATAGCCCGCTTGCCTTGTCTTTGCATATATCATAAAAAGTATGTTATTTTTATTATCAAATTTTTAGTTGCTTTAATATAGATATAAATAAAAAGAGAAAATATAATAGTAGGGAAACAATAATAATTATTATTATAATTTGATTTATTTTCTTTAAGAAATCTAATAAGGGAAAAATTTGAAAATAGATTTTACAGAAAATTAGATATTCAGGCCTTGAATCGACTTTAAGGCTCAAAAAAAAAAAAATATTTTTTACTTTAAATAACTAATTTTATTAAATACAGGCCTCGGATTATACGACTTTTTCGACTTATTTAAATAAAATGCGACTCTTTCGATTTTTTTTCACATTTTTTTTTTTTTTTTTTTTTACTAAATTTTTAAACAAAAGACGTCTTTTTTTAGTATACAATGCAGATATTCTTCAGATCTTCTTTATTTCAATTATTTAATAAATTTTTACCTAAAATTTTTCTCTAAATTAATTAATTACTTTTAATAATTTTAATGTTAATTCTTCACAAATTCAATTATCTTAAATTAGTTTTCAATTAAAAAATTTTTAAGTTCAATTTTTGTCTTTAATTTTACGAAGCTGAAGTACGCAACGTTTATGATAAACGATTTTTAATGAAATAATTTTTTAAAATGAAAAATTCTATTTTTCGCCTAAAAAATATTTCTTGTAATTTTCATTAATTAAAAAATTATAAAAAAAATATTTTTTAGGCAAAAATTATAGAATTTTTCATTTTAAAAAATTATTTCTTTAAAAATCGTTTATCATAAACGTTGCGTACTTCAGCTTCGTTTAATTTTTAATCAAATTCTTCAGCAACAGAAATCTCAAAAAAAAATTTTACTTTCAAATAACTTGAATAAAATTATTTTCAAAAATTTCAGTTTAAAACCTTCCAAAATTTAATGATTTTTATAATATTCTTCAAAAATTCAATTATTTGAAAGTATTTTTCAATTAAAAACTTGAAATTCAATTTTTGTCTGTAAAAATTTTATGAAATTTAATTGATGTCTGAAATTGAATAAAATCTTTTGAAATTTAATTATTTCTGAAAATTTCAATTATAACTCTTTGAAAGTTGAATTATTTTTTAATAATTTTAATATTTCTTTAAAAATTTAATTATTTAAACATTTTCAAATAATAACTCTAAAATTGAATTGTCAGAATCTAATAATATTAATAATTTAAAGTAAAATACTTTTTAACTACCTAATTAAATTTAATTAAAATAAAAAAATCGACTTTTTCGACTTTTTTTTGGAATGTAAATCGACTAAAACGACTTTCTTTGTGCTTTAAAGTCGATCCGAGGCCTGTAAAATATTAAATTCATTTGTTTAATTCCTCAATAAGAATATTATCGTTAAAATTTATTTAGAATTTTTTTTAATCGAACTAAGATAAATTTTAAAAATTTTAATTAAGTGGAACCAATTTCTAAAAAAAACTTCTTAAAGTTTGAAGTCTTATTTTTAGCAATTTATTCGAATTGAAAATTTTGGCGTACTTTTTAGTTTTAAAGGTCAAAAAAATTTCGGACAATAATTAATTTTGAAAGAGTTTTTAATTGAAATTTTTTTAAAAATTGAATTTCATAAGATTTGAAATTGAATTAAATTTTTAAAAATTTTAATTGCCGTATTTTTTTTTTTTTCTAATAACAATTCAATTTTTGAGTTTTGATTTGAAACTTTTTGAAATAATTAAATTTTTAAAGAAGTATTAAAATTATTAAATTTCAGAAAGTTTGACATAGAAAATTTTTGAAATAATTAAATTTTAGAAGGCTTTAAATTGAAATGTTTTCAAAATAACTGAATTTCAATAATTTTGAATTAAAACTTTTGTTAATTTTATTAAATAAATTTTAAAAAAAATTTAACAATTATTGTGTTTTATAAAATTTGTAATAGAAAAATAGTTTAAGATAATTGAATTAGTGAAGATTTTTATTAAAATTATGAAAAATAATTAATTTAGAGAAGTATTTTAGTTTAAAGTTTGTGAAATAATTGAAATAAAGAAGATCTAAAAATAATATGCATTGCACACTAAAAAAGACGTATTTCGTTTAAAAAATGTGTAAAAAATGTTTAAAAAATGTCGGATAAATCGTATAATCCGAGGCCTGGATGTTGTTAAAATAATAATAATAACTACTCTTTTTTTATAGGAAGGTATAAAATGATAAATTTTAATAATTACTTTATTTTTTATATTCCACTCGTCAAATGTTTCTGAAAGTTTTACGCGTATATTTATTCTGTTTTTGAATTCTTAAAAAAATTACAAAACAAACTCAATTTGTACAAAATTATGTAAATATTATTAAAATTTTACCTCCATGAAGTTGGCGTCGACGCTCAGCGTCGAAAATTGTTTTTCACGGGACCAAAAATATAAAATAATTTTAAAAAAGTTCTTGGGTCCACATAATACCTTGAAAAGTATTTCTCTAGGCATTCTTTGGAACGAAAATCTTAAGAAGAAATAATTTGACATTTGTGGTTCTATGAAAAATAATTTTCGGCGCTGAGCGTCGATGCCAACTTCATGGAGGTAAATTTTTGTATTTTTTTAAATACATAAACAATAGCCAAACAATTGTTTCTTAATCTTAAATGTTCCAAAAACATTTGTTGAGTAATATCAAAGTGAAAAATTGTTTTTTAAAAAATACACCTTTTAAAAGTCTCCTTAAAATAGTAATTTATTGTTATCAGACTTAATCTTTATGATCATTTTAATTTTAGATTTGTACACTGTCAGAATTATTTATAGCGAAGGTCCGAGTAGATTTTCAAATTAATCTTTTTGGGGAGGGGGATTGGTAAAATTTAGGTACGAAGAGCAAACAGTGTATATTAATAAATAAATAATAATTAAGAAATATCCTTGGAATAATGTTGCAAAATTTTAATTATAAATTTTTTAAACTTTCTTCAACAAAATATTCTTATATTGCGTCAATGTTTACTTTCAATGACCTTTCAAGGAGATTAATAATGAGACGTATATAATAAGACGTTATCAAAATATTTGTCGTGTTTTTCTTTCTTTAATTTATTATCTAATTAATAGACCATTTATTGTTAAATTGCAAAGAATTTTTTCTTCATTTATAACTTTTGAAATTCTTGCGAGAATTCTTGGAAAACGATGTGAATTTAATTACTGTCTTGAAACAAAATTACAAATGAACCTTGGATTTTTTTTTCCAACTAATTTTGCATTTTTCGCGGTACAATTCTCAATATTGCAATTTCTTCATTTTTTTTAATTCGTTCAATAAAAATGCGAATAATTGAAATTATAATATAATAAATATGAAAATAATAACAGATCATTGACTGTCATCTATAATTAAAAATTTTTGTCTATATTATCACGCTTTTAATAAAAAAAAAAGTAGTTCTTTTAATTAAAAAATATCTTATAAATCTTTTATTATAAATTTTATTTAAAAAAAAAATTTCTATTTTAAGTCAAAGAAAAAATATTGATTTTTGATTTAAAAATACTTAACCGTATTATCTTTAATATTAGTATTTTTAACATTATAATAATATTATTATTATTTTTTATTATTAGTCTAATTTTAACATTTTTTATATTTAATATATTGATTTATACTTTTATTTTCATTAGATATGTATTTGTATTTTAACATCTATCTTTATTCAATATTCTGAATTAAGTTTCTACTTAATATCTTAATACCTGTGGTTAATAGACAGCTATTATAATTTTATGAATAATAAACTTATAGATTTTTAATAAACAAAATTTTATATCAAAAACATATATAATATGTGCTCAAAAATAATGTACCTATAACGAAAGCAACAAAAATGTTGAAATTAAATTTAAAAAGTAAGTACATTAATTAGTACAATAGATAAAAAAATGTTTCAAAAATACACTGCCTTTGATGACGTTCAATTTTAAAAAATCTATAACTTCCTTCATTTTATCAAATAAAAAATAAAAAAACTACGTATTTTCTTAATTTTAATATTGATTTCGAAAAAAATATTTCGGGCAAAAAAAAATTTTGAATGAAAATTTCCCATGGAATGCCCCATTTAAATTTTTAATAATCCAAATTTTAATTGATTTAAGTTTCAATTTACTCAAATTTTTAGCTATTAATGTTTCAATCATTGATGATAAGTGAATATATGAAGGGTAGAATGACAAAAGGGGTCAAGCGCCAATTCACTGTTTTTACAGGAAGTAAAAAAAACATTTTTAAAAATTTTGCAGGTCATTTAAAAAAAAACTGAGAAAACCGTTTCGATATATTAGTATGTTTTAATAAATAAACAACAATTTGTTGAAATAAACCTACATATTAACGATAAAATTAAAAAAAACTGTGGTGCCTTGAGGTTATATCAACTGCGCACATTTTCTTTAAGCATTAATTATAAAAAAAATATACAGTTTAAAGAAAAACTGGAAAATTAATTTCTTTCTATGGAATCGACGAAATGAATAGAAAAAAAAATTCCTTTAAAAAATTGTTTGTTTTCAAGAAAATTACGAATTAATTGCTTGCTTTGGAATTGAGCAATACTTTCATCTTTAAATTCAATTGTTCACTTAGTATAACCATAAAAATATTTAAAAATTAATAACAAAATGATTTTAAAATTGTTTAAAATTGAAAATACATTATTATTATTATTAATTTTATTAATTAAAATAAAATTAAAATAAAATATTAAAATAAAACCTAAAAAAATAATATTTTTTTTTATTTTGATAATATTATTGACTCGTCACTTTCTTTTGTTTTTCAATCAAGTTGCAATAAAGTAAATTTGAGGCTATTTTATTAATTTAATTTTTATTAAAAACTGATTTAAATACGCAATAAAAAAGGAAATCCTTCTACAGAAATGTGTAAATGAATTTTCTTGATTTTTTTATGCAAAAACCTCATTTTCGATAAATTGGCGCTTGACCCCTTTTGTCATTCTACCCTTCATATATACCTACAAATTAATTTATAAAAATTGCCTATAATCTTCATTTATTAATTAAGACCACATAAATAATAACATAATATATATAAATTAGTTATGTTACACGTCAATTTTTTATTATTTTATCTATTTTTGGTTTTAATGTCAGGGAAATTAAAAAAATTTATTCTTGTAGCAACCCTGAATATTATGTATGTATTTAGTTTCTACTTAATATCTGGATGATACCTGTCATTGATAAATAATAAAATTATTGAATTCTAAAGAAAAAAATTTTATATTACAATAAAATAATTGAATTTACATTTAAAAAAAAATGAAAATAATTCGACTTTTTTAAAATCATTTTTTAAACAAAATACAACTTTTTTAGTATAAAATTTACACTTTCCAAAACTGAATTATTAAATGAATATTAACTAGAATTCTTCGCAAAATTACTTATATTTAATAATTTTAATCAATTTTTTTAAAAATTCTATTACTTAAAATATTTTTCAAATGAAAGTTCTTTTAAATTCAATTATTGGCCAAATTTTATGAAAACAAAATTCAATTAAAATTTATGAAAGTTTCGATTTAAAATCTCCTGAAATTCAATTATTTTTTTAAAAAATTTAAACTTTTTAATCTTAAAAAATTTAATTATTTTTAAAATTCTTCGATAAATTAATTATTTCTAATAAATTTAATCTACATTTTCGAAAAATTAATTTTTTAAAAACATTTTTCAATTCAAAATTCTCTAATATTCAATTATTATTATAATTATCAAAAGCTTATTAAAAAAATCTTCAGCATTTTAAATTTAACAAAATTTTATTTAAAAATCTCCTAAAATTCAATTACCAAGCCTCGAATTATACGACTTTTTCCGACTTATTTTAATAAAATGCGACTTTTTCGACTTTTTTTTTACATTTTTTTTACAAAATTTTTAAACAAAATACGTCTTTTTTTAGTATACAATACAGATCTTCTTAAAATCTTCTTTATTTCAATTATTTAATAAATTTTTAACTGAAATTCTTTACAAAATTCAATTATTTTAAACTTTTTTTTAGTTAAAAATTTTATGAAATTCAACAATTGTTAAAAAAAATCAAATAAAATTACAAAAAATTTCAATTTAAAAACCTTTTAAAATTTACTTATTTTTAAAATTTTCCATCTAAAACTTTCTGAAATTTAATAATAATTAAAATTATAACTCATCCGAAATATTAATTATTTCTGAAAATGTCAACTGTATAACTCTTGCAAAATTTAATTATTTTAAATGATTTTTATAATAATTCTTAAAAAATTCAATTATTTGAATGCATATTTCAATTAAAAACTTTTAAAATTCAATTTTTGTCTGTAATTTCTAATTAATTCTTCATTAACAGAAATCACAAAATTTTTTTATTAAAAATCACTTTATATGTTCAATTAATTTCAAAAATCTGAATTTTAAATCTTTGAAAATTTAAAAAATGTTATTTAAAATTATTTTCTAAATTATTTTCAATTATGTAAAATTTAATTATCGTCTGAAATTTAACAAAAATTTTTGATATTTGTAATTCTAAAAATTTCAAAGTTCAATTATGTTTAATAATTTTTAATATTTCTTTAAAAATTTAAGTATTTAAAAAAGTTTCAAATAAAAACTCTAAAATTGAATTGTTTTCAGAATTTTTTTTTTTTTTAGAAATTTGTCCTACTTGATTAAAATTGAGGAATTAATTAAATTTAATTAAAATTAAAAATTTGTCTTTTTCGACATTTCGTGTTATGTAAATCGACTAAAACGTCTTTTTTCTTCCCCTAAATTTGATCCGAGGCCTAAAAATACCAACAATATTAAATGTATTCATTAATAGTTTATAGTGATAAAAGATTAAAAATAATTTAATCTTGTATATTTAATATATTTTTGCCATAGAAAATAAATAGTAAAATAATAAAATAATACCTGAAAAAGTCCTGAAATTTTATTTGTAAAAAGTGCTAGACACCCTGAAAAAAAACATCTTAAATTTTATTTCCAAATTTTATAATTGAACACTTGGTATTAGAATACATTTTTTTTAAAACTATAATTATAATTTTAAAAAAATCTCTATTTTACATTCGTGCGTCTAATTTTTGATATCTCTTTTTTTTACAGTTGCATTGATAGATGGTTTCAAGTAAATCGTAGTTGCCCCGAACATCCTGGTGACTGATTTGTACTCTGAAATTGGAATAAATGTGAAATCAACTACTGACCCATATAGGATGCTAGCGTCGGTGAAAACCGAAATAAATGAAATGGCAGATTGTAAAGAAAAAGAAAAAAAGAAAAAAAAAAAAAAAAAAAAAAAAAAACTAGTCAAGGTGGCCGCTAGTCCGTGATGGTGATTTGTGTATATGATGATCGTATGATTGAGCGAAACTCAAGTGAATCGAACATTTAAGGACAATTAATCCAAAATTCGACCTTTTATTGTATTATTAAGCAAAGAGACAAAAAAAAAAAACAAAAAAATTAAGAAAAAAAAAGAAACTATCGCCATAAGATTAACAAAATACAATGCTATTAAAAATACACGTATCTATAGTTGCACTATTACTGTTCAATCGCTTAAACTCAATTGTACGATATTTATAAATTTTAAAAATTGTTTAACGTTTTTACATCACGATATTGCGTTAAACTCCGCGATGATTATCATTTATGATTCATATATTTGTCATTTCTTTCAATGATTGGGGGGGGGGGATTGATGAAATGTGAAGATAAATGGAAAGAATCAGCTAATTGAAACATTGGATGGGTTTCTATCATCTTATATATAGATAAGTTAGTTTTTTAATGATTTTAATAAACCAAGACAAAATGATTGTTTATGTTGTTTGCTGGAGCAAAAGTAACTAGAAAGGATATTTTTGATACTTTCATAAAATGGGGGAAAGAATGGTAATTTAAAATGAAAAAAAGAGTTTCAAAGCGAAGGACAAGCGATAATGCTGTAGTTAAAATAAAAATAATAAAAAAAAAAGGTTCTGATTTTAACCTTCATCATTATTTTTTGTGTTTCTAACAAGTACTGATTTTTTGAAACACACTAATTCAAAATTTATTTAGTACTACATCTCTTATTGTTAGTGGAAAGTTAATGTTTCTGACAATTTACATTTTTATACATCTTTATGAGAAAATAAAAAAAAAAAACAAAACAAAATGTCGAAGTAGCAGGATGTAATATAAAGTCTACGCTTTTTGTGTATAAGAATTAAGTGACTTCAATTGTATAAAAAAAAAAAAAAAAAAAACGTTCTAAAACAAATCTTAATGTCGACAAATGATTAAAAATTGTCAATTTTTTTGTTTTAAGTATTTTATTAATGAAAAACATTTTTATTAAATACATTCTCATTGTATGAGAAAGTATTATTATTTTCTTTGTTGAAAAGTGACACTGTTTTTCTCTTTTCTTGAAATTGATTTTTATTACGTTGAAAATTTTCTTGATGATTGTTTTTATTTCATGATTTTGATGGATTTTCATTATAAATCAGGCAGTGTTTAGCAAACGAAAAAAAAAAGGTTGTGTTATTAGAAAGTAGTATACTATATTATATATTCGAGATTAATTGAACAATGCTGGTTATGTTTACTCAAATGAAATTTTAAAAACTGGAGAAAAATATAATCTGCTGTTTGTATAATAGATTGTGGTGATTTTTTTTTTTCATTTACGATTAGAAATTGTAAATAAAATTACAATTATATTTACCCTTTTAAAAAAAAAAAAAAGAAGAAGAAGAAGAATTGTCACTTTTTTTTATTCATTGAGCCTTTATTGTATATTTTTGTATAATTATATTTATTATGTGAAGGAAATTTTCAAATTCAGTAAAAAAAAGTAAAATTTACTAAAATTCTAATTATTAAAATTTTTTCAAGGCTCGGGATTGTATATTTTTTTTGTTTAAAAAAAAAATTGCGACTTATTTTAAGTTTCATAATATAAAATGCGTATAATTTCAATTATTGACTATTTGGAGATAATTTCAATTATCTGAAGAAAAATTTGATATTTTTATAAATAAATAATTTAAAAACTTAATTTTTCTGCTATAAAAATAAATTTATGAATTCAAATCGCGAGAATCTTGAAATGTTGTTTTAATTTTTTTTCTTCAATATTATTTTATTTAATATAAATAAATTAATAAAATAATTTCAAATTTTGTAATCATTTCCCGCCTCTTCATTGGCGGCGTATATGGAACCAATGAAATCCATAACATTTCCCGCCCTTTTTGGGAACAATGTAAACAAAAAGTCAAAAAAAAAAAAAAAACTCAATGTTTTGGTTATAGAGAATTATTTTGTTAACTTAAAGTAATATAAATAGCATTCTTTAATTAAGTTCAATGCTTTTATTACATTGGTCTTAATCAGAAGTGAATTAAAACGATATTAATTTATTAAATTTCTTTTTTATTAATATAGGTGCGTCTTTATTTAATTTTCGAACGGTGCATAACCTCAAAAAATATGTACATAAGAGTGAGAACAGTGGATGGAAAAAAGGAACAAATTTTAACTGTTTCTAAATTAACATTTATAGAAGATTTAAAGGTAATTCATTGTATTTTATATTTATAAATGTTTATAAATTGGAATTCATGATTTATTGTTAATCCATTGTATTTTATCTAAAGTCGTTGCGGCCTATATAGTTTTAGAAAAATTTTATAATTCTTAATCATAATTTTTAATGATATGTGTACAATTCTTTTTGATAATTATTTAATAAAATTTTATACATTTACCTTAAAATTTGAATTTTGAATATGAGTTGCAGAGAAATAAAAGGTTAATTTGACAGACGTAAAAATGAATAAAAAAAACTTTGGTGAAAGTTTATAACGTTTGAGATCAACGATTTAGAAGAAAAAGTATTTTTTTTTTATATAAAAAATGTTTTTTGGTCAATTTTGTTAAAAAAAAAATTGTTAAATAAATATAAAAAATTTTCTCAAATAATTATAAAAATAAATTGTTACGGACATCAAAAATGATGATAACGAATTATAGAATTTTTACAAAAAAAATAGTTCGCAACGATTACAGATGAAAAATAATTAATTGGCCAGGCCTCGGATTATACGACTTTTTTCGACTTATTTTTGTAAAATGTGACTTTTTCGACTTTTAAAAAAAATTTTAAACAAAATACGTTTTTTTTAGTATACAATGCAGATCTTCTTTATTTCAATTATTTAACAAATTTTTAACTAAAATTCTTCACTAAATTAATTATTTTTAATAATTTTAATGAAATTCTTCACAAATTCAATTATCTTAAATTATTTTTCAATTACAAATTTTTATGAAATTTAATAATTGTTTATAATTTTAAAAAAATTAGCAAATAAAATTACCAAATTTTTTTAAATTAAAAATCACTTGAAGTTCAATTAATTTCAAAAATTTTAATTTTAAATCGTTGAAAATTTAATTACTTTAAAAAAAAATGTTATCTATAAAATTATTTGATAAATTATTTTTAGTTCTGTAAAATTTAATTATTATCTGAAAATTAACAAAATTTATTTGAATTCATTCATTTCTAAAAATTTCAACTTGATCTCTTCCAAAATTATTATTATTTATAAAAAAAATTTATTTAAAAATCTGTAAAACTTGATTAAGTATTGTCTGAAATTTTTTTGACCATAAAAACTAAAAACTATGACAAAATTTTAAATTCGAATAAATTGCTTAAATCAGATTTGAAAAAATTATAAAAATGGAAATTTAAGAATTTTTTTTAGAAATTTGTCCTACTTAAATAAAATTTTGAAAATTTGTCTTACAATTAGTTTGATTCTGATATATTCGAAATAAATTTTCTTGATAATATTCATTATAGAATTATTATTCTCATTACAGAATTAATAAATTAAATTGAATATCTAATAACATTAATTATTTAAAGTAAAATATTTATTAATCAATTAAATTTTGTTAAAATAAAAAAAATAGACTTTTTTAAGAATATAAATCGACTAAAACGACTTTTTTTTGTGCCTTAAAGTCGATCCGAGGCCTGATTGACCCGGTCATTTATAATTTTTAAATTATTTTTACCGTTATTTTTTTTTTATAGAATGAAATTAAAAAATCTTTTGACATTGAACCTAAACTACAAAGATTGTTTTATCGTGGAAAACAATTGGAAAATGGCTATAAACTTTTTGATTATAATGTTAATGTCAATGATGTAATATTGTTAAATGTGAAAATAAATGTTGACAATGTGCCAGTAAAATCTGATTCTAAAGTACAAGAGAAAAATGATATTGTTGATATACCAGAGGAAGTGATTATCGATGTTGAGAGTTTATTTTATAAAATTGGAGATGCAATTGATTGTATTGATCAAATTTGTGGTGCTTGGTATGAAGCAATTATTCAAAGGATATTTAATATGAATGGAAAAATACAATATCAAGTAAAATGGCAATTTGGCGATCGTGAAGAGCCATTTGTTGTTGAGGAGAATTTTATAAGACCACGTGCATATAGAATTATAAATTTTAATGATCTTAAACGAGGTCAAAAGATAATGATCAATTACAATATTGAAGAACCAAAAGAAATTGGATTTTGGTACGATTTTACAATTCAAAAAATATCGCGATCAATTAAATCCATAACAGGATCACTTCATATTGGACGGTAAAAATTCATTAATTTAAAATTTAATTTATTTAATTAATTATTATTTATTAATTAATATTAAATAATTAATTTAATTCTATTATTTGTTGATTAATATTTTTAGTGTAAAAATTTTCTTTTCTTTTTTTTTTTTTTTTGTTTCAGAGATTATGAGACTGTAAAAAATTGCAAAGTTCATCCTCGAATGGATGAAATATTTGCAATAGAAGAACCAAAATTCTTAAAGGATAGAAATAAAAATTCGCCAATAAAATTGCAAAATACGAGGAGAAGATTACCGATACAATGTGATAATTGTATGGATGATTTAAAACAAAATTGTACTAAATGCGCTTGTAAAATATGCGGTGAACGAGGAAATCCAGAAAATATTTTACTTTGCGATGAATGTAATGGGGAATATCATCTTCAATGTTTAAATCCACCACTTTCTAAAGTGCCCGAGGAAGATGATTGGTATTGTCCATCGTGTAAAAATGATGAAAACGAAATTGTCATGGTAAATTAATAATATAATTTAACTAAACAAATTTTCAATATATTTTCTATCTTATAAAAATTTTTCGTCTACTACTAAGTAATTTAATAAATTATAAATATTTATATCAATTTTTATTGTAACTTATTGAAAAAAAAAATTGATTGTAGGCTGGCAATAAATTGAGAGATTCAAAGAAGAAAAAAAATAGAATCGCAGCAAAAGAAGATAGAAAAAATAAAGATAGAGAAAAAAGAGATTGGGGAAAAGGAATGGCTTGTGTGGGTCGAACGAAACATTGTACGATTGTACCGGAAAATCATAAAGGTGCAATTCCAAATGTAGAAGTTGGCATGTGCTGGCGCTATAGAATACAAGTTAGTAAAATACTTAATTTCTTCAAATTAATCGCTCATAATTAGTTTAGAAATATTAAAGGTTTTTCTAAAAAATAAATAATTACCATATCTATTTTCATGCATAAAAAAAACAAACACGTATTTTTATTTTAATTATTATTACATTTTTTTAAACTTTTTAAAAATATTAATATTTTCAAATGAAAGTTCTTTTAAATTCAATTATTTGTCTAAATTTTATAAAAAAAACAAATTCAATTAAAATTTATGAAAGTTTTGATTTAAAATCTAAAATTCAATTATTTCTAAAAAATTTTAACTTTAAATCTTCAAAAATTTAATTATTTCTAATATTCTTCGGGAAATTAGTTATTTCTAATAAATGTAATTAATAGTTTCGAAAATTTAATATTTTTAAAAACATTTTTCAATTCAAAATTCTCTAATATTCAATTATTATTATAATTATCAAAAGCTTATTAAAAAAAAAAATCTTCATCAATTCAAATTTAAAAAAATCTTATTTAATCTCAAAAAATTCAATTACTTCTATATAAATGTTAACTGCAGTTTTTTCAAATTTCGATTATTTTTAAATTTTGTCTAAATTCATCTTTTTAATAATACTTTAATTGAGTTCTTCGAAAATTTAATTATTTAAAACATTTTCTAAACTTTTGAATTCGAATAATTTGCATAAATCTGATTAGAGAATTAAAATAAAATTTATTTAATTTTCTAATAACAATTGATTGATAAAAAAGTAAAATATTTATTATCTAATTGTATTTATTAAAAAATAAGAAATCAACTTTTCTTGTAATGTAAGTCGACTAAAACGTCTTTTTTTCTACCCCTAAATTCGATCTAAGACCTAAAAATATCAACAATTAAATGTATTCATTAATAGTTTATAGTGAAAAAAGATTAAAAGTAATTTAATCTTGCACATTTAATGTATTTTTGCCATTTAAATTTATTAAAATAGTACCTGGAAAAGTCCTGGAATTTTATTTGAAAAAAGTCCTAGACACCCTGAAGTATATTTAAATAATCTGGTGAAATTAAATTATTATTATTTTAGGCATCTGAGGCTGGTGTTCATAGACCACCTGTTTCTGGAATACATGGACGAGAAAGTGATTGCGCATATTCAATTGTATTATCTGGTGGATATGAAGACGATGTCGACAATGGCGAAGAATTTTATTACACTGGTTCTGGGGGAAGAGATTTGACGGGTATAATTAAAATTATATATATATACTTTTCTTAATTAAACATAAAACTATATCAATATTTATATGTAATTATTTTTCAATTTTATTCAAAAATTTATAAAATTTTCTATTTAAAATTATAATTCTAATTATTATAATATTTATAAGTGCGTAATATTTTTCAAATTAATAATTCTTTAAATACAACTATTAATCAATTTAATCGAAAGACCGTTGTTTCTTTTCGCAATAGGTAACAAAAGAACGGCAGTTCAAAGTTGCGACCAAGTTCTAACTTTGTCGAACAAAGCATTGGCATTAAATTGTAACGCAGAATTCGATTCCACGAGAGGTGCAACGTCTGACGATTGGATGAATGGAATACCTGTTCGTGTTTTGCGTTCTTGTAAGCTTGCCAAGCATAGTAAATTTGCTCCAAAAGAAGGCATTAGGTATATAATTGTGAAACAAAAAAAAAACACAATGAAACAAATTATTGATACAATTTATAAACACATGTTTTTACTTTTTTTTTTTTTAGATACGACGGTCTTTATAAGGTAGTGAAATATTATCCCGAATTGGGAAAAAGTGGATTCAAAGTTTGGCGATATTTCTTAAGACGTGATGATCCTACACCATCACCGTGGACAGAGGAGGGTAAAAAAAGAATTGAATCACTTGGCATAGAAATGATTTATCCTGATGGTTATTTAGAATTTCAAAAAACAAAAAAGAATTCTATTAAAAAAAAACGTAAAGCAATTACAAATAATGAGGAACAATTTAATAATAAGAGGACAAAATTGGAGAATTATCAATTGGATGATGTGATTTGTAAAATTATCAAAAAGGATAAATTAAATAAGAAATTTTGGGAGGAATTTTGTTTACGTTCTTTTAAGAGTAGAATTCAATTTTTAAAAGACGTCACAGACACGTAAGTAGTTTTTCATGGATAATAAATTTTTCAAAAAAAAAAAAATTAGATATTACAAATTATATATATTTAAATTTTTAATTGAAATAATTTACAATTATTAAATATTCAGGGTTAACATCTACTCAATTTTCTTCACCTATTTAAAATTTTGTCACTTATTTTGATAATTTGTTACTTTTTTCACCTTTTTCACGATTCGATTAATTTTCGGATTTAATATTTAAAAAATAATCAAACTTACAATGTCATTAATTTAGAGAACACAAAAATACACAAAATCTTTTCAATAAATAACCCAAGCTTGAATTTTTTTTTTGTTAACTCATACATAACTTTTATGATTTTTAAAATTGAAATAATGTTTTTCATTTAATTTAGTAAATTTTTAATTTCAAATTCTGGTTTTTCGACAAGAAACTTTAATTAGTTTCTTAAGAAAAAATTTGCTTCTCAAAAGGTTAAAAATTATTTATGATAAATTTGAATAAATCTAAATATTTAAACACGTTAAAGCAATTGAAAACGATCAAAATTTAAAATCATTTTAATATTCTAATCAATCATCAATTCAATCAAACAAAAATTCAATTTATCCAAATTTTAATTCATTCAAAATCTAAATTTTAATTAAAATTTCAAATGATCTAATTTTTAATCAATTATAATTTTTATTGATCAAAATAAATTAATTAATTAACACTTTTATCAATTGCATATTTAATTTATCCAAAACATAAAATTAAAAAATACGAATTTCAATTTATTAAAATTTTAATTGATTTAAGTTTAAAATTATTCGAGTTTTAATTTATTCAAATTTCAATTTAAATTTTAAATTATTCGAATTTCTATTTATTAAAATTTTAATTAATTTTAGTTTAAAATTATCTTTAAATAAATAAATTTTTTTTCATTTTAATTTATCCAAATTTTGTTTGATTTATGTTTTAAATTATCCAAATTATAATTTGTTCAAATTTATTTTTATTGATTTATGTTTCAAATTATTCAAATTTTAATTTATCTAAATTTAAATAGATTTATGTTTAAAATTATCTGAATTTTAGTTTGTCGAAATTTTGATTGATTTTAAAATTTAATATACCAATAATTTAAATAATAATTTTAAAAAAAAATTATTTTATAATTAAAATTTTTAATTTATGAGTTAAATTAATGAATAAAATTTTATATCACAATTTCTCTAAATTTTGATTGGTTTATTTTTCAAAATTATCTGAATTTCAATTTTTTTTTAAATTTAAATGATTTATGTTTCTAATTTTCAATCGACTTAAACTTTAAATTAACAAAATTTCAATTGATTTAAGTATCAAATTTTCCGAACTTCAATTTATTACAATTTTTACTGGTTTACTATCCAAATTTTAGTTTGTTCAAATTTCAATTTTAAATTATCAGAATTTCAATTTGTCAAAGTTTTAATCGATTTAAATTTTAAATTAACTAAATTTATATTGATTTAAGTTTCAAATTATTTGAATTTTAGATTATTCAAATTTTAATTGATTTAAGTTTCAAATTAATCGACTTTCAATTTATGCAAATTTAAATTGATTAAAATTACAATTTATCCAAAATTTGAATAGAAACAAATTATTTGATTTTAACTATTATTATTATTATTATTATTATTATTTTTAATCAATTTTCGGTAAATAATTCACCTCTTCATCTATTATCAAGAAAAAATGCTCTATTAAAATTTATTAAATTTAATAAAAAAATTTATGTGAGGAAAGTTGAAAATAATAATATAATATTTTAAAATTATGTTTTAAATTAAAATTTTATTCTTGTGGCAACCCTGATATATTTAATTATATATTATTGTAGATTATTAAATAATCTAAAAATTAAATTTTTTTAAAAATAGATTTACATGCGTATGTTGTCAGGAGCTTGTTTTGAAACCAATAACTACACCATGTACTCATAACACGTGTTTGACATGTTTAAAACAAAGTTTTGAAGCCGAAATATATTCATGTCCCCATTGTCGCTTTACATTGGGTGCCAATTATAAAATGGATGTGAATAAAAATTTATCGGTTATTTTAGAAACTCTATTTCCGGGTTACGAGAAATGTAGATAAAATATTAAAAAAGAATGTGTTCAGAAGTTACATGTCATATAATGTATTTATTTATGTATTTAAAAAATATTTATTAAATTTTTTACAAATATATCGCCTTTTCATTGATTGTACATAGAATTTTAGAAAAAAAAAAAAAATTATCTCTTATAAATTTTCCTGTAATAAAATTGCATACATTTTTCTAGATTTTTTTTTTTTTTTTCTTTTTAATTTTTGGTAAATAATGAATAAGACTTTAAAAAAAGCCTCCTAAAATTACTTGAGTTAATTATGATTGGTTGATGAGAAAATGAATTCTTCTTTGATTGGTTACAAATAATAAATCAATGGGAGTAAGCACACACCCTGTAAACGAAGCTTTATTTCTCCTTAATGAGAACAAACATTTTGAGGTTAGTTCCGAAAAATCTTGTCGCAAGTGTATAACGAGAATTGTGTGGTGCGAGTTAGAAGCATCACGTAAAAAAAAAAAAATTGTCAGTTGGATCTTTTTCATTAAGATCCAATCAAGCAATTAGAATCGCGTCCTTTTTGGAAAGATAATGTCTGTGATAATTGCCGATACTTAAAAAGTATTTGATATTATAAGTTTGCGATTAACGTCGATAACAATGTCGGCTTCAAGTTATTTTTTCGGAGCAATGCGGGAGTTTGGTATTGCCGTTTTGGATGTTTGACGAATAATTGAGTTTGTATTCGGTTATGATTTATTTGAATTAAATTAGGTGTGGTAGAAGGAAAAGAAAAAAAAAATGGTGAAAGAAAAACCAAATTCTATTCGTATATATGACTCTGAAGGTTATAGACGGAGAGCGGCATGTATCTGCGTCAAGAACGACCTCGAGGACGAGGTAAGTAATCAAGAGGGCAGGTTTTCAATATCCTCCCTTTTTTTTAACTATGCTTTCATTTTTTTTTTTCTATTTTTTCTTTTGCATGTGTATTTTAAATTTCTCTTATGTATATATATATATATATATAAAACGAGCTATTCAATTTTAAAGATGGTTTCCCCTCCTGCGTAGCAATCTGTGCTCCAAAAAGGAGACTTGTCCTCGTATGACCCTAGAAAATTCCATATATATATAAATGTGAAAATTTATCATTATTTACACTTTTTTATTTCTCTTTTAGAAGAAAAAAAAATATATTTAATTCTTTTTTTCCTAGCGATAATTTTATTAGATTTTTCATTTTATAATTCTTATTATGTAAAATGATTAAAAAAAAAAAAAAATTTTATATATAATTTTTTCAATCGAAAATATGGTTTTAAATTACATTCTGTCTGTGTTTAATATAAACTTTATTTGATTCTATTTGTAAAGTATCATAACATTATAGCCTTGATTAATTTTCACTGTGTATAGGGTAATTCAAACCTCGAGACAATAATGATATATTTCAATGTTAAAAGCATTTGAAATTTAATATTATGTATTGAAAACAATAACATTTATTATTTAGTAAGAATAATCAATAAGAACAATTATTTTTCTTCACCATAGCTGAAAATATAATTGATTTTCAAGAGAATTTTCATCTTTTAAACGGAAAATAATTCCTCTCAATTAAAACACGAGAGTAATTATGTAAGATTTAAAAAAAAAAAAAAAAAAATCTGCAAATTACTCTTCAAGTTTTTAATAGGTTGTAAAAAGAATTTTTAAATGGTTTAATTACGTAATTTACAAAAAAAAACTTTGTATAAACAAAAATCAAATTACAATTTTTTATCTATTATTTACTTTTTATTGTAGTATTTATTTTTTGTAATAAATTTTATCTCATTTACAAAATATTTGTATATTTACATAATTTTTAATTCATGAATGTACTAGAAATATTTTTTTTTTTTTTTTGAAATAATATTAACAAAATTATAGTCAGATTCATGAAATATTTCTACATTATTTTATAATGTGACAAATAGGTATTTAAAAATATTTTGCCTTTGTGCCAAGATGCATTGTTAGACACGGATCACCTGTCATTTTTGAGTTGGACATGAACATTAAATAAAATATATAATTTTCAATTCGACTATATTTTCACATTTACGTAAAATAACAAATCAAGAAAAACAAAGATAATAAATAATTTAATAATAATAATAATTATGAATATAATGATAAAAAAAGGATTTAAATTTTGTGATTAAAATTAATATTGAAAAATGTTTTTGTCAAGAATTCAAATTAAATTACAAATATTTCGTTTTATTTTGTAATACATGTAATATGTATTTAAAAAATTAGAAATATTTTAAGAATATTTAACAAAATATATAGATGAACATTTTTTTTAAATTATTAAATTAGTATTTTTATAAAATATTCTATTTTAAAATTCTTGAATATTCTAAAATTGAGACACAAATATTGATAAAAAAAAAAAAAGAAGAAAAAAAATTTTGAACATACTTTCAAAACGTCTCATTACTATTATTTTTCTTAGCTTATATATATTTTTAACTTATACTAATAAGTGGCGTCTGCCAAAATTGAGGATCATTACGTAAGCTTCATTTCAGTTTATATGAAGAAAAACAAGAAAATATAATTATTATTATTAATGTCGATATAGTAATTTATAACTTTAGCATTTTTATTACTTTAACTATGATTGAAATTTCACAAGTTCGCAAGAGAATTTGAGAAATCAATTTTTATTAAATAATAAAGAAAATCAAAAAAGGAGGAAATTATAGAAATTATAAGAAAAAAAACGTTTATGGTACATTTTTTCTAAAAAAATAATTTAATATTTTTTTTTTTAACATTTTTTAACAAAGTTTTATTTCTAAAATTCTTTTTCTAACAAAGTTCAATTTCTTTTTTTTTTCTAAAAACAATTCAGTTTATACTAATGAATTTAAATATATTAAAATAATTAATTAATAATAATAATTATTAATAATTAATTATTATATTCCTTTATATTACAAATATTTTTTAGAAAAGCCTTTTTTTTAGAAAAAAAAGATTAGAAAATTTTTTTTTTTTGAAAATGTGATCTCGTACCAAAAAAAAAACCATCTAAAAGTATTATTTATATTTATATAGACGTATTTTTTTTTTTTTTTTTTTTTTGTAAAATCTTTTGCAAAAATTAGAATTTCTTATAAGTAATCATAGATAAATGATAAGATATTTTTTTAAATTATATTGAAAGAGAGAAAATTTTTCATTAATTGAATAATATTTATGTGTAGGTACTCCTAGTGACATCCAGTCGCAGACCTGATAGCTGGATAGTTCCTGGTGGCGGTGTTGAACCCGAAGAGGAACCAGCAGTTACAGCCTTGCGAGAAGTAAGAGAAGAGGCTGGAGTATTGGGTCAACTTGGACGATGTCTTGGAGTATTTGAAGTATGTTTAAATTATATCCAAGTACAGTTGAAAAAAATAATTATTATAGTAAAGAAAAAAATTCCATTCCCATAAATTATAATACAGGATTGCCACAGGTCAGGGAATTTAAACAAAAAGTGCTGGAAAAATGTTGTAAACAGATTTTACTTGAATTTATTTTTTTTACATTAAAAATATTTAAATTCTTTTGAATTTTAAAATGAAACTTTAAAGTATTAAAATTTAATAAAATATAATATTTATATCTTAAAATACTATAGAAATCTCAGTTTTAAGATAAACGGTTCAAATTAAAAATTAAGAAGAAAAATTTGTATTGAAAATTTTCTTATATGATTAATTTTTTGAAAAACTATTAAAATTATTCAAAATTATTGATTTAGCGAAGAAATTTAGATAGAAACTTATAAATACTTACATTTTCGAATAGTTTCTATTAAAGATATATTTAGAATTAATTAAATCTCAAAAGTTTTGAAATTGATATTATTTGTAAATTTGAATTTACTAAAATATTTTTTTTACAAATTTTTGTAAATAATTTCAAATTTTGAAGAATTTTTGTTAAAATGTTTTTAAATTAATAAAATTTTTGAAGTTTAGCATTTAAATTTTTTGTAAATAATTAAATTTTAAAAGATTTTCAATTTAAAATTATAAAAAACTTTATATAGATACAAATTTTTTGTAAACATTTAATTTCGATATTTGTAAATAATTGATATCTGGAAGTTCTGCAATTAAAGTTTTTAATAATACAATGAAATTTTGGAAAAATTTATAATATAACTTTTTCAAAAATAAATAAATTTTGCGGAAATTAAAATTATTGTATTAAAAGCAATAATTTTAATTTGGTAATTGTTCAAATAATTAAATTATTGAAGAAATTTATTGAAATTTTTTAAAATGATAAAATTTGCAAAAAAGTTTTAGTTAACTTTTTTTTTTTTTGATAAATTATATAATTACGTGGATTTAATAAAAATAATTCAATAGAGTTGCAATTAAAAATTTTTGACCTTTTTCATTTTTTTAAGATTTTAAACTAAAAATTTCAAAAATAATTCAATAATTATTGAAGAATTTATTAAGAATTATGAAATAATTCAGTTTTTTAAATAACAAAAATTTTTAATTTCCCTGACATTATTATTATGTTAAACAAACATTGTTTGTTTAAATTCTCTTTATAAATTCAATTATTTTCAAAAAAAATATAATTTATCTTATTAAATTATATTTTTTTTTGAAAATAATTGAATTTTTAAAGAGAATTTAAACAAACAATGTTTGTTTAACATAATAATAATGTCAGGGAAAAACACAATTTCCAGACATTTCCTTATCTGGAATTCAAGGAAATGTCAGAGAAAATTTTTAATGAAAATTTTGAGGCAATTCTGATATACTATTTTTTTAAAGTAAATTATTAAAAAAAAAATAACAAATTTTTTCCCCCTTTACTGAAGTTTATTTTTGATTTTATCTATTCGTAAAGAATTTTTGTGACATCGAGTTAGAAATTATCGTACCTAATTTAAAGTATTTATTTAATGTAAATAATTTATTAAATTATGATGTAAAATTAATTTACAGAGTGCAGAGCATAAACATCGAACACAAGTGTGGGTGATGCGCGTTACGGAGGAATTGCCTGAATGGGAAGATTCACGGGCAATTGGCAGGAAACGTAAATGGTTTTCAATACCGGATGCATTGTTACAACTCGCCCAACATAAACCTGTACAGCGTTCTTATTTGCACAGTCTTCACAATACAAATCCGCGACACAACAATCCGAATACAAATCCATCACACCATACACACAGTCCAACAACTCCCATTCAACTCATGAATAATTCTAGTAGCAATCCTCATTTCAATAAACATAGCTAATAATGCAGACAATCCATATATCTTTTTTTTTTTTTTTTTTTTTTTTTTTTAATTTTTATTTAATTTTTTTTTCCGAGAGTGAAAAACACATTTCCATCCGAATCAGATCTTTCTTAATATTGCTTCTCACTGAAAAAAAAAAATCATAATAATTAATTACTATTATTGTATTTTATACATGTAATAACTGATAATGAGGTACGCTATAATTAATTAATTAATATATAATGAATTCTTAAATAACTGATTCCTCCTCCCCCTAAACAAGAGAGAGAGAGAGAGAAAAAAATAACCGAATGAAGCAAATTTTTTACAATTTTTTTTGTGTATGTAAAAACGTCCATCTGAGAAATTAAGAAAAATGATCGTCTACTTTTTCAGATAACGTTTTAAAAATGAGAAGTGAAGAAAATTTGAAAAATAAATGAAAGAGAGAGAAAGAGAGAGAGATAGAGAGAAATAATTGTGACGATTTTCAAAGCGATTAGCATAATTGGAAATAAAATTAGTTTTAAAAAAATTTGTAAGTCCAAAAATCTGTATTCACTATGAAAAATGATTAAAATTAAGTGATTTTTGTAAATTTTTAGAAATTTCATCATTTTGACGAGAAACATTCAAAAAAAAAAAACTCAAAGTGTACTGTTTCTGAGTTTATAATTGTCGATTTTTTTTTGGAAAAATATCAGTAATACATTAAGCGCCAAATTATAATAAAACTCGTTTATACATTAAAAAGAAAAAAAGACAACAAAATTGACATCGTTTTTAGCAAAAATTAAATTCTTATTTTAATTGAAAAAAATGGTCTATTATTTCTTTCAAAAATGTACATGCACATTACTATTATTATTATTATTATTATTATTATTATTATTATTAAGTTGAAAACAAAATTATCATATTACCTCAATAGTTGAAATAAATTGTCATATTTAATTTAAAAACAAACAAACAAAACAAATAAATTTTCCTATGACAATTACAATATACTTCTTTCTATTGAAAACGATTTTTTAAAAAAATAAAAGATACATTCTAAAATGTATGTAACTGATACATTTTCATGCAAGATTCTTTCTACGGATCTCACAGATAAACTGTATATTAAGATGAAAGTGTATAATGCTAAATAAATTATAATTTTTTAAAAATAGGAGACAATATGTTGAGAATTTTTTACAATTTTTATTTAGAGTAGCCACAAGTCAGGGAAATTTTTTTTTTTTTTTTTCATAAAAGCCAGGGAAATGTTAGGGGAAAAAAAATTGTTTGTCAAGAAAATTTGGGAAATTAAACAAAATTTTAATTATAATTTAAGTTTTAAATTAAAATCAAATTTAATTGAAAATTAAATAAATAAACAAATTAATTGAAAATAATTCATTTCTTAGAATTTAATTTTAGCCGAATTTTTTATTTCTTCGAATTATTATTATTATTATTTAACAGAAATTCCATTTAACCGAATTTCAATTTATCCATTTATCGAAATTTTAATTTCCTTGCTCTAGTGAAAACAGTAAATTAAATTATATTTTTATTAAAATTCATTAAATTTAATTTAAAAAAAAATGCTTATCAATAAATATTTTTTAATGACAAGAAATTTTTGTTGTATTTAGCACGATTGATTTTTGTAAGGATTTTGTTATATATAAAATAATTAAATATAAAATACAATGAAGAAGTTGAAAAAATACATTTAAAATTTATCATGTTCTAAATTTGCAAACAAATGTATTTTCTCAAGGAAAATTAGGAAAAAAAATGGAAATTATTTCTCTATTTATAAATTTAAAATTGTACGAAGTGAAGTTAGCAGTAGATACGGTCTAATTCCTGAATCGACCACTAGAAGAAGACACACAAGTTTTTTTTTTTAGGTTCTTTGTAAGTATAGATTTCTATCTTCTATTATTTCATTGCTTTTATTATTATTATCTCTCTTCTCAACAAATCCTTAACCCCACCACTGAATTTTGTTTTCTTGTTTTAAATATATATAATACATAAGTAGTGTGTTTAGTGTACTTATTTGGCGTACTCAAAAATGGCGAAAAAAACATACGATTTATTATTCAAGTTGTTACTTATCGGTGATTCTGGTGTTGGTAAAACTTGTATATTATTTAGGTTTTCAGACGATGCTTTTTCCACTACATTTATTTCTACAATAGGTAAGAAAAATAACAATTATCGTTTATATATCTAATTAAATCGACTTTTTTTTCATTTGTTATTAACAAAGCTGTAATTGTTTACTTTGCGTGTATGATATTGTTCTCTCTAGGTTAGTTTGTTTTTCAAAGATATATATATATCTAAAAAAAAAATTAAAAATATATATCTAAATGTTTTTATCCGTCTTTTTATTTTACGAGTAATTTATTTTGGACATAATGACTCATCTATTGTTCTCTACTGTCCTGAAGAAGTTAATTCTTTTTTATTTGGGTTAATAAAAGCTTGTATCTTTTTAACCCATCATATATATAACATATATATATATATATATATATCAAAGATTTATTAACTATCATTAAGAATGTCTCGATAAATTTCTTTTAAATAAATTGCTATACATTGCAATTTTACTTTTTTCTTTGAAAATAACAATTTATGAAATTTTATTTATGTTATATACTGCTTTTGGTCACAAACAAGTTTGATTCTAATTTAAGAATTCTTATATAAGTATACTTTATTTTTTTCTTTTTTTTTTTTTATTATTATTGACGACTTTTCAATTATTGAGTCACTTTACTCAATTGAAAAATTAATTGAAGTAACATTTGTTTTTATAGGTATTGATTTTAAAATCAAGACAGTCGAGTTGAGAGGAAAAAAAATTAAATTACAGATATGGTGAGAAATTAATTGATTTTTATTGTTTTTAATATTAAAGTCTGTTGTTGTAATTATATATATATATATATTATTATTACTAAATAATTTATTCAGAGTGTTTTAGTAAATTCATAAAATGTTGGAATCAGTCGGGAATTTTCCGTTAAACCGGGAATTTTATTAAAAAAAAATGTTTTTACTATAATTTATCTTTCTTTTCATAAAACAAAATATTTTTTTTTGTTGGGAAATTATTAGAATTATCGATTTTTCTTTCAGTTTCTTTTTTTCTACGATTTTCTATTTTCTTAAATTTTCATTTAACATTTTTGGTAATTTTTTATTTATTTATTTTTTTAATTTTTCACTGCAAATTCCTTTTTTTTTTTTTTTTTTCTTAAAATTGAAAAAAGATGAAGAAACTAAACCTCTTGAATTTTTCATATAATAAATAAATGGTTTACAGTTTCCAATTAATATTTAAATAAAAGAGATTTATTTAATAAACAAATTTTTTGGTAAAGATTAATCTTGTCTATAATTTTCATTTAAATTTAAATTATTACCACATAAATAATATAATATTATATTCAGATTTATATTTAAAATAATATTACAGGGATACAGCTGGACAGGAAAGGTTTCACACTATCACCACATCCTATTATCGTGGTGCTATGGGAATTATGTTAGTTTATGACATTACAAATGAGAAGACCTTTGAAAATATTGTCAAATGGCTAAGAAATATAGACGAAGTAATTAGTTTTTGTTTTTTTTTTAAATAATATTATAAAAGTATTTAAGAATATTGATCAATTTTTTGTTCTTTTTTTTTTAGCATGCAAATGAGGACGTGGAGAAAATGATATTAGGAAACAAATGTGATATGGATGAAAAAAGGGTTGTGAGCACAGAAAGAGGAGAGGCTGTAAGTTTGTGAAATATTTCATTTTTCCTCTTGTTTAAAATTTCAGGGTGTCTAGCACTTTTTTCAAATAAAATTCCAGGACTTTTTCAGGATAAAAATTTTTTTCCACCTAATATTTTATTAAATTTAAATGACAAAAATACATTAAATATACAAAATTAAATTATTTTTATTCTTCTTTTAATTATAATCTATTAGTGAATACATTTAATTTTTGATATTTTTAGGCCTTGGATCGAATTTAGGGGTAGAAAACAAACGTTTTAGTTCGATTTACATTACAAGAAAAGTCGATTTCTTATTTTTAATTAATACAATTAGATAATAAATATTTAAACAAATTTTTCTTAGAAATTAAATAAGTTTTATTAATTTTCAAATTATTCGAATTCAGAAGTTTAGAAAATGTTTTAAATAAATAAAAATTTTCGAAGAACTCTATTAAAGTATTATTGAAAAAAATGAATTTATAGAAAAAATTTTAAAAATAATTGAAATTTAAAAAAAGCTGCAGTTAACATTTATAGAAGTAATTGAATTTTTTGAGATTTTTAAATAAAATTTTTTTTTTATAAGCTTTTGATAATAATAATTGAATTTTAGAGAATTTTGAATTGAAAAATATTTTTTAAAAAATTAAATTTTTGAAACAGTTGATTAAATTTTTTAGAAGTAATTAATTTTCTGAAGAATTTTACAAAATTTGGGCAATAATTTGGATTTTTTTAAAAACTTTTATTCAAAAAATATTTTAAATAGAATTTTTAAAAAAACTTGAATAAAATTATTGTATATAATTAATTTTCCGAAGAATTTTAGAATTTCAGGAGATTTTAAATCGAAACTTTCATAAATTTTATAATTGAATATTTTTTTTTACAAAAATTTAGACAAATAATTGAATTTATAAGAAGTTTGATTTGAAAAATATTTTAAATAATAGTTTTAAAGAAGTTGATTAAAATTATTGTATTATAAAATTAATTTTGCGAAGAATTCTAGTTAATACTCATTTAATAATTCAGTTTTTGAAGATGTCAATTTTATAGTAAAAAAAGTCGTATTTTGTTTAAAAAATGTTTTTTTAAAAAAAGTTGAAAAAGTCATATTTTATTAAAATGTGTCGAAAATAGTCGCATACATTGAAAAAAGTCGAATGTATTTTTTATTTTATCAAATTTCGTGTTTATAAACGAGGTTGGAAAAAAATTCTTACACGAAATAAAAAATTCCAGGACCCAATGAGAAATTTAAGAATTGTTTGAGGTTTTCCAGGTAGAAATAAAATTCAAGGACTTTTTCAGATTTTCAAGGAATTTCAGGTTGCTAGACACACTGAAAAAATGATTTTTAATAATTTTTACAATTTCTCTGTTCTAATTATAAAATATGATTTTAAAAACTAAAATTTTGATTGAAAATTGATTTTTCTATATAGATAGCGAGAGAGCATGGAATTAAATTTATGGAAACATCGGCGAAAGCAAATATTAATATAGATCGAGCGTTTAGTGAATTAGCTGAGGCAATATTGGAGAAAACTCATGGTAAAGAGCCACAAGATGCTCCTGATCGAGTAACGGTCGATCGACGAGTAGAAAGAAGTTCCAATCGGTGCTGCTAATTTTATAAATAAAAAAAAAATAATAATAATAATTTTTCTGTGGACGCATAATAAGCAATTTTCGTCTATGTCCATGAGGCTGTATTCGTGGATAGCATTAGCTTTATCGTGTTACCTCGTACTGCTTTTTGTATAATCAGTGACGGATCATATATAATATAAAACATATATATGAAGCACTGCCTAAGAAAAAAAAAAAAATAATTTTTGTTCTCGCGATGTAATTATTAGATTTTCTTCAACTTTCTATATAAAAGTAAAAAAAAAAAAATAATTAAAAATTAATACACTCTAATGTTATTCAAATCTTATTGAATAGAAAAATGAAAAACTATCTCATCATTTTTCGATGAGAATAGAAAATTTTGTACGTGATTTTATAAAAATTTCATCACTGATACCTATTTTATACGAGTAAATAACAAATATTTTACACACGAAGACTGTCTTTGTTCTCTCGACTTGGACTTGAAAAAAAAACAACATGCGATAATTTATCGTAGTAGGGTCAGTTTATTAGCTTATTATATATATATATATATATATATATATAAATTTTTGTTTCTTCGCTAATAAAATCGTGAGGGTTTATTGACACGTGTGATAAGCACCTTTTAAAAAAAAATATAATATTTCGATTTAATACTGACATTATTTCATTCTCTCTAAAACTTGTAATTTTAATTCACTTTCTTTGTGACATAAGGCCATACATTCTACTTAATACAATTTATTTATTTCATTATTTTGAATATAAAAATAACTGCTATAAATATAATTTAAGAAAAGAACAATTTTCGACATTTTTCAATTTGTATTGGTAAAAAAGGAAAAAAAAAATTAAACCTAAAATGAACCAATTTCTCTTATGTGTATGTGTGTGTATATGTAAAATTGCCGAGAGTCGAATTATTATCAAATTAGAAATACGTGCCGTTCTTTTATATTTTCTAATTTAGACATTAAAAAAAAAAAAAAAAAAAATTCCTACATCACCCGAATAAGAAATAGGAAAGTGTGTATAATTATTATATAGTTAAAAAAAAATCGAAAGATAACAGCTTCCATCTTTCTGCAAAAAAGAAAAAAAAACATTGTGATTTGTTAGAAGAAATATAAAAATATTATTTACTTCGAAGCTGTTATCAATGTGTTAAAATATCATTTTTAAGAATTTAAGCTTTGATACGAATATTATATTTATATTACTTTCTAGATATGAAAATTTCAGCTGAAGTTAATATAATATGCAATAAAAAAAAAGGTTCATGAAAAAAAATGAGAATAATTTTTTACATTTCTTTAGTTTTTACAGAAAATGTGTCCATGAATTTGTTTATAAATTAATTATTTGCTACAAAATTTTTATTATAATTTTCCTTAAATTCTAAACAATATTTTGTGTTTTTCCCCGAAATTTTGGTATTTTTTCCTTTTTCTTTTATCAAATGTGAAATATATTTTTAAAAAATTGTAATAAATGAAAATTCTATCAAATGAAAATTGTTTTAAACAAAAATTGTAATGAAAAACAATTCAAATTCATAAAAAAAATTCAATTACATATTTTTTAAAGTTTTAATAAAATTCTTTTTAAAAATTCAATTTTTTTGAAAGATTTCAATCAACTTTTACAAATTTTCAATTTCTTACATTTCTTTTAATTCAATATATTCGAAAATTTAAATATTTTCAAAAACATAATTTAAATTATTATTATTATTCAATATTCAATATTTTTTTACAAAAAATTTCCAAATTCAAATCTCTTCTGAAATTTAATTAATTCTAAAAATCTTGAAAATTTAAGTTATTTATAAATTTTTATCTAAAATTTTTTGCCAAAAATCAATAATTTTTAATAATTTTTAATAGTTTTTCAAAAATGTAATTATTTGAAAAAATTTCAAATCAAAAATTTTCTAAAATTTAATTAGAAACGAAACTATTCGAAAATTTAAGTATTTTTAAATTTTTATCTAAAATTCTTAGCTAAATCAATAATTTTTATTAACTTAAATAGTTTTTCAAAAATTTAATCATATAAAAAAGTTTTTAATAAAAAATTTTCTAAAATTTAGTTATTATCTGAAATTTGTATAAAAAAAATATCAGGAGTATGAATTTAAAGAAAAATTTTAATTTAAAATTCTATTATTTCTAAAAATATCACCTGTGAATATTCAAAACTTCAATTATTTTGATACATTTTCAAAAAATTTGTACGCATTTCTGTGCTAATAAATTGTAAAAAAATGTGTCAATTGTTTTTGTTGTAAATAAGAAATTTAGTAACAAAATTGTATGAATTTAAATGAATTTGGAGGATGAAAATTTTTTTCAAATCATATTTAATTATTTGGATTTAAATTTTAATCGTTTATCTTAAACTGAGATTTTTATAGTATTTTAAACTATAAATATTATTTTATTAAATTTTAATAATTCAAGGTTTTTTTAAAAAAAATTCAAAGTGATTTAAATATTTTCAAGGTAAAAGAAATAAATTCAAAGAGAATTTTAATATTTTTAAGGTTTTTTTCCAGCATTTTTTTTTTTAATTCCCTGACTTGTGGCAACTCTGATTAAGGATATTTAAAAAAACGAATTTTTTTAACACATATAAAAAACTGCATTAAAATAAATATTAACCCTAATAAGTACAACTAGAATTTTGTGAGAGAGGATTATATCGCTAATTTGTAATAAATCAATTTTGGTATTCAAATATTTTTATTTAAATACAAATTAAATTTACAAGGAACAGGAACATTTTTTATTTAAAGCTAAAATAGTAAAATAATGTAAATTCATATAATGAACAGAAAAAAAATACATTTGTTTTAGCAAGTTGGTTTTTTTTTATTTTTTTTTTTTTTATATAATTTTAGCTAAACAACTATAAAAGTATTTATAATAATATTTATTATAGATACTTTTTTCTGTTATATTATGCACAGTATTATGGTAATTTAAACAATTATTCGTAATGAAACAATAATTTTCGAAAAATTAGCAAGCGAAGCTGTCTTTTATCGGAAAAAGATGGTGAAAATTGATAAATATTGCTTTGTTGTTTTTTTTTTTTGTTTTCATATATATAAGACACATTTGTACACATTCTTAGGTAAAATTTCACATTAACAATCTGACAAGATATAATTCTATTTAAAAACAGTATAGATAATTTATTAATATTATATAGAATTTGACGATCAATGCGATACAACTCTTCGATTCATATATAAGAATAATATATCATTAATTGCCCGATGAAACATTTTTTATTTTTTATAATAATAGCTACAATACATTGTAGGGAAAAAAAAAATCCACTGTCAAAGGAATTTAAAAAACAAAAAAATAATAATTACTTTCTCAAGAATTTTTTTTCATCAGACTTGTCATATTTAGAGAGGGAGGGAGGGAAGGTAATTGTAGTGTAATGCACGCGACATTTTCTATTATTATTCATTTGCCATCAGTTCACTAGCTAAAATTAATATTCATTCGTATAAATGGAAAAAAAATTACATAAACAATTAATTAAGGATTTACTGCAAAAATTCACAACTTTTTTTTTCTATATATATATATATATACTAATTCTCTATATTAACAATTGTAAAAGAATTGACATTATTTTTCAGTAAATCGACAATTAAGTGCTTTCAAAATGAAGTGAAAAAAAAGTATATAATTAATACATAATATTCAATATTATTAAACTGTAACAACTTTTTTTTTTGCATTAATGTGTTTTTCAAAGAATAACAAATATTTGGTATTTTCAAATAAAATGAAATAACTATTATTAAATTATGTAAGAATATTTTTTTCTAACCCAGACTCTACAAAATATTTAGCTATAAAATTGTTTTTTTTTTTTTTCTTAACTTATATAATATACGTAGTTTTTAGAAAATAAATTGAATTTCTTTTTCTTTACGTAGAATATGGAAATACTTTTTTAAACTTTGAAAGAAAACTTTCCTGGATTTTGAAAAAAATTTCCAAATATTCATTGAGAAATTTTTTTAAATCAATTATGAAATATATTGTTAATCACTTATTGTCTGAGTAAAATTATTATTATTATTATTACTCAATAGTAAAGAAAATTTCTAAATTATTGATTTTTCTTTTCTATTGTATACAGAAAATTTTTTGATTGACGTATAATACTTAGAAAGTTTGTTGTATTTTTTTTTCTTACTCACTTTTTTTTTCAATACTTTCAAAAAGAGTTATAAATATACAAAAATATGATCGAGTATATGAAAATAAATTAAGAAAATTAATGACTAAAAAATGTATCCTCAAGCTATCCAATATATCCGTTTAATGCAACGACACTACACTTGATTAATTTTGATAAACAAAAGAGAAAATTATTTCGAATTTGAAGTAATCAAAAAAAAAAAAAAATCGTATTTCATAATCGCTCGTTGTTTTCTTGGTTCGATTATCCAAAAAGTTTTACACTTATAAAGAAGCCTGAAATACTTTTTATATAATTTTTTTTTTTTTTATAAATTAAATTTTTTTCTTAATGACTTTATTTTTTGTGATTGATGAAAGTTACAGCGAGCTCTTTCAAATAATATAAATTTTAGCTACACTGTAACTAAAATTAATCCTAGTCTCGTGATGCGCCAATAATAGTTAAAATATATAAAAAGATATTGACAATATCTAAATAAAGATTGAGTGCAGCGAAGACATATTCTTCGGGTGATATCGAGTATTTATGTTTACCTCCCATCATCATTTGTGTATCGTAAACAAGATAAACTGAAAATAAAAGTGCACCAATTGATGCATAAACAAGTGACATTGTTTTACCCGGGAAAAACATAGCAATCAATCCAAATAAGACAAATACAATTAATGCAACAAAAAGAATTCCATTTAATGCCGTAAAGTCAAACTTTGTTTGAAATGCAAAAATTGTCAATCCAAAACATACTGCAGCAGTTATACCAACAGCAAGAATCACCTGTGTTTGAAGAAGAAGAAGAAAAAGAAAAATTAAATTATTGTTAATTATAAAATTTAAAAAATTATTTTCAATATTGAGTTGCCACAAAAATTTCATTACAATTTTCCGACTTCCAAAACAATATTTTGTATTTTTTCCCTGACATCGTATAAAGAACAATTAAAATTCATAAAAAAAAAAATCAATTACATATTTTCAAAAGTTTTAATAAAATTCATTTTAAAAATTCAATTATTTTCCAAACTTTCAATTAACTTTTACGAAATTTCAATTACTTACAATTCTTTTAATTCAATAATATTCGAAAATTCAAATATTTTCAAAAATATAATTTAAATTATTATTATTTCAAAAAAACTTATATGTATTTTATAATATATACCAAATTAAAATTATTGCTTTTTAACCGATTAATTTTAATTTCTACAAAATTTATTTAATTGTAAAAAATTTATATAACTTTCTAAAAAATTTCATTACATTAAAAATTTATATCTATAAAGTTTTTTATACTTTTAAATATTTTCCAAATTTTATAAATTTAGTTTTAAGTTACTTAAAGAGTATTTTTTAAAATAGTGTATTTTATGTAAGGGAAATGTAAAAGGCCGAAAGGTCATACATATGAAACCAAATAAATAATAATAAAATAAAAAAAAAATATTTTCCAAATTTTCAAGTGAAAATCTTTTAAAATTTAATCATTAACAAAAAATTTAACTGCTATAATCTATACGAAAATTTAATTAATTTAAAGTATTTTAAGAAAAATTCTTCGAAATTTCAATTATTTGCAAAAATTTTTATTAAAAAATTCTCTAAGTCTCAATTATTGTTTAAAATTTGTAAAAAAAAAAATCTTTAGCTATTCAAATTTACAAAAAATTCCATATTCAAATCTTTTGAAGTTCAATTAATTCTAATTAATCTTGATAGAAACAATTCGAAAATTTAAACGTATTTTAAAATTTTTATCTAAAATTCCTCAAATTTAATTCTTTAGATTTGAATTTTTTCTCTTAAAAACTGACATTTTTATAGTATTTTAAACAATCTAAATATTTTATAAAATTTTAATAATTCAAGGTTTTGTTTTAAAATTTAAAGTAATTTAAAAACTTTTAACCACGTAAATGCAGACCTTCGAAAAAATAATTAATTAACATTTAATATGGCTATTTGTTTAAAAGAATCAAAATTTTTCTTTTTTAAAATGGCTTGCTTGTTTGAAAATCCCCTCCCCCCCCCTCGGTGGAGTTGTAGAGAATCATTTTTTGAAGAAAATAAATCACATTATACATTGAAATTGAATCATTTTTAAAAAAATTTTGTAGAAGCGATATGACAAAAAATTTTTATTCTATATGCAAATTGTATAAACATAAATTTTGTAGGTTTTAAATTTTTTTCTTGAAAATTCATATTTCTTCTTTTAGAAAGTACAATTGATAAAATATTATTTTAATTATTTAAATGTTAATTAATTATTTTTTTCTAGCACTTATTTTTTTAAATTCACTGACATATTTCTGACTTGTGGCAACCCTGAATATATATTTATTTATTTATTTTTTTAAACTTACGGCATCTCTGTCATATCTTGAAGAAATTGCACCCAATAAAAATGATTCGGCACCTGTGAAAATGCCGAGAAAAACAAAATTCATTGGCGCCTTACGACGAACACTTGAACAGCATGCCATACATATTAATAGAGCAAATGTAACGCCAAGTGCAACCCAAACCGTTGCTGGATTTCTTTCAAACCATTTCTTAGTGGGTTCATGATAAGAAAACAATGCAATTACACCAACTGAGAGAAGAAGTTGGCTCATCAATATTGAATAGACTTTTCTGTAAATAAAAATTCACAATAATAATAATAATAAGAAAAATTTAAAATATGAAAAGTTGCTAGAGCATTTTTTTTTTGCAGATTCGTAATCAGCAAGATAAAATTTATCGAAAGTGACAAGAATCATTCCAGGGGCAAAATAAATGCAATTTATTAGAATTTTTTTCCTTAAAATTGACTTAACCCCCTTCACTGTTACAGAAAAAAAATTGATACTGTGGTTCCAAAATTTCCAACAAATTCTGGTCGACAAATTTTTATGAAACTTAGTATATAAGGATTTTTGGGGTCTCTGAATTCAAATATGACCTCAAAAAAAATTCTAAATGGCTGATCCAAAATGTCGAACATTTTTTTTAATTTATGGGGAATTTCATAAAATTTTTTATATAAGACTCTTTGGGGTCGCTAAATGGCTGAATGGCGGACATATATTTTTTAATTTATGCAAAAATCAAGTTCGGATTAAAATCCGTTAAAATTTTAAAAATTATGTTCGTCATTTTGAATTTTTTATTTTAAAGGTCAAATTCAGGCCTCAAATCGACTTTAAAACACAAAAAAAAAGTCGTTTTAGACGATTTATTATTCTGAAAAAAGACGATTTTTTTTATTTTAAGATTTTAACAAAATTTATTTCGTTAAATAACTAACGTTATTAGATATAAAATTCATTTTAATAATTCTGTAATAAGAATAATTCTATAATGAATATTATTAAGAAAATTTATTTCGAATATTTCAGAATCGAACTAATTGTAAGACAAATTTTCAAAATTTTATTTTAGTAGGAATTTTAATAATTTTATTTTTATTATAATAATAATTTTTGAAGAGTTAAAGTTGAAAGTTTTGGAAATAATTGAATTCCAACAAATTTTGTTAATTTTCAGATAATGTAATTAAATTTTACAGAACTAAAAATAATTTAACAAATAATTTTAGATAACATTTTTTAAAAGTAATTGAATTTTTAAAGATTTACAATTTAGATTTTTGAAATTAATTGAAATTCAACTTATTTTTAATTTATAATTTTTGATAATTTCACTAAAAAATTTATTAGAAATTTCAGGAGAGTTATAATTGAAATTATTAAATTTTAAAAAATTTTAGAAATTATTAAATTTTAGAATCTTTTAAATTGAAATTTTTAAAAATAATTGAATTTCAAAAGATTGTGTTGAATTTCAGAACAATAATTACAATAAGAGAAATTTTTAGTGATTTCTGTTGATGAAAAATTTATTAGTATTCACATAGAAAAATTGAATTCCAAAAGTTTTTAATTGAAAAATGCTTTCAGATAATTAAATTTTCGAAGAGTATTATAAAAATCATTAAAAATAATTGAAATTTTTTGCAAAGAAATAAATTTCAAGTGATTTTGAATTAAAAACATTTTGTAATTTTATTTGCTAATTTTTTTAAAATTATAATCAATTATTAAATTTCATAAAAATTTGTAATTGAAAAATAATTTAAGATAATTGAATTTGTAAAGAATTTCATTAAAATTATTAAAAATAATTAATTTAGTGAAGATTTTTGTTTAAAAATTTGTTAAATAATTTGAAATAAAGAAGATCTGCATTGTATACTAAAAAAACGTATTTTGTTTAAGAATTTTGTAAAAAAAAATGTAAAAAGAAAATCGAAAAAGTCGTATTTTATCAAAATAAGTCAAAAAAAAGTCGTATTTTTGAAAAAAAAAGTCGGAAAGTCATATAATCCGAGGCCTGGACACAGCGTATGTGTTGCTGACAATGAAGGGATTAAATGGTTATGTGAGAAATATCATTTGGATTTAAATTTCTCAAAATTTCGAATAATTGAAATATTTTTATTAGTTTACCTTATGAAACCTCTTCGAATGGATTCGTCATTAAATTCAAAACCCTTGATTTCATCATGCATAGGATCCTCGGCATAATTTGACCCGTACATTCCTGGTCCTTGTGGTGGTTGATGGCCAAATGCACTTTGGGCTGGAATAAAGCCTGGATCTAAAAAAAAAATTATTTTTTTTAACGATACAATCACAATTTTAAAATAAAGTAATAACGATAATTTTATTTTTTTGTTTAAAAATCCAAAAAGGAGCATTTTTTTTTTTTACCAAAAAAGGGAAATTATTGTAAAAGAGTAAAAAAATAGAAAATAATTTTTTTTTTTTTTTTTTTTTTTTTTTACAAAAGACGAAAAACAATTCTGGATTTAAAAGAAAAAAAATTTTCTTTTAAATAAAAAATAATCAAAATATATGTAGCTATTAATAGAATCGATAAAATAACGATTTTTTCTATTATAATGGACACTCTAACTACCTATTTATCCATTTATATGATAAGAAGCTACTTACTTTTCCGTTGGTACAATGGGTAATTTTAACACTTATAACTATTTTTTTTGACCCCAAATATTTCAACCCTAAATTTTTTGTGATTACTTTTAATGTAGTCACTTTTCTACCAATTATTTAGATGTTTTTTTTTTTTAGTTTAAATGGAAACATACCATAATTAAGTTTTAAAGAATTTTTAATTGAATTGTTTTTTTAGATAATTAATATTCAGAAGATTTAAAATTGAAATAAATTTTTGAAATTTTGAATTACTGTAGTTTTTTATTTAATTTCTGACAACAATTAAAATTTTGAAAATTTTTATTTGAAACATTTTAAAATAATAATTGAATTTTGGATGAGTTTTATAATTGAAAATTTTTAAAAATAATTAAATTTCAGAAAGTTTTATATTGAAAATTTTAGGTTTTAAATTGAAATTTTTGAGAAGGAAAAGAATTTAAAATGATTTCAAATTGAAATTTTACTGAAAATTTTAATTGATGAATTTTTTTTTTAAATTTCTATGAATAATTAAAAATAGTAATTTTTTTTTTAATTATTGAATTTTAGAAAGATTAATATATTGAAATTTTTTGAAATAGGTACCTAATTAAATTTTCGAAAGTATGAAATTGAAATTTTTAGAAGTAATTAAATTTCAAAATAATAATATTTTAAATAAATTATTTTTTGAAAAACTTTATGAATATTATTAGTTGAAATTATTGTTAATTATTAAATTATTAAGTTTCGATATTTGGAAATAATTGCAGTTTAATTGATTTTGAATTATTGAATTTTTAAAAATATATAATTTAAAAAATATTTTCAGATAACTGGTATTTTTTTTCAAGAATTTTATTAAACTTTTCGAAAATAATTAATTTAGCACGAAGCTGAAGTACGCAACGTTTATGATAAACAATATTTAAAGAAATAATTTTTTATAATGAAAAATTCTGTAATTTTTCGCCTAAAAAATATTTTTTTATAATTTGTTGATTAATGAAAACTACAAGAAATATTTTTTAGGCAAAAAATTATAGAATTTTTCATTTTAAAAAATTATTTTTTTAAAAATCTTTTATCATAAACATTGCGTACTTTAGCTTCGTAATTTAGCGAAGAATTTTAGTTAAAATTTTTTAAAGTAATTAAATTTTTAGAAGAGCTGCATTGTATACTAAAAAAATTGTATTTTATTTTATTTTAAAATTATGTAAAACATGTGAAAATAGTCCAAATTTTTGATAAAAATAAGAAAAAATTGAAAAAGTCATTAAAACCGAATTCTGAATGTACCAAAGAAGTATTTTCATGTAATAATTACCTGGTGGAGCTGCTCCTGGATATGCTCCTGGATAGCCTGGATTTGGAGGATATCCTGGATTTGGAGGATATCCTGGATTCGGTGGATAACCTGGATTTGGTGGATAACCCGGATTTGGTGGATATCCCGGATAACCTGGATTCGGATACTGATCTGCAAAGTTTAATTACAACGTTTAAGTGAAAAAAAAGTAAATTTCAAAATTAATTTCCATTTTAACCTCTCGCACTTGTTTCATCGTGTGAGGGACAAAAAAAAAAATTAATTATATATATATATCATCCATGATATGAAGGTAATTGTGATGAATATTTTTTACTCATCTGTGTGAAAATTATCACAATAATTATTATTACAATATACAGACATTTATAAACATATAACAATTATATATTATAATTTATATATTTATAATGTTACGATAAAAATATTGTTCATCGACCAAAATGAGAATATAATAGTGGCATATTTATCTGATTGTGTTTAATTAATAACTGCCATTTAAATAAATTTATTTAAAATCAAGATAAAATATATCTAGACCTTCTTGTCTTGGATATCCACCACCTGGATTGTTCTGCCAAGTTGTCATCTTTGGTTTTGCTGAAAAAGAACCTAACGTTATAACCACGTTTCACTTTCTTTTTCTTTTTCTTTTTTTTTTTTTTTTTTTTTTTTTTTTTTGCAAGAAAAGAAAATAGAAACAAAAATAAATCGAAACTTTTACAAATTTTACGCGCGTAATTTAAATCGAATTTCATAAATTAGAAAAACAAACACAAATAGATATCTAATTAGTAATGAATTTTGAAATAAATTTTCCGATGAAAATTTTCAAATTTTTAATCATTATGTCAATAATGAATCAATAATTATTTGTAAAGATGATAATCAGAAAATACATTATGTATTTATCTATTATTCCTTATCTTTCATGATTAATAGAATGTATAAATAATTTTTTGAAATTTTTTTTTAATTTAAAAAAAATGTATATTTAACGTTCTTAAAAAATTGTATAGTTTAAATCAAAATGTAATGAATTAAAAAGAGGAATTGATTTTTCTCTTTAATTAATTAATTATTAATTTATGTAAATGCAAAATTAAACTAATCAAACAAATGACAATTTATTCACGTCAAAAGAAAACATTGCGTTATATCGTGTAACTTAATAAAAACAATAAGTGTTATATTTAAAAAAAAAAAAAAAAAAACATAAAAGAAACACATTTTACACTTCAATAATCTGAATATTGCCTCTAAAAAGAAATCAATATTAAATTTTTCTTTTGGAAATTAGCCAAGGTGTGGCTTCGTTCATGAACTATTAACTTAGTTAATAAAAAACGTAATTAAATATATTGTCAATATAATAAAATACAATGAGACGTAAATAAAAATAATCAACGATATATTACATACAACTGACGTAATACATTCGTTTTTCTTTTTTATCTAAACATAATGTATAAAATTAAAAAAAAAAAATACTGTCAAAATGAAGAAAAAATTAATCTCTTATCAAAATTGTAGATGATCTCACCGTTTATGTAAATAATAATCTTTCTATAAATTCAATTGTAACATGAGAATTTTGTAAAAAAAAAAAGAAAAATAAAATAAAAAAATCAAGTCACGTTCATTATAGTTGTATTTATGAATGTGAAATTATAATTTTGTTATTTAACAAGACAGTCATTAAACTGTAAAATGATAAGACTATTATCTATAAATACGTGGTACTTTCAAATATATATATATATATCTTTATGAATCATTTTTTCTCTTTAAAAAACCGAAAAAATATATTAGTTTTTAAAAAATTAACTGTTAATAAATTTGGCCTACAACTTTACTTATCAATGTGATGCGTCATTCGTACATTCTGGAAATAGGTATAATCGATATACACACATGCATGCATTCGTATGTATATACAATATAGAAATTATTATTTACCTTTGAAAACTGTATATATGAATTACTTCAAATTTAAATGCAATATCTTCAATCACTGTGATGAATTTTATTTGCAAAATCAACGAACAACCGGCGAATATACAAGTTTATTTATAAATGAATATAAATTGTTTTCTTTTATTTTTTAAAGAAAATATTTTCTTTTCAAGAGTATGTGTACTGTAAACGGAAACTGTATTATAGCAGCACGTACACGAACACGTAATTATAAGATTATAACTGACTGAAGAGGAACACCTGATTTTTGTCATAGAAGATAAAAAAAAGTTATAGATAAGAAACACAGTTCAATAATACAAGGAATGCAACCAATTTTTGATTGGTTAAATGAAATTTGTCCAATTTTCTTAATACAATGCTACCCAACGCTGCATTTATATATGGATAAAAACTTAACGTTGCCCACGCGACGCATTATTAATCAGGATCGAACGACTTTGATCTGACTATATACCGGAACTTCTGATTTTATTATTTAAATTAAATTAAAATTTTTTTATTAAAATAGAAATTTGAAAATTTCATTTAAAATGGCTTGTAATTATAAACACGTGACACATTGTATTTTTGACATGGATGGACTCCTCCTTGGTAAGTTCAAAAATTGAGTCATTTAAAATTTTTCTTTTCAAGGACACATGTATTATACTTAATTGATTTGACAAATTTGCAACTATTAAATTTATTTTCTAATTCTGTGAATTAAAGTCTAAAAAAAATATTTCTTCATCGGATGATGTAATTTTGAAATTTTTCAGAATGATGACATTTGGTTATAACTTTTCAGGATATAGAATATTCCTTATAATTTAATGTAGTGTCAATATATTAATTTAATAATTAATTGAAAATTTATCGTTTATTTATCATTTTTTTTTCGTCTTTGTGAAACAAATAAACTACTCAATGTCAAGGTGAATGATGTTTGTATCTAAATTGTGTCATTTTCTATTAAGTGCTTTAAAAAAAATTATTATCTATATTTTTTTTACATTGCGAACAATTTTATTGCAGTTTGTGATTACCTAATTCAGGTGAAATATTTATATTTTATGAATTTTTTTTGAATGTTTATAGGTTCTTCCTATAAGAATACAATAATTTTTAGACTTGATGAGAACCGTAAAAGGTTTGGCATTTTGTATTTTTATTTTCTTTTAACTGCGCTGTAAATTCTTTATCTATTTTTAATTAACAAAAATGAAAAAAAAAATTGTTACACTAGTTTAAAAAAAAAAAATTAATTTACAAGGTTTCTATTTAATATTTGCTGCATGTTTTTCATTTGGTGAGCGAATAAATTATTTTTATAATATATAATTTGGTGAAAGGAAATTTTTTTATTGCTTTTTTGTTTATAAATCACAAAAAATAATTTGAAAATAATTTTCATTGTCCAAAATTTGAAGAGTATTTATGCTTATCGAACAAACAATTGAAACGAAAGTTAGTTCAATTCGTCCATTATAATTTTTTGTATACTTTAAATAATTTTTTTTTAAAATTATTTTTTACATGGCCTTAAAGGATAATTATAATATTAATAATGATGATAATTATCATTGAAAGCCATGTAAAAAATACTTAAATAAAAATGAAAAACGAGTGTAAAAAAAATTGTCAAATTTTCTTTTTTTTTTTTTTTTTATTTAAAAATTCGATATGGATTAATTTTTGTTTTGACTGCGTTCGATTCTTCCTTAAATTTCTTGTAATATACAATTTTTGTTTTTTTTTCTTTCGCGAAACTCATTTTGGAATAATAATGAAATAAGTTGACTGAAAATTCCACGCAGACACAGAAAGGCTATATACTGAAGCATTTAATCGTATCACTAATGCTCATGGAAAACAATTCACATGGGAACATAAGGCACAAACAATGGGTTTTAAAACAAGAGAAGTCTCATTGTGGACAATTGAACATTTGGAATTGCCAATAACTCCAAATGAATTTGAAAAACAACTTTTAAAATTATACGAGGAATTATTTCCACAATCACAATTTTTACCAGGTGATATTATTCTCTTCTTTTTGTTTCATAATTAACGTTAGATATTTATTTTGCACTGTGCAGATTCAGAAAGTGTATACAAGCAAATATATCAAACAATAGTATCTAAATATGGACATACCTATGGAGGTGATTTGGCCTATCAAGTTCTCGGAAGGCCGGAAGTTGTAGGGGCCGATCTTATAATAAATCATTACAAGTTACCTATAACTATTATTGAATTTCAAGATATTTATCACCGATTACAGCGAGAACTTTTCGTACATGTTAATATGATGCCAGGTTAAAAAACAAAAGTGTATTATGTTGTAAAATTGTGGCTTTTTTAGTTTTTTCGTTTAGAGAAAGAGAGAGAGAGAGAGAGCGAGAGAGTCATAATATATTTATTAAAAATCTTATCATTATATTCATTTCAAAAAATAGTTTTCAGACTATTACAGGCCTCGAATTATACGACTTTTACGACTTTTTTTTTTACAACATTTTTAAACAAAATATGTTTTTTTTTTTTTAGTATACAATGCAGATCTTCTTTATTTCAATTATTTAACAAATTTTTAAACAAAAATCTTCACTAAATTAATTATTTTTATTAATTTTTATGAAAATCTTCACAAATTCAATAAGAACTATTTTTCAATTAAAATTTTTATGGAATTTAATAATTGTTGATAATTTTGAATAAATTAGCAAATAAAATTACCAAAAATTTTTAATTCAAAATCACTTGACATTTAATTATTTGCAAAAATTTCAATTATTTTCAATGATTTTTATAATATTCTTCGAAAATTCAATTATCTGAAAGCATTTTTCAATTAAAAACATTTGGAATTCAATTTTTGTGTGTGAATACTAATAAATTCCTCATCAACAAAAATCACTGAAAATTTCTCTTATTATAATTATTGTCTGAAATTTAACACAATCTTTTGAAATTCAATTATTTTCAAAAATTTCAATGTAAAAGCTTCTAAAATTTTCCATATAAAATTTTTTGAAATTTAATAATTTCAATTATAACTCTCCTCAAATTCAATTATTTTTATTGATTTTTATAATATTGTTCGAAAATTCAACTATCTGAAACTATTTTTCACTTTAAAAGTTTTCAAATATTATATTTTTGTTTCCAATTTCTAATAAATTTTTTAGTGAAATCATCAAAAATTTTTAATTTAAAATGACTTGAATTTCAATAAATTTCAAAAATTTAAATTGTAAAATAAAAAATGTTATCTAAAATTATTTGATAAATTATGTAAAATTTAATTATTTTCTGAAAATTAACAAAATCTTTTGAAATTTAATTATTTCTAAAAATTTCAACTTGAACTCTTCCAAAATTATTATTATTTAGAAAAAAATTTTATTTAAAAATCTATAAAACTTTAGGGGAGGGACCGGTGAAATTTATCAACTCAACGAAATTAATGTTGTTGTGGGGTATCAATTTTTTTTCTGCCATTATTTGCGATCTACAATTATTCTGAATTATCAAAATAAAAAAAAAATTTGTTGACCATTTTAGAAATTGTTTTTTTTGAAAATATTAAAATTTTTTAAAGTCCATACGTTTGGTTGTTCAGAATCATGAAAAAAACAAAAAAATTACCGATAAAAAATAATAAAAATTATAAAAGAAGTTGAATTTTTAAGAAATAATTGATAAAAATTTAAACCAAACATAATTGGTTTGGTTTAGGGGTAGCAAATTTTCTTTTTTTAAATTTTTTTTTAAATCTGAAATCATATTTCACTATGAAAAATAAAAATAAGTAATTTTCCACAATTTTACAATTTTTTTTTTTTTTATTTTTCAGAAATTTATTTTTTTTTAAATTTAATTTTTTCAAAATCCATACGATTGATTGTTTACAATCATGAAAAAAGTGTATAAAAAAATTAGCAATGAAAAATAATAAAAATTGCGACAGAAGTTTAAATTTTTAGTTTTTGAAAATTTCGAGTTTTATTTAAAAAAATTATTAATGAATTAATTGTTTTTCAATTTCCCATTGTATATTATAGTTTTAAATATTCAATATTAAAAGAAAAAAAAAATTGACAACATTAAACAGCCTTAATTTTGAAAAGTTGAAATTTCAGCGGTCCCTCCACTTAATTAAGTATTGCCTGAAATTTTTGTTTGACCATCGAAACTAAAAAACAATGACAAAATTTTAAATTCGAATAAATTGCTAAAATCTGACTTTAAAAAAATATAAAAATGAAACTTTAAGAATTTTTTTTTTTTGAAATTTGTCCTTTTTAAATAAAATTTTGAAAATTTGTCTTACAATTAGTTCGATTCTGAAATATTTGAAATAAATTTTCTTGATAATATTAATTATAGAATTAATAAAATGAATTTAATATCTAAGATTAGTTATTTAAAGTAAAATATACATTAACCAATTAAATTTTGTTAAAATAAAAAAATCGACTAAAACAACTTTTTTTGTGCCTTAAAGTCGATCCGAGGCCTGGTATTACTATTTCCTTTTTTTAAAATGAACAAATTTTTATTATTTTAATTTTTCTTTTCTCCTAAAAGAATTTTTTTTTTTTTTTGCAACGAAATATTTAATTTGTTTTTTTTAAATTTTTTCATTTTTATGATCTTTTGAGACTTCCGAAGAACATAAATCATATTATCATCTCTATTGGTATCATATTATATAAAACAAAAACATTTATTTATATGTGTAAATGAAAAGCACAATCAATGCACATTTAATGGTCATTTGCATTTTAGTTTGACTATTATACATATATATATTATTGTATATTGCTGTTTGTCATGCACTTATAATCTGTAAATCAGACTGAGTTTCAGGAAATTTACACTTTTATGATGTAATAAGATTCTTTCATTAAACTGCAAATACGGGAATAACAACTTTAAGTTTATCTGATAGGGGAGATAATTTAATTTTTATTGGAGCTTAATACCAATAAAAAGTAAATTAACTTTTTACATTTTTCAAAAAATAATAATAATAATAATAATAATAATATTAATTTGAAAAAACTGTTTAAACATATTACGTCCACAACGTTTTAGAAAAGAAAAATTTCATGCGAAAAATAATTACTGGCTATAATTTTTTTTTTTAATTCACTGACGTAAAATATGTTTAAAAGAAAAAAAAATTGAATTGAAAAATTATACATTAAGAAAATTTTTATTTTTTAATATTTATTTATCTTTTGTAGTAAAATCATAATTCAGAAAATCTTGAAATTTTTTTTAAAACTAGGAAAAATCATGAATTTTATTCTTAAATTTTCATAAATATTTTGTTAATATTATTAGTTTTTATTGTCTTATAGATAAAATTTATCGTAAGCTCTTAAGAAAAAAAAATTGCAGTTTTTTTTTTTTGTAAAAAAGAAAAATTTTCTAAACATGAAAACTCAATCTGATTTTATCAATATTCTTAATACACAATTTTCTTTGCATACTTCTCATGTAGAATGTCCGAAGTATAAATTTTTGGTTTAATTTCAAAAATCTGATATAATTTTCTTTTTTTTTCACTTAATTATTGTAAAATTTGATTAAAATTTACCCATTTTTTTTTTAATTTTTATAGAAATTTTGTATAATTGTTTAAATTTTGTTTAATTATCTATAAATTTCTAAATAAATCTTAACAAAATTTTTTTAGGATTTTTGAAATTGAATTATAAACCCTATATAAAATTATTTTGATATTAAATACCATATTTTGTAAATATATATGTTAAATAATGTTTGTATTTTATCAATTCTTTTTTTCAATAGGCGCAGAAAGACTTTTGATGCATTTGAAAGAAAATAATATTCCAATTGCATTGGCAACAAGTTCAAGCAAGGATAGTTTTGAATTAAAAACAAAAAAATTAACAGACGTTTTCAATTTATTTCATCATAGAGTTCTAGGTGGTTCTGATCCTGATGTAAAAAAGGGAAAACCTAATCCCGATATATTTTTGGTTGCGGCTGATCGGTTTCCTGATAAGCCAGATCCTTCGAAGGTATATTTTTTAATAAACATTTTTAATATATTATTGAATTATAATTTATTTTAACATGCCTCGGATTTTACGAGTTTTTCTAACTTTTTTTTTTCAAAAATACAATTTTTTCGACTTTTTTGTACAATATTTCAAAAATAAAATACAATTTTTTTTAGTATACAATGTAACTTTTCTAAATTTAATTATTTAAAAAAATTTTAATATAATTCATTCCAAAATTTAATTCTTTTAAAAAAAAATTACTGTAAAATTTAATTATTCACAGTAATTAAAAAAAAATTTTAGAAATTTCAATTTGATATCTTTGGAAATTCAATTACATTTTTAAAATTTCAATTTTAAACCTTCTACAATTTTCAATATAAAACTTTCTGAAATTTAATTATTTCTAAAAATTTCAATTATAACTCTTCGAAAATTCAAAGATATTCAAATAATTGGTAGATAAATGATTACGTTAAAAGTAATCAGACAAATTTTTTGTGGTTCAAATATTTGGGGTCGAAAAAATTAGTTACAAGTGTTAAGGGGAGGGACCGCTGAAATTTTAACATTTCGAAATTAAGGCCGTTTAAGGTTGTCAATTTTTTTTTTCTTTTAATATTGAATATTTAAAACTATAATATACAATGGGAAATTGAAAAACAATTAATTCATTAATAATTTTTTTAAATAAAACTCGAAATTTTCAAAAACTAAAAATTTAAACTTCTGTCGCAATTTTTATTATTTTTCATTGCTAATTTTTTTATACACTTTTTTCATGATTGTAAAGAATCAATCGTATGGATTTTGAAAAAATTAAATTTAAAAAAAAAAATAAATTTCTGAAAAATAAAAAAAAAATTGTAAAATTGTGAAAAATTACTTTTTTTTTATTTTTCATAGTGAAATATGATTTTAGATTTAAAAAAAAAAATTAAAAAAAGAAAATTTGCTACCCCTAAACCAAACCAATTATGTTTGGTTTAAATTTTTATTAATTATTCCTTAAAAATTACAACTTCTTCTACAATTTTTATTATTTTTTATCGGTAATTTTTTTTGTAGGTTTTTTTTCATAATTCTGAACAATCAATCGTAGCGATTTTTAAAAATTTTAATATATTTTAAAAAAATAGAATTTCTAAAATGGTTAAAACATTTTTTTTTTAAATTTTCATAATTCACAATAATTTTAGATCTCAAATAATGTCAGAAAAAAAATTGACACCCCTTAACAACATTAATTTCGATGAGTTTAAATTTCATCGGTCCCTCCCTTTAAAATTACCACTTCTTTTGCATTTTGAAGTCAATCCAAGGCCTGTATTTATATTAAATTATTTAAATTTTTATAAAAGTCAGATTATTATAAATATAATTATATAATTGATTATTTTGTCATTTTCTTTCTTTTTTTTTAAGTGTCTTGTCTTCGAAGACGCTCCTAACGGAGTTGAAGCAGGAATTTCTGCAGGAATGCAAGTTGTTATGGTGCCAGATCCAAATTTACCAAAGAGATTTACAGAAAAAGCAACAATGGTAATAAATAGTCTAATTGATTTTAAACCTGAAGAATTTGGTCTACCACCGTTTAAAAATTAAAACAAATTTTTCTCACAAACTAATAAAAAAAAATTAGACAAAATAATATTGTAATACATTGTCACATAATCCTACATATATATATATAAAAAAAGTAACAAAATTATTACCTTTATTTTGTAATAAATACTTTTAATTAAATTATTTTTCAATACTGGATATAGTTGACAAAAAAAAAAAAATATGTAAATAAAGAAAAAGTTTATCTCAAATATAATTGAAAGTTACTTTTTTTTTAAATTCCCAAAGAAACGTAAATTTTATCTGAATTATCAAATTCCAAGTTATTTTAATAACTAATTTTAATAATAAAATATATATTTTATTATATAAAAAATTTTATATTGTAAAATTAGACGAAAACAAAATTTTTAAAATATAAATATAATTAAAATTTAAATTTTCTATTTAATTAAAAATTCTACAAGTTTATATATTTTTGTTTAAAACAATTTAATAATTTTGCTTTAACTTACATACTTTTTGTACAGGCATTCAATAAACTAAATAAATTATATACTTTATGGTTGATCTCTATTATTGAGAAACATTAAATTCCTTAACTTTACTGAGAATATCATCTGATTTTAAATTTGCTAATGCTACACATTTTTCTTTTCCATATTCTGTAAAATAAAAAAATGATAATATTATCGTCAAGAGGCAATTAAAACAACAGAAGAAGAAGATAATATTATCGTAATAGTTAAATATTTAAAAAAAAATTTAAGTTTAAAAAACCATTAAAGTCAATGTGTTAACTCTTTATTATTAAAAATTTGATGAATAATTAAAAAAAAACAATTGAATAATAAATAATGTATTTTGATTTTCATTTGTTTACTTACCAAAACGAGCATATAATTTGGGTTCAATTGCTGAACATTCTCTAATTAAAATTGGAAAATAAGGATTGTTGTTTTTTAAAGACACATATTGTTGTTCGATAAATTCTCTAAAAGTATAATAAAAATTTATAATATTCAATAACTTAAAATTTTATCTATATATAAAAAAAATGAATTTTTATTTTATGTCAAAATTTCTCACCTAGCACCTTGACTCGACTTTGATGTTTGACAAAGTAAAATTCGTAATTCTTTTAAATGTGGCCCAAATTTCACTGCAGCCATTATTTTTTTAAATAATATTTATTTTATTATTGACAATTGAATATAAATTATAGTAGTCTTGATTTTCTCTCTAGGAAAATATTTGACTTCTGCTTTTTATGTCGTCTGCTATTTTTTTCGATAAAATTCGATATATATATATATACATATATTGAAAAGAGATGAAGAGATATGAATTGGACAAATTGCAGTGATGGGTACGTATAATACGTGGTTTTCTACGTGTATAATACTACGTATATTACGTCCCAGGTTTTCTACACGATGTATATTACATTTGATCACGTGATTTAAGAGCGGCAATTTTAAATTCTTCATTAAAATACATCATTCATTACTTTACACTATTGAAAGAGAAAGTTGATTGGAAGATTGGAAGAGGAATATGAAGAGGAATAGAGATAATATAACACAACACGTTCATCATATGTTACTGTAGATGTTAACGCCAGCAATAATATATTTAATTTTATAATAATTATATATGATTCAAAAAGATATGATTTTAAAAACAAGATGTGCTTTATTTGACAATGGTTTTTTAACTTTTAAAGTAGTAAAAAAATGTGATTAATAAATAGACACAATATTTTTTATTAAAAATATTTATTTATCATACGTGCAGTATAAATTAATAAATTATGCTTGTAAAAGTTGTCGTCTTCAATTTTTATATACATATTTATATTCAATTTAAGAATGTATTAATTACAATTACAAATTTTAGGGGTACTTATCCACTTTATCCAAAATGCTTTCCAATTCATCAATACTCATTATTCGAATATATTCACAGAATGGTATCAATGTATCATCGACAAAAATTTTTATTTTACATTCTGGTAGTACTGCAACTCTTTTTCTAACAAATCCATTATCTTCAACTTGTTGAAATCCGAAAAATGATTTATTTCCTTTTGTAAAAACCCATTTTTTTGAAGGGCGTTTCACTGAATCAATATTTGTTTGCAAAAACTCAAACGTACAAACATCCGTTTTTATATCACATTTATTCAATTTTGACATTCTGACCTATAAAATTAAATTCAATTTAAACTATTAGTATCAATTTCCATTATACATAATTGTGTTTATAAATAATTAATCTAAATACGTATATAATTAATATTGAAAATGACACATTATACTCAATACTTTACATTAAACATATACTTACTGCTTTGAACAACACTATGGGAGTGTAATTTTCTTGTAAATTATGAATTACATTAAAAAACATTCACAATTTTGTTACAATTCCGTTTCAACATTTAGTTGCTTGATAAATGTTGTGATATTCGTAATCGCGTCAAATAGCAGACGATAATTTCAATGTTTCTATATTTTCACTATAGGTTTGCTAGTGTCGCGAACCTACCAAACACTGAAAGGCAGTCGGAAAACTCGGAACATATTCGTTTTGCATAGTGGGGGCTCCTTATACTACTTCGTGATTGTCAGTCTAGTCGTTTGGTATCTCCCAAAATAAACAATTTTTAAATAAAAACCAGTGTTTCATAATGTTTTGACAAATTAAACATTTAGCAACATTTTTATCAGTGCCTATAGCTCTTTCATCCGCTCAAATTCCATTTTTTCCCAGGGCAAACCCTCTTAAAAAAGATTTTCTTTTACTTTTTCTGACCATTTCTATTTTATTTTAAGACTTTAATTTAAGGCCATGTGAGACAAAGACACTTTTTGGTAGTTCCAAGTATTCTCGAAAATGAGAAGAAATTTCGGGTTGAAATTTTGAGGAATGATAAAAAAGGGTTGAAGGAATTGGGCCGTTCTACTTATTTACTGTAATTGAATGCGAAATAATTAAAAAAAAGTAATTAATAGTGGAATTAATAGGTTTTTGTTATTTCTTTGAGCGGCCACTAACTCGAATTGGCGCTAGTTCCTGGACCACTGATACATTCACGCAACGTCTGTGTGTACCCCCGCCATGTTGACTTCAACTTTCGTTCAAAAATGGGAATTTTCAAACTTTTATTTTTAATACTTAAACGCAAAATATTGCTTCAAACCGAGAACAGCGCCTTTCTGAATGCTATTCTCTATCATAATTTACAAATTTCAACAAAAAATTCTTTACCATTTTAGAGAAAACTTGGTAATACGATACCATGTTTTTTGCATGGGGGTCACGTGGGTATTTCCCACATGGCCTTAAATAGAATGATAAGAAAAATTCGTTATTGCAAAAATCAGAGGATCATATATAGATGTCAAAATGTCATGGAGCGGTCACACCTCGCCTGCAGGAGCAGTTGCCAATGGCAACCATGTAAGAGTAAGAGAGATACATTTTTATACATTTTTATACATTTTATACGTATATTACGTCGAAAACGTATTATACGTACAAAACTTCGTGTGATGCGTCACAACCCATCACTGACAAATTGTATACTCTTTCGGAGCATTTACACCTTTGGTAAAAAAATTTTTTATTTTTGAATTTTCCGAAATACACAAACCTGATTGGTTGTTCACAATCTGATTGATAATGGACAACCAATCAGATCTTTGCATTTCCGAAAATCAAAATAAAAAATTTTTTTTACCAAAGGTGTAAATGCTCCATTAGGGTACGGTCACACGACTTTTGGAAAAACCATTCTTGTCTTTCTCTCTCCTATTACAGACGCATAAGTTTGTCTCACTCTGCATTTTCCATCTTTGGGAAATGTAAGAAAATGCAGAGTGAGACAATCTTATGCCTCTGTCTTAGGAGAGAGAAAGACAAGAATGGTTTTTCCAAAAGTCGTATGACCGTACCTTTACTCTCTTTTATTAGGTATTTTACCTTGTGACGTCAGAGGCTGATGACGTCGAAGCCTGGAGGGACAACAAACGAAAAAAACAATGAAGAACTGTCAAACAAGTGATTTTGAGGTTAAGTTTTTGAAGTTTTCAACGTTACCAACTGTAGATGGACTATAGTAAAATTATTTGTTGTCCCTCCAGGCTTCCAGCTGATCGGGCAGCCATATTTGAAAGTGAAATACCTAAAGGCACTCTCACACCTTTTTGGCTGCCTGCAGGTTACCATGGCAACGCACGAGTGTGAGTGAGACAGAAAATTTGAATATTCAAATTTTTAAATTTTCTGTCGCACTCACTCTCATGCGTTGCCATGGTAACCTGCAAGCAGCGAAAAAGGTGTGAAAGTGCCTTTATTCTCATTGAATACAGGGTTGGGAAGTATAAAACATAATAATGGATTATTTTGATTTAAAATATGATTAATTTATTTGTGTACTTAAGGTGCTTATATACCTCAAATTTCGATCAGATGAACATTATTTCTGGACCGTGAAAATGCGTGAAAAGTCATTTTCACGGCGGGTATTTTTGAATTGTTTTAAACAAAAAATGTTTTTTTTAAGAAATATAATATTAAATAATTGTTTTAATATGTAAGAACACTTTAAAATAGTGATAGAGAGATGATTTGATTAAAAAATTTAGCAAATTTTGCTTTAAAACGTTTTCTGCTACAAGAAAGTGTAAAATGACGATGTTTGTGAAATGGTTTGTACAGTGTACATGTGTACATGTTTCTTTCAGTTATTCGAAACAATTAGTTGAATTTAAATTTATTTGATAAACATTTCAACTTACCGATTTATTTTCAGCACTCATTATTTATTACAAGTTAAAAAGAACCGACATAACATAAACAAAACTCTGAGAGACACTAACAAGGAAGAAGCACTGTACAAACCATTTCACAAACATCGTCATTTTACACTTTCTTGTAGTAGAAAACGTTTTAAAGCAAAATTTGCTAAATTTTTTAATCAAATCATCTCTCTATCACTATTTTAAAGTGTTCTTACATATTAAAACAATTATTTAATATTATATTTCTTAAAAAAACATTTTTTGTTTAAAACAATTCAAAAATACCGGGCGTGAAAATGACTTTTCACGCATTTTCACGGTCCAGAAATAATGTTCATCTGATCGAAATTTGAGGTATATAAGCACCTTTATAAACTAATTTATGAAAATTAATTATTTAATAACAATTAGATTTGAGTGACAGAAAAATAAATTTTTCAATTTTATTTTCTTCATTATGGTGGTGAATTGGTGAAACTGTTTCATTTTAAATTTATCCCGGGAAAACAATTACTATATTTTTGTTTCGATTTCGCAAAGATCTTTATTGAAGGTTGTTGTAAAAAGACAAACTTCACTTTATGTCATTATTTTTAAGTTTTTGGCTACATTCTTGAAATTAAATTAACTTTCTATAATGTTTTCACGAGCTAAATTAAAACAATTTAGATATATTTTTAGATAAACAATATTTTTTTAAAAACATTTTTCATTGAAAAAATGGAGCAAATATTTCGAAAAAAAATTAATATGAAAAGGAAATTTTACATGAAATAAATTTTTTTTTAATTATGAACCTTCCTCCTTTATTCAATGAGAGCTTCCCCTCTTTTATTAAAGAGCAAATAGATAATTGCACCAGTGTTTTTTGGTATCATCCTGAATTTTCTCAAAGTCGATATCCACCGGGACAAAAAAGTATATTTATATATTTTTTAATTTGGTAATTTGTATAATATAAACATTGGCATTATTAATATTTTTTTTGGGCATTTTATTTATGTAATTAATTATTTTACTTTGTTTTATTCATAAAGTTAATTAATATATATATATATATATATATTAATTAACTTAAAAAATTAATTAATTAAAAATTTATTTTTTTAGATACAACATAATTAATTTTTTTTTCTTTTTTTTTTTACAGAAAGTGAAGCTTGTACTTTAATTTGTTTACTTCTAGCTCAACGGATAAGTGAAAGAAAATTAAAAATTTTAAGAGTAGAAAAATGTTTAGAATTAAATATTTTAATGGCAGAAGCAATAATTGAAGGGAATAAAATGCATTCGTTGATTTTAAATAAAGGAATAATTTCACATCCATATTTGAATACAGTCGAAGCTCTCGTTTATGGAGGGGATAATTTAAATAAATTAAAAGAATGGGTATTGTTTTTATTTTTCATAATTTATAAATATGCGCATTTTAATATAATATTAATTATTTTTTTAATATATCAGGGATCACAGTACCTTTTAATTTTCAAGATCGATTGAATTTGCAATTTTGTTATTATTAATAAAAATTAGAATTCATTAAAAGTTGGATGACTTAAAATTTAAATTAAAAGTTAAATTAAATTGAAATTCAAATAGATTAAAATTTTGAATCGAATAAAATTTAATTACATTGAAATTTGAATGATTTAAAATTTGAAAAGATTCAAATTTTAATAAAAATTAATTTTGGATTTATTAATTATTATTAATATTCAAATTATAATATGAATTTAACATAAGATCGATTACAATTTTAATCAATAATAATGCTTCAACTCTAATTTGAATTAAGATTTATTCAAATTGAATCTAAATTATTTTTGAACCGATGAAAAAATTTTACTAAATTCAAAAATTGAATCAATTGAATCATTTATAGAAAAAAAATTAAAATCTTTAATTTTTTTTCCCTTAAATTAATATAAGTTCAGAAATATTAGAAATAAATTCTTTTTAAACGAATTTATTTATTTTTTTAAATTTAGGAGCGTAAAAAAATATTTTTTTAAATTGTAAATTTAATTATTTTTGAAATATTACATCTGAAAATTAATTGAATAATAATAATAATAATAGTAATAATAAAAATAATATGGTGAAAAAGGTTACAAATTATCAAAATAGATGTTAAATTTTTAAAAATACGTGAATTGATGATAAAATGTGATTCCTGATAACAATTTATATATTTTGATATTTTTATCGTGCTTCACAGAAATTTCGCGTAATTCATGAAAAAATTGAGAAAGGCTTGAGTAATAATATAAAAAATTTTCTTGAAGATTGGTATAAGCATCCGAGATCTGAAAATTTATTTATGCTTCTTATCACATGTGGTCGAACAATTATTTTTATTTTTCAAAATCAAATTAACAAGGTATAAGTTTATTTTTTTTTTACATTTTTCAATAGTATTTTTTTAATTACTATTATTATTATTATTTATTATTAAAAATTAATTATTATTTTTATTATCTTATCATTAATTACTGCTCAAGGTTTTATTGTTCGATTCACATGCTCATAATAATTTTGAAAATAAATTTGGATTGATTGTTGCGGAGGTAAAAAATTTATACAGAAAAAAAAGAAAAATAATTTCAATCTATCGATAATGGAAAAAAAAATTATATTTTAGACTACAATAGATAATTTTGAAGTTTTATGTCACTGGTATATTGAATCAATTTTGCATGGATGTTATTATGCTTTTTCAAATCAATATGAATTAGCATTTTTATATGAACGAGAAAATGGAAAACAATATTTAAAATCATGTAACTGCAACAATAGAGGTCATAAATTAGATACAAAAAAGAAAATGAATAAATAAATTAAATAAAATGCACTGGGTTTTTTTTCAAAAAAAAAAAAAGAAAATTGTTAGAAACATTTTTCTATTTTCTAAATTGATTTATTTCAATCAACTATAATATTATAACTTATCCCTGGTTAATATATATATATATATAACGACGAATTTATTTACATTATTTACAAACTTTACTATGCCCTTCTTTTTTTTTTTTTAAACTCTACAAATTTCTAGCAATGTCGAAATGGGAATTAAACTCTAAATTTCCCATTTTAATTTTTATATTATACATATATATTATTTTGCAAGTTTTTAAAAGAAATATCAGTTTTTAAAAATTTTTTTTCTTAACTTTATTATAAAGAAAAAGAAAAAAAGGCATTTATCGGGAAAAACATTTTGAAATTTTTCATTAAATGTATAAATAAGAGTATATGTAAAATAAAAACATGAATGAGACATTATAATTAATTTCGAAAATTGCAATAATTCTTTTCTACGGAAATTGATATTACCGTTACACTAAACTGATCTATATTAAAAAAAAATTACATGTATAAATTTTTTTTGCAGCCATAAAAAAGAAAAATGTTTGCAATTTTTTTTAAAATGAAGATTCATACATAAAATAATATGTTTTTTCTTTACTTCCCAAATGCGCAATGATGAATTATTTAATTCTATAGAAATAAAGACGGAATGATTTTGAAAATATTTTTTTCTGTAAATTCGTTGAACTTTTCAATTTTTGTTCATATTTAAAATTGAGAAAAAAAAAGTTGCTATTTTTTTTTTTTTTTTTTTTTTTGAGAAATTTCATCATTTTTCAAAATTCTGTAATTACATTCGTATAGTAATAATAATATACTCAGAAATATACCTATTTCATTATTAAAACACACGCATTAATCTTTAATCACAGTTGTCTCGGTTTTCGAAGAAAAATACTGTCTTCTGACGAATAAATATCACACATTTGAAAAAATGCAAATTACCTCTCTGTAATTATCAATTTCTCATGTATCGTTAAAAACTTATTTTTTTATTTTAAAAAAATAAAACTATAATATTGGAAATTCATGGAGGGGAGAGAGAGAGAGAGATAGATTATATCTCACTATATTTATGAAAATGGTCAATTCTAAATCTATAAATATATATATTGCTTTTTATATATTTTTTAAAGAGCTTGAAAAATTATTGAATAATTTGTTTCAAGAAAAATTCTGATAGAACGTGTTTATAACGTTTATACACTATATGAAAAATGACATCGATATATGCAGTTTTTTTTTTTTTTTTGAGTGATCCCTATAAAGACATAAAATTGTGAGAATATTTTTTTTATCTTTTTATCAAAAATTCATTTTCTTTGATAAAATATAAACAGGAAAAATTAGTTTTTTTTAGCTTCTAAGTGGTATTTTAGTTTTTTACATTTCTAATAATTTATACAATGGTTCCTCAGAGAGGACAACAATTTTCATGAAAATTTTGCAGCGAAAATTGTGTTAAATAAAAAAAATTCATATCTAAATATTAAACAATAAAATTACTTTTTATAAAAGTCTTCATTTTTCTTTGTTTCTTTTATAATTCGATTGAATCTATTGAAAGAGAAGACTTTTTTTAAAAAAAAAAAATAGTACAAAATAATAAAAAAAAACAACGAAATTTCAATTTCTTTTATAGTATATACGATATCAGCAATCATAATCTGAAAAAAAATTATAAATCAAATTTTTTTATTTTTTGTTACCGAAAAAAATTTCTAAGCTGCATAGAAATATTGTTAAGCAACACTCTTTGTACAGCTTTAATAATTGAGCAATAATTTTGTATTCTCATTTCTCTTTTTTTTATACACTCGAAAATATTGTTTTGTACACAGGAGAATATATAAATTTATATATATTCTTTTTTTTTTTTTATTCAAATATTTATACATTATTAAAAAATAAAGTATCTGAATCGACTAGTGTCATAAATTTTTATACATATTAATATATTATATATTTATATATTATATTCACGCTAGTCTCTACTTTTATTATATAGTTGAATTTAAATTTTCAACTTATAAATAAAAAAATAAATAAAGTAAAATACATTTTTTTTTTACATAAAAAGAAATTAATTTTTAATTTATTATTACAAAAAAAGTAGAAAAATATATGTCAAGCTACTATTATTTATAAATGTTGGGTTCTTTTTTTTCTGTGTACAAAGCAATATAATTATAATTATTATTATTATTATTATTATTATTATTATTATTAATGAGAGACAAACAAAAGTTACCAAGGGATTATAGATTGCGTGGTGTAATAACGAAATAAATAGTTTTTAAACAGGATACGAATGTTCTAGTGAAAAATGTTAAAGAGCTTGACGAACTCGTGGTTGTGCCCATTCAACAAAATCATCTATTAACACAGGCCAAGCACCTTCTTCATCGTAATTGGTCATATTTGCATTAATCATAAGAGCAAAATCTAATAATAAATTCCAAGTATCTTTTGGAATTGACCTCTTATGATGCTCCTGAAATATTTCATAAATTTGTCCATAAAATTATACAGCAAAAATATTTAAAAAAAAAACAATAAATTCTTTACAGATAAGATTTGATTAATTTTCTGCGATTATTTAAAGAAGTAAAATTTTCATATGTAATTTGTAGTTTCTTTGAAAAAAAATTTCGTTACTTTTCCCTGATTTTCCTAACTAATTTGGTGACTTATGTAATTTTCAAGCTATTAGTTGTTCCTAGGCTTATTGTTTCATTTTTTTAAATACTTTTTCAGAAAATATTATCAGAATTATCATAAAATTTTCATTTGGTATTTTTTTCTTTTTGCAAAAATCAAATTTTTATCACGTTTCTTTTAAAACGTTTAGCATATTGTAAACTTTAAACATAAATTGCAGCTTAAATTTTCTCAGTGTTATAAAAAACAAAACTTATTCCTGCAAAAAAAAAATTTTCTACCAAAAAATGTTTAAAAATTTTTATTTATTCAAAAAAATGAGATATTCTGGTTAATCAACATTCTCTACTTTTGACAATATGTATTTGAAAAAATAGTGTTAAATTTTTTTTTTTTAAAGTGACCCAAGAAATAACACTAGAAATATTATAAAAATTGGAGAATTTAAGAGATTTTTAAAGAAAAAATTGAAAATAATTTTTTTTCTCCTGAGAAACAATAAAATACCAAATGAAATTTGACAATAATAAACAAATTCATTTTGCCAACTGAAACAAATGATAATTTTTCAAAATATGTGAATTAGGTAAAAAAAAAATTGAATAGGTAATAATCCCATGTAAAATAACTGTTTTCCTCACTATTATTAGTAAATAAAAAAAAAATAACAAGTTTAACGAATCTGAAGTCCACGTTTATAATTAACGATTAGAAAACAAAATATTTTTAAAAATGGAAAATTATAACATTTTTTTATCGAAAAAAATGTCTTCTAATTTATTTGATCAATAAACATTGAAAGAAATATCACGAAGCTGAAGTACGCAACGTTTATGATAAACAATTTTTAAAGAAATAATTTTTTGCCTAAAAAATATTTTTTTTATAATTTTTTGAACAAAAAATATTTTTTATGAGAAAAATTAGAGTATTCTACATTTTCAAACAATGATTTCTTTGAAAATCGTTTATCATAACTGTTGCGTACTTTAACTTCGTAAAATATCTTCAGAAGCGAAAATTCATAGAATTTTTCATTCAAAAAAAATATTTTATTAAAAATCGTTGAACATAAACGTTTTGAACTTCAGTATCGTCAATTCAGGCCTCGGATCGACTTTAAGGCACAAAAAAAATTGTTTTAATCGAAAAAGTCGATTTTTTTTAATTTTAACAAAATTTAATTGGTTAATGAATATTTTACTTTAAATAACTAATGTTATAAGATATTAAATTCATTTTATTAATTCTGTAATGAGAATAATTCTATAATGAATATTATCAAGAAAATTTATTTCGAATATTTCGGAATCGAATTGTAAGAAAAATTTTCAAAATTTTATTTAAGTAGGACAAAATATCTAAAAAAAATTCTTAAAGTTCAATTTTTATAATTTTTTCAAGTCTGATTTAAGCAATTTTTTCGAATTAAAAATTTTATAATAATTTTTAGTTTTGATGTTCATCAAAATTTCAGGCAATACTTAATTAAGTTTTACAGATTTTAAAATAAAAATTTTTTTTAAATAATAATTTTGGAAGAGTTAAAGTTGAAATTTTGTTAATTTTCAGACAATAATCAAATTTTACATAACTAAAAATAATTTATCAAATAATTTTAGATAACATTTTTTATAAATAATTGAATTTTCAAAGATTTACAATTTTGATTTTTGAAATTAATTGAAATTTAAGTGATTTTTAATTTTAAATTTTTGATGATTTCACTAAGAAAATTTATTAGAAATTGCAGACGAAAAATACAATGATTTGAAAACTTTTTAAGAGTAAAAACTGGTTTCAGATAGTTGAATTTTCGAAGTATATTATAAAAATCATTAAAAATAATTGAATTTCAGGAGAGTTATAATTGAAATTATTAAATTTCAAAAAATTTTATATGGCAAATTTTAGAAGCTTTTACATTGAAATTTTTGAAAATAATTGAATTTTAAAAGATTGTGTTAAATTTCAGACAATAATTATAAGAGAAATTTTTAAGTGATTTCTGTTTATGAAGAATTTATTAGAAATAATTAAATTTTAGAAGCTTTTACATTGAAATTTTTGAAAATATTTGAATTTTAAAAGATTGTGTTAAATTTCAGACAACAATTATAATAAGAGAAATTTCTAGTGATTTTTGTTCATCAAGAATTTATTAGAAATCACATAAAGAAATTGAATTTCAAAAGTTTTTAATTGAAAAATGCTTTCAGATAATTGAATTTTCGAAGAATATTATAAAAATCATTAAAAATAATTGAAATTTTTGCAAATAATTAAATTTCAAGTGATTTTGATTAAAAAATTTTTGGTAATTTTATTTGCTTATTTTTTTTTTAATTATAAAATAATTATTAAATTTCATAAATATTTTAATTGAAAAATAATTTAAGATAATTGAATTTGTGAAGAATTTCATTAAAATTATTAAAAATAATTAATTTAGTGAAGAATGTTAGTTAAAAATTTGTTAAATAATTGAAATAAAGAAGATCTACATTATATACCAAAAAAAACGTATTTTGTTTAAGAATTTTGTAAAAAAAAATGTAAAAAGAAAATCGAAAAAGTCGCATTTTTTAAAAATAAGTCGAAAAAAGTCGTATTTTTGAATACAAAGTTGGAAAAAGCCGAAAAAATCATATAATCCGAGGCCTGACTTCAGTATCGTCAATTTTATACAATAAATAGATATTTACCTGTAAAAATTGGCACCAAAGGGGCAGAAATTTAAATTTATCATCCAACACTATATTCCAATATGCAATAGCCATGTCTAAATCTAATCCCTTTTGTCCTGGATTTTTGGCATAATTAAATGTAAAATGATAAAAGTCTTTAAATTTTAATGAATCACGAATTTCATTTTCTAAACTACTTAAACGAGCCTTAAGTTTATCAACGCTGTCAACACTGCAAAGAAAAAAAGAGAATTATTTTCTCACTGGTTTTTTTTTTTTTTTTTTTTACATATTTGTAAATTAATTTATAATTTTGTATGAAAGGGATTTTTCCCCGTTTTTCTTTTCTAAATAAATAATTTTATAAAAATTCAATAATTCATACCCTAAATCCATCATTCCATTCATAAATTCATCACGTGTAAATTCGCATTGTTTTTCTGCCCGAAATTTCCAGGCAATAATCAAAACTAATTTACTTTCTGGACTTAATCCGAGATCGTCTAGAAATTTCATTATACCATCTGCTGTTATTTTGTCAGATTCCGAGGAATCTAAAAAAGAAATTTAACATTATGTACTTTTTTTCAAATATATATAAATATATACAAATAAAGAAAATTTTAAATTACAAAAAATTGACTGTAATTTGAGAATATAATTTTTAAATTAAATTATCCAGAATAAATGTTTCTTTAACATTACCTTGATATCTACTAAATAATATTTCAAGTTTTTTCTTGTCAACTGAATTTTTAGGCTCTTTATAATATGCCTCAGGATTCTGAAAGTAATTGTCGCTGGCTAAATCTAATTTCCAGTCATTTTGAGTTAAGCAATAAATTGCTGTTTGTTCTCCTGTTTGTGTAAAGGTTATGAATTTTTTCACTTTATCCCGTTGGGAAAATTTTAGTTTATGCTGGAAATTTAAAAAAAAAAAAAAATGTTACAATTGGAATGAAATTTTGGTAAATAAAAATCAATTCATGAACGTGCAATTAAAAAATTTTGACAAAAAATAATAACAGTTATTTAAAAAAAAGTTGTCATTTTTTTTTCAACACCATTCTTAACAATAAATAGGAAATTTATATTTTCTAAAATGGTATAATGATTGTTTTTATTCCATTATCAAGTATATACTCTATGATAAGCAAATTGAAATGGTCTAAATGTATACAAGTTTAAAATTCCAAATTTAAGAAAATTATTTTTAAAAAAAATTGTCAATTATAATAAATCAATTATAATAAAAGTTGAAATATTAAATTAAGAAAGTTAAATTCTAAATAACCATGATGCAAGATAAAACGTAAGATTAGTGAAATCACTGTAAGATGTATAGAAGAGAAAATAAGGTTAGCATTTGGAAATAATACTCAAATCAATTGTTTAATATAGACATGCATAAATATGATTTTTAATTAGAATTAAGGGAATTTTTCTAAATATATCTAGAATTTTAGAATTTGTCAAAAATCTTACCATTTTTATAATTTCTGGGCCCCTAAAAGCCAAAATATTTTCCCTTTACACCACACACTTGACTTGACTTGCGCATGTCTTGTTCTCAAATGATAAAAAAGAACAACTACTACAAGAGCGACCTGAGCGACTCTAAATCGAACTCAAATGATAAAGTAGATAGTATTGTCATATTACAAACACATACAAACATTTTATATTACTAAATCGCACCTGTCAAATCTATACTGTGTTATCATTTATAATTTTTATCTGGATTTTCCACAAAAATGGGTCTATTTGGAAAGTCACAGGAGAAAAATCCCAAAGAAATGGTTAGAATATAATTTAAAAAATTATGCAACATTGTTTATAGTAATATTTTCTTAACTGTAAAATTTATAGGTTCAAGAATGGACATCAAAATTACGGAAAGAAGGTTATCAAATAGATAGACAAGTTAGAGGTGAGTCATTTGTTATAAAGTTTTTAATTAATCATTAATTGATTTATTTTTTCGTGTAACGATAATTTTGAGACTTCTTTTAAGATCTTGTGTTTGATAAATCAAAAAATTTTTATGTACACCTAACCTCATAACCTTGAGAAACATTTTATGAGTGTAATAATTATTATATATATACACGAAGTAGTATAAGGAGTCCCCACTATGCAAAATGAATATGTACCGAGTTTCCCGACTGCCTTTCAATTTGGTAGGATAGCGATACTAGCGCGATTACCGGGAAAATTGTTGCAACTCAACTGGATAATGGCGGAAATGTATGTTTCGTGATGATTCGTATCTGCTCGTGAAGAGTCGAGTGCAGACGACAAATCTGTCACAAACATACATTTCCGCCATTATCCAGTTGAGTTGCAACAATTTTCCCGGTAATCGCGCTAGTATCGCTATCCTACCAAATTGAAAGGCAGTCGGAAAACTCAGAACATGTTTTTCCTGAAATTGCCTATGCAGTGGGGGCTCCTTATACTACTTCGTGTATATATATATATATATTGATTAATAATAAAAATATGTCAAATATTTAATTAAATTTCCCTATTTGCAAGATTTTTAATTAAAAAAAAATTCTTGTTCTTAAATATAAAATTAAATTTCTAATATCTAATCCGAATTTTTTCTTTATTAATTTATGTATTTAGATATATTGCTAAAATATATAAAATAAATGTAGGTAAATTTATTATAATTTTCCAAAAAAAAAAAAAAATTACAAAATTTTTTGAATTTATACAATAATTTGGTTTTTCGCATAATATTTAGTATTATATACTTTGCAGAATTATGTCAATTTCTTTAAAATGGCACTCCCATTGATCATTTCTATTTTTAGAGTATATTTTTATGGTATTTAGTTTTTTCTGATTTTGAAAATAAATATTTTCAAAATAATAATATTAGTTTTTAATTTCTTTCAAATAAAAATCAAATTTTCTTTTATAAAATAGAATTTTAAAAAAAGATTTCTATAAAATCAGTAAGATAAAGATTTCTGAAGGTCAATATTGAAGAATCTTATCGTTTACTCATATTTTAAATAAAAAAAAAAAAAAAAAAAAAAAAAGAAGTGACAATATAAACCTTGAAAAACGACATTGTCTTCTATTAGTGAATGTTTTTTTTTCTATTTTTATTCACGCACCTTTTATGGAAATTGAAAACAAATTTTTTTAAAAAAAATAATTAAATATAATTATTATAAATTAATCCTTAGCAATTCAGAGGGAAGAGGACAAAGTTAAACGAAGTATGAAGGAAGCAGCTAAAAAGGGTGATCGTGATGTATGTAAAATTTTAGCCAAAGAAGTAATTAGAGCACGTAAAACATGTGGAAAATTGCATACATCGAAAGCACATTTAAATTCTGTGTCAATGCAATTAAAAAATCAATTAGCAACAATAAGAGTTGCTGGTTCTGTTTCAAAATCAACTGAAGTAATGCAAGCAATGCAAGCACTTGTCAAAGTACCAGAAGTTGCAGCGACAATGCGTGAATTATCCAAAGAAATGATGAAAGCAGGAATTATTGAAGAAATGATGGATGAAACAATGGAATCATTGGAAGATTCCGAAGAAATGGAGGAAGAAGCCGATGAGGAAGTTGATAAAGTATATATAATTAATATTTACAAAATTTTCATTTATTTTCACAATTTTTTTTTCTCTACGCAATTATTGAGAAAACGTTTATATCCAGAAATGACAGATAAAAAATTATTTAATTTACGATTAAAAAATTATTAGGTATTTAATAATTTTTTAATATTAATAAACAATAAAATTATTGTTAATATTATTATTAATAATAATAATAATAATAATAATAATAATAATAATAATAATATTCGCTGGAAAAAGATTCTAATTTTTAAGCAAAAATTTTAAAACTTACAAAAAATTATTTATTTCTAATTTATGATCAAAATTTTAATATCGCTTTCTTGAAATTTTTTTTTTAAATGATCCGATTTAAATGAATGATGGCTTAATTTCAATTATTTAACAAATTTTTAACTAAAATTCTTCACTAAATTAATTATTTTTAATAATTTTAATGAAATTCTTCACAAATTCAATTATCTTAAACTATTTTTCAATTAAAATATTTATGAAATTTAATAATTATTTTATAATTTAAAGAAAATAAGAAAATAAAATTACCAAAAATTTTTTAATTAAAATCACTTGAAATTTAATTATTTGCAAAAAATTTCAATTATTTTTAATGATTTTTATAATATTCTTTGAAAATTCAAATTATCTGAAAGCATTTTTCAATTAAAAACTTTTGAAATTCAATTTTTTTAATGTGATTTCTAATAAATTCTTCATGAACAAAAATCACTAGAAATTTCTCTTATTATAATTTATTATTGTCTGAAATTTAACACAATCTTTTAAAATTCAAATATTTTAAAAAATTTCAATGTAAAAGCTTCTAAAATTTAATTATTTCTAATAAATTCTATATAAACAGAAATCACATAAAAATTTCTCTTATTATAATTATTGTCTGAAATTTAACACAATCTTTTAAAATTCAATTATTTTCAAAAAATTCAATGTAAAAGCTTCTAAAATTTGCCATATAAAATTTTTTGAAATTTAATAATTTCAATTATAACTCTCCTTGAAATTCAATTATTTTTAATGATTTTTATAATATACTTCGAAAATTCAACTATCTGAAACCAGTTTTTACGCTTAAAAAGTTTTCAAATCATTGTATTTTTCGTCTGCAATTTCTAATAAATTTTTTTAGTGAAATCATCAAAAATTTAAAATTAAAAATCACTTAAATTTCAATTAATTTCAAAAATCAAAATTGTAAATCTTTGAAAATTCAATTACTTTTAAAAAATATTGCCTATCTAAAATTATTTGATAAATTATTTTTAATTCTGTAAAATTTGATTATTGTCTGAAAATTAACAAAATCTTTTGAAATTCCATTATTTCTAAATATTTCAACTTTAACTATACCAAAATTATTATTATTTAAAAAAAATTTTTATTTAAAAATCTGTAAAACTTAATTAAGTATTATTTGAAATTTTTTTGACCATCAAAACTAAAAACTATGACAAAATTTTTAATTCGAATAAATTGCTAAAATCTGACTAAAAAATTATAAAAATGGAACTTTAAGAATTTGTTTTAGATATTTGGCCACTTATATAAATTTTGAAGATTTGTTTTACAATTAGTTCGATTCCGAAATATTCGAAATAAATTTTCTTTATAATATTCATTATAGAATTATTCTCATTGCCGAATTAATAAAATGAATTCAATATCTAATAACATTAGTTATTGAAAGTAAAGTATTTTCGATTGTTTTTGGAATATAAATCGATTAAAACGAATTTTTTGTTTCTTAAATTCGATTCGAGGCCTGTAATAATAATAATAATAATAATAATAATAATAATAATAATAATAATAATAATAATAATAATAATAATATCCGCTGTAAAAACGATACCAATTTTTAAGAAAAAAATTTAAAATTTGCAAAAAAATTATTTATTTTTCATTTATTATCAAAATTTTTAGTATCGTTTTTTTGAATAATTTTTTAAAATGATCCGATTTAAATGAATGATGGCTTAGTTTTTTCAGAAAATAATTCTTAACATTATCACTGCTGTAATTTTTAAACATGTGCATTGTTTTTTAAATAATGGTTATTTGTTTAAAAAATAAATGAAGAAAAGTGAAAATTATTTTTTAAACAAATAACCATATTTAGAAAAAACAGTGAATTTGCTTAAAAATTCCAGTGGTGACGATGTTAAAAAAAATTTTCTTCAGAATAAGCAATAATTCATTTAAAACAAAAGATTTTAAAAAAATTCCAGAAAGCGATTGCAAAATTATGAATAAATAATATTTGTAAGTCTCTATTATTTTTTTTTCCCTTGAAAATTGGTATCTGATGTACCAGCGGAGATAAATAATAATATTTTAATTATTTTAAACATCAAATATATTTTTTTCTTTGAGCTCTGAATTCTGAATTATTACAACTTGAAATTAAAATTTCGTAATTTTTTTTTCACAGATTTTATGGGAAATTACTGCGGGTCAAATGGGAAGAGCGCCAGCTGTTGTAACGGATACAATAGGTCCATCAACATCCAAAGAAGAAGAGGAGGAAGCCGGTAAAGATATCGACGAAAAAGAATTAGAAGAAATGAAAAGTCGATTACAAAGTTTACGAAGTTAAGTTAATTATTTTTTTTTTTTTATTTTTAATTATGTAATAATTAAAAAATCGACTTTCTCAAGCTAAAATTTTCATTTGCAATAATGTGTTGATCAATCTAAATAGGATCTCAAATTAGTAGAAACAAAAAATATATATATATTGCAAATGTACAGAAAGTTAATTTATATAATTTATTTCTTATTGAAACACCATAATTAAAGTATATTAATTAATTACCGAGTAAAGAATTTAATTATCTTCGTATTATATATATATATATTTTTTTTTTTTTTTGCTTAAATAATTTATTTCACACTAGCTTTTTTTTGAAGTTGAGTGAAAAATTTAAGTATTTACCGATTTACATAATACAGCACTATAAGGAGATATTAAATAATATTAAAATTCAAAAACGCATTAAATTAAAAACATATGTTGTACATATGTTCGTGTATAATTTTTTATTTATAAAAAATTAATTTAGAGATTTAAAATCTTTTTTTTTTTTTGTTTTTTGTTAAAAAAAAAGAAGTATTGTAGCCTTACTAAAAGAAAAAAAAGCAAAGCTTAATAATTGTATAGATTAATTTATAAGATGATTAATGTATTATAATTTTTATTATTAGAAATTTAGCAGGAGTAACAATGATAAATATTTTACTATTTTAGAATATAGCTTTATAAAGAAAAAAGAGAAACTGATGTATACAAAAAAGTTGGCAGATCAAAATAATTTTCTCAGTGTAATAGCTTTTTTAACTTTTTGTAAAATCACAATTCAAAATAAAAATTTTATTTCTCAATGTAAATATATTATGACTGTATTTCAGCTGGCTTTTGTAGTTGTTTAATAAAATATAAAAAGTTCTGATTTATTAAATTAAAATACATGAATACTTCCGATACTTCCTTTATAAATGTGAAATTTAAAAAAAAAAAATCAGTAAGGGAAATTTAAGAATCTTTTATTTAAATTTCGAAAAATTATTGAAAATTTAATTAATGCTTTTAAATAATTTTGTGAATTTGAAAATGGTACTAACCTTATTGTAACGCAAAGATGAAAAACACGTTTTTGAATTAAAAAAAAAAAAAAAAAAAAATTCTAAAAATTTAACCGATTGCGATTTTAAAAAATTCGAAAACTCCCGGAACAAAGAAAGAGAAACACAATAAATAAAATATGTTTATAACACTAATAAATTTTGTTTTCAAAATTAGAAAAATTTACACTCACGTTGTTCACGTCTAAATAGGTCAACACAAAAATTTTAACTGCTTTATTTTAATTATCTTTGGGATTTCCCATTCCAAATTTTTATGACTATTTAAGTTACCCTTTGCAATTTAATTGTAATCATAAATGCTTGGGATGCAGGTATAAAGGTAATAAAATCCCAAAATCTTTTCGATACATTTAGAATACAATTATGAAATTATAATTTTAAATTCAATTTCAATTTCAATTTCATCGCACATTGTAAACGAAAAATATAATGGTGACAGTTTTGTTGATTATTTTTAAGAAAATGAAAATTTTACCAATAATTTAAAATAATATTATTTATTAAAAAAATCTATTTTTTAAGTAAGATTTTTGAAGGAAGTTATATATTTTTTTGGCATTATTTGGGTCCTAAAAACATTTATGTGACCAAAAAAATCTAATTTTTGCCCACTTTAGAAATTGTATTTTTTTTTAAGGAAGTATTATTATTTATTTTTTAGAAAATATATTTTCTTTTTTTGACAATAATTTCCGACTTTTTTCCCAATCTATAAAATTTCAGTTTAATTTCCTCAGTTTTCCCGGTTGGTGGCCATTGTAAATAGCTTGAAGACATTTAAAAAAAATATATATATATTTTAAGATTTGAAATATTAATTATAAATGCAATTATAAAAAAGCCATTAGGTCACAGAATTAAAATATATATTTTTTTTATTAATTATTAATTTACTTGATCTTTAAAATATATATAGAGGAAAAAATAATAAAAAATCTTCACCTTTTCCAGTTAGTTTAGTTCAATAAATTAAATAAATTAAAATTATTGTTATTATTGTTTTTAGCTAAAATAATTAATAATTTTACGATAAAAAAAAATTTATTATTTATTAATCAAAAATTTATTCAGAATTCGTAAAACAATTTTTTTGAAAAGTCATTCAGTTTAATAGTATAAATCACATTTTTGATAAAGAAATATTGGAAGGATTATTAACATTAATAATAATAATTATTATTATTATGATAATTAAAATCACACAATGTGACTTACACTTTCAAACCAAATAATTTCTCATTTTATAACATTTATATCTATTAGTTTTATTTTAATATTTGCAAACAGTACTGTGTCTTATTTATTTTATACAATTTCCAAATGTACAATAAGAATATTAATTTGTTCTAAAACTTTACTTATCACTTAACTACATTATATTATATTATATTATATATATATAACTATACATACATCATCAATTCAGATGTATAAAATATAAATGTCATAAATTTTTACCTCTTTTGAATAAGTTTCAAAATTAAAGTATATATAAAAAAAAAAAAATGAAAAACAACACAAAATACATTACAAAAATGATTAACAAAATTTTCCGTCTCAATCAATAACAAACACATTTTTTGTAAAATCCTCAATTTTTCTATCATTTTCACAACCAAATTTTACTTTTTCTTTTTAAACTTCGATGAAATTCACAACGTTTATAATCAATGATTGAAAATAAAAATATTTTTCACTCTAAAAATCATAATTAATTTTTTGTCCACAAATTTTTCTCCTAAAAATTGTTGATCGAGAAACTTTGAAAAATTTTTTAAGAAAACATTGTAAACTTCACCGACGTTTTTTTTTCATGTATATAAATAGTGTGATTTTTATATTTCGGACCCCTTAAAAAATTTTTTTTTTAGGTGGTAAGGAATATTAAAATCACCCTCTCTCTCTATATGTATATTCAAGTTAATTTTGACAAAACTAATGAAATTTTGATGATTCTCAAATTTTATTGTCCTGTGTTGTAATTATTAATTTTGTACTATTCAAAAAATTAAGTATACTCCCAATTTATCTTAAATAATAAACAGTGAACAAAAAATTGTGTATCTAATTTTAAAAATTTAATTTGAAAATATTTTATTTTAAAAATAAAAAATCTTTATATTTCATAATTTCTAAAATTAATTCACACTTAATCTTTTGAGTAGTTCCGTCGAATTTCCAAAAAAATTTCTCTAAAAAAGATAACGTATAAAAAAAAAATTGAATCTTCAAATGACAAAATCTTTGCTTCTATGTGAAACATAAAAACTAAAATACAATACAGTGTAAAAAAAAAGAGAAGAAATTTACAAAAAATCAATCACCTTATTGACAATTGCAAGCTTCACCTTGGCTCGTGAATTTTTCGGCAATTTTTGCAATTGTGGTTTTAATTTCCGAAGAAAATAATAAAGTTCATTTCTAATTGGTATTAATGTACGACGTGTTTTTAATGAAGTTCGAATTATTTTTTCTTCCTCTTCTACCATCAATTCATCATATATAATTTCACTTTTCATTTGTATTTGATTTTCATTAAAATTCTCAACATTTGGTAAAGTAACTTCTTCTTCTTCTTCTTCTTCTTCTTCATCCTCTTCTTCATCGTCATTATTGTGAATTTCCATATTACCATCGACAAATTCCTCAACAACTTCCTCCGTTGCAAATGATAATAAATCGGACATTTTCATTGAATCTTCATCAAATTCAATTTCTTCTGGTTCTATTTTTCCTATTGGTTCAATTTTTTCTATATTCTCAATTGTTCTTAATTGTTGAAAATTTTCAGGTATTACATTTTCAATTTGTTCAATATTCGAATTATTAATTTTTTCACGTCTCGTTTCACTTTGCGTTGTTTTTCTTCCTCTACCACGACTACGACCACGACCTCGTCCTCTTCCTCGTCCTCGACCACGTCCACGTCCTGATTTTCCCACTTTATTATTAGATTGTTCGGGAAGATTTATTTTAATAAGTAAACCAGGCGGTATACTCGAAAGACTATGCACAGGAATTGGTGCTCCCAATTTTGAAATATCACCAGTAAATGGTAAAATAACTTTTTTAATATCAGTCGAAATATTATTTGGTAAATTTGGCGTAATATTGTTGCCAATTGTTATTGGTTGAAATTGATTGCCAAATTGAAATTTCCAATTAGTTGACGCTGGTATTGGTAATTTTTTAATAAATTCTTCTGTTTCAAAATTCAATGGTTTTGGTTTGGGTATATTTATTAATGTTGGCCTTCTTGATTTACCACGTTTTTTTGCCAATGGCGCTGGTTTATTATCGATCTTTGGTTTTTTACTCGATACCAATGGACGTGAACCACGTTTACCAATTTTATTACACACATCGTCAATATCATCAGTTTCCATTTCCATTTGCTCTAATGCCTCCTCGGGTGTTAAATCGTGAATATCTTTTATTGTTGGTACCGCGTCACATGGTCCAATATTGTGAATATTTTGTCCTATTTGAAAATGCTTTGAGCACAATACAAGTTTTCTTATTTGATTTGGTGACATTTTTAAAATATCCTCACGACCAAGAAATTGACACCAACGTAAACATCTTCCAATTTCATAGGCTGGAAAGGGATGAAATTTGTACCTTTCAATTTTGTTCCTTGGATCGGATCTAGAAAAAATAAATTAAAAATTTGTTCATTTAGCTTTCTCATTATGATATATATATATATATATTATTAGTTTTCAAAAAATTCAAAATTTCAATTTTTTGTTAAAAATAATAATACCGATTAATTTTTCTAAATATTGGTTAAATTCTGCCGTGTTTTCTAAAAACTTAGGTAACTGCAGAATGAAAGATTTCGAGAAAAACGCGAAAAACTGTTTAAACTTCATTGATATGTACCGCAAAGCCTAATTAAAATTTTTAAATGCCGTTTTGTTCCTTCGATTCGTCTAAATTTATTCTTTTTAATTATGTAAAAATAAATGTTGTATTTGTTTAAACATTCAATAAATTATTAAAAATGTAGTTACCGGTATGCTGATTCGAGGGTCGTCGCACGAGAAACTTAGGTAACTGGTAGTTACTTGGTCCCTCGTGCTACGAGCGCCCGTATTAGGCCTCTCGTCGCACAGAAAACTTAGGTAACTGCAGGGAATATATAAGAATTTTCATCTTTCTGGGCAAAAAATAGTAAAAATATATTAAATAATAAACTATAATTATTTAATAAGCTGCGAAAGTTGTCACTATAATTATTGTTTTTTACAAATATTTAATTTTATGGTTAAATTTATTTTAATTATACAATATTAGAGTCAAATATTGTATTAACTCAGAATATATTAAAAAATAATATAAAATAAAATAAAATACATAAAAAAAATTAAAAAAATAAATTAAATTAAATTAAAAAATAGTAAAAATATATTAAATAATTATATGAAATAAAATAAAAATAAATAAAAAAAATAATAAATAATAAAGTGTAATTATTTAATAAGATGCGAAAGTTATCATTATAATTATTGTTTTTTACAAATATTAAACTATATGATTGAATTTATTTTAATTATACAATATTAAAGTCAAATTATTGTAGGTAATGTAGTTCGCTGCTTTATTAACGTTTATTTAAATAATTAAAAACGATTTTAATTTTTTAAATAATTGAACTAAATTAATTATATATTAATCATGAAATAAACATATTACTGAACTTCATTTTCTTAATTTATTAATGCTTTTATGTTATTTATTAAAATTAATACTTAATTTTTCAATAATTGATAAATTATTATTTAGGTATAATTATATATATATATATATATATATATATATATATAAATATATATATATATAGTATTGGAGTTTTTTATTTCATTATTTATTGTCATTATAAATTATTAATTGCACAAAAAACATTGTAATTTTAAAGAAATGTATAAGATTTTGCAGTTACTTGGTCCTTCAAAACACGGACCTCCTTTTTCGAGGCCTCGTCGCATAGAAAACTTAGGTAACTACAGTGCTCTGATAGCACTCTGTAGTTACCTAAGTTTTCCATGCGACGAGGGCTCGAAAAATGAGGTCCGTGTTTTGAGAAACTTAGGCACTGGTGCAGTTACCTAAGTTCTTCAAATCACGACCTACAAAATACGTCACAACACCCAAAGACACCCAAGTTTTTATAGCAGTTACCTAAGTTTCTCAAATTATCACTCATCAATTTTTGCAGTTACCGGTATTTTCAATTATTAATGCAAAAATTATTATTAATAATATTAACAATTTTTAAAAATAATTTGCATTAACAGGTGTATCTTTTTTCCACGATTCCAACGATATAAAAAACTCATTTTTCGATTTTTTTGCAGTTACCTAAGTTTTTAGAAAACACGGCAGAAATGTAAACTTTACATATACATATCAATCGATTTATTTTGATGCCAGGAATACAATTTTGACAAAATTTATTAAAAAATTTCATAAAGAAAAAGGTTTTTTCAAAAAATACGAAAAATGATTTTTTTTTCAAAAATTAAAAAATGAATTAATTTATAGATTTTAGGTAAAATATAAACTTTATTATAGGTTAATTAATTCGTTTCAATGCGAAAAATAAGTTTTTTTGGATCAAAAAAAAAAAAAAAAAAAATTAAATTTTACAGTTTCTCGGTAGGAGAAGAAGCAAAAAATTACACGATGTCAATTAGAGGGGTTAAAAAAAATTTTGAATTTAAAATTTTATAGAAAACGGTTCTGTTTTAAAAAATAAAATTCCATATCTTGAAAATCGAAATTAATTAATATTAAAGCGCGGTGAGGAAGGCAAATTTCTATTTTTTGTAAAGAAACTCATTAATTTCTTTCAAAGTATGAAAAATTATTTGATTTTTTTTTTGTTATATTAATTTTTTATTATCTAAATTACTAAAAATTTATTAAAATTTTAAAAAGCAAATCACTCAAATTTTTTGCAAACCTCACTTTTTACACCTGCTTTTGGTAGAAACAGTAAAATAATATAATATTATAACTGAAGTTTTTTTTTTTTTTATAAATTTCATGTGGCGAAAAATTCGTAAACAAAAAAGCGACTGTCGCTGTGAAGCTGAATTTTTTCCTGTGGTTCAATTGTCATAAAAATTAAAAAAAACAAAATTTCATTTTATGCGACAAGATGTAATTTTTTCGCTATTCGTCGTTGCGAATTTTTCGTACCATAAAAATTCATCGTAATAATAAAAAATTATAAAAAAATTTAAATAAATAAATAAATATATATATATATATATAGTTGAAAAAAATTATTTATTGAGAACGTCATGTGTTCTTATGTAGAAAAATTATTAGTTCACACTATTTTATTTATAGATATTAAATTCACTTTATTAATTCTGAAATGAGAATACATAATTCTATGAAAATATTATCAAGAAAATTTAATTCGAATATTTCAGAATCAAACTAATTGTAAGACAAATTTTCAAAATTTTATTTAAGTAGGACAAACAATTATGAAACTGAAGTTACCAACGTTGATTCAAAGAAAAAAATAAAAGTTAAGGATTCTAATTCCCATCATTGAAATTTGATTATTTTCAAACCTCCAAAATCTGAAATAAAAAAAAAACCATTATTTATCATTGTTTTGTCACGGATTTTCCAAAAATCTCAAAATTTCAAGTAAATTGCTATTTCCTCGACTTGGAAGCAATTTTTCTCGTTTGATAATTATTTATTTCAATGCTAAAAGCCTTTTAAAAAACAGAAAAATTGCTTCCGAGGCGAGGTAATAGCAATTTACTTGAAATTTTGTAATTTCAAAATGATAAAACAATGATAAATATTGTTTTTTTTTTATTTCAAGTTTTGGAGGAGGGTTGAAAATAATCAAATTTCATTAATGAGAATTAGAATCCTTAACTTTTATTTTTTTTGTTAAATCAACGTTGGTAACTTCAGTTTCATAAACAAATTTCCATAAAAATTCTTAAAGTTCCAGTTTTGTAATTTTTTGAAGTCTGATTTAAGCAATTTATTCGAATTTAAAATTTTATAATAATTTTTAGTTTTGATGTTCATAAAAATTTCAGGCAATACTTAATCAAATTTTAAAGTTTTTTAAATAAACAAATTTTTTTTTTAAATAATAATTTTGGAAGAGTTAAAGTTGAAATTTTTAAAAATAATTTGAATTTCAAAAGATTTTGTTAAATTTTCGAGAATAATTATAAGAGAAATTTTTAGTGATTTCTGTTGATAAAGAATTTATTAGAAATCACATAAAAAAAATTGAATTTCAAAAGTTTTTAATTTAAAATTCCTTTCAGATAATTGAATTTTCAAAAAATTTTATAAAAATCATTAAAAATAATTGAAGTTTTTTGCAAATAATTAAATTTCAAGTGACTTTGAATTAAAAAATTTTGGTAATTTTATTTGTTAATTTTTTTCTTAAATTCTAAACAATTATTAAGTTTCATAAAAATTTTAATTGAAAAATAGTTTAAGATAATTGAATTTTTTTGAAGAATTTCATTAAAATTATTAATAATAATTAATTGATTGGAAAATTTTAGCAAAAATTTTGTTAAATAATTGAAATAAAGAAGATCTGAAAATGATCTGCATTGTCTACTAAAAAAAGTCGTTTTTTGTTTAAAACTTTTGTAAAAAAAAACAAAAGTTTTTTGTTTAAAAAAAGTCGAAAAAGTCGCATTGTATTAAAAAAAAAAAACTCAAAAAAAAGTCGGAAAAAGTCGTATAATCCGAGGCTTGTCATTCTGAATTAATAATTAAAAAAATACATTATTCTATTCACGAATTTGCATCTAAAAATATAATTTATATTAAAATTAAAAAAAAAAAAAAAATTATAAAAACCTCGATCGTCCACAAGCGGCACACGCTTGACTCTCCAAAACAATAGACGGCAATGGTTCAAATTTTTTAAATTTCTCACTGACTTTTGCAACATTTGGTTCGGCAATTAATTCCATAATAAATGGTTCTTCGCCTTCCTGATCGGAAAATCGTATATTTGGCACTGCATGATCTTTAAGTCTATTTTTATAATTTTCCATAAATTGTGATGTATCAAAATGTTTTGAACATATATAACAAAATAGAATTTCTTTTCTTGTTAGTCTATAATATGAATCAACACCAACAAAATCAAGCCATTCAAGACAACGAAATTCTTCACCAGGAAAATGATGAAATGTCACACCATCGTAATCTTCATCGGGTGGATCTTTACGTGAACGACCACACAATACACATGATATATTGTATAAACTTTGTTTTGGATCGTATAAAGATGGTACGGCCGTACAATTTAAACGATCATAATAATCATTTAGAAAATCTTTTCTTTCAAAATGTTTTGAACATACCATACGTTGTAGAAGTTGTTTTTTCGTTAATTTATAAAGATCCTCACGACAACAAAATTCTAACCATTTACCACAGCGAGCTCCATCATTAACAGGAAATCCAAAAAACATATATTCTTCCTCACGATTATTGGGATTCATTCGTGAACGACCACAAACTACACATGGATGAGGCATTTTTTAATTTTTTTTTTGATAATTTGTCTCTCTGGGTTAAATAATAAAAAATAAATAAAAATATATCATTTTTAGGTTAAATTCACTGACATAGTTATATATTATATACGTTTTTTCACTCTTTACATAAGTAATGTTTCCACTTCATTAAATGTTTATTTATATTGTTTCGATAAAGCACGTAATTTTGTAAATATTAATCAATTTTTATTCTTTACATTCGTCGCAAATATATATATATATAGAAAACATTTGATAAAAAAATTTTCGCAAATTTTTCACTTCATACACTTTAGTTTTCACGCTATAAATAAAATTGGCTCTTTTTTTAATATTGATATTTAAAATAACTTTTACTTTATATAGAACAATTTTTCAAAAAAATTCTTTTGAAAATATATTCTTTTTTTCACTTTTAAGATTACTAGGTTATGTTTAAGCTGCAGTAGCGTCCTCCTCACCTTTTTTCGCTTTTTAATCTTTGTAATGGATTCTTCGAAATTTATTAATATTTTTTTAATTCTAAATAAAAAATCTAGATTTTATTGTCAAATTTAAAATTGCAAAATCACTGTAAATAATAAAATTAGTTTCATCTTAGTATTTTATTTTTTCAAAAATTAATAGTCATATTCAAATTTACCCGCATTTTTTAAAACGCCACCAATCAACCAAAATACAATACATATATACAAAGTGAAGTGACAGAAGTGGGACTGTGGGAAGTGTATCGTAAATATCTGTCAAAAAAATTAGTTTTGTAAACAAAAAATTCACAATGACAGATAATATAAATAATACGTTCGATTTAAATGGACAGAATTTTAATCATGATATGTATTTGCAGAAATTATTAAAGGTTTAGTTAATAAATATTATTTAAATTTTGTTTAAATTTATCAATATAATTTTATAAATTAATTAATTTTCTTTTAAAAGGATTGTTCACTTAAACAAATAATGGACCATGAGGCAGAAATAATAAAAAATACACAAATTTTACATTCAGATATGCAAACATTGGTATATGAAAATTATAATAAATTTATATCAGCCACGGATACAATTCGAAAGGTAATTTTTTGTTTCCCGACATATTTACGGCACAAAAAAAAGAAAATTTTATGCTTTTATATAATTTTTTCCTTATTTATATGTTTTCTTTTAGATGAAGAGTGATTTTAATCAAATGGAAGAAAGTATGGATTTATTAGCTAAAAATATGGAAAGTATCACTTCATTTTCAGAGCAAATATCATCAACATTACATGGAACACGTCAACAAATTTCTCGATTATCGTCCGTTCATGCTTTATTGAAAAAATTACAATTTCTTTTTAAATTGCCCAGTAATCTCAAAGATAAAATGAATGCTGGAAATTATAATCAGGTTTGTTTAATTCTCATCTATAAAGGTACAAAATAATTTGTCTATACAGACATTGGGTTATACGACTTTTTCGATTTTTTCAAACTTTTTTCGACTTTTTTTAAAAAATTTTTTACATTTTTTTTACAAAATTTTTAAACAAAATACGTTTTTTTATTGGACAATGCAAATATTCTTCAGATCTTCTTTATTTCAATTATTTAACAAATTTTTAAATAAAATTCTTCACTAAATTAATTATTTTTATTAATTTTTATAAAATTCTTCACAAATTCAATTATCTTAAAACTATTTTTCAATTAAAATTTTTATAAAACTTAATAATTGTTTAGAATTTCAAAAAAAAAAAAAAATTAGTAAATAAAATTACCAAAAATTTTTAATTCAACATCACTTGAAGTTCAATTAATTTTAAAAATCAAAATTTTAAATCTTTGTAAATTCAAATAATTTTTAAAAAAATTTTATCTAAAATTATTTGTTAAATTATTTTTAGTTCTGTAAAATTTAATTATTGTCTGAAAATTAACAAAATCTTTTGAAATTCAAATTATTTTTAAAAATTTCAACTTTAACTCTTTCAAAATTATTATTTAAAAAAAAAATTTGTTTATTTAAAAAACTTTAAAATTTGATTAAGTATTGCCTGAAATTTTTATGAACATCAAAATTAAAAATTATTATAAAATTTTAAATTCGAATAAATTGCTTAAATCAGACTTCAAAAAATTACAAAAATGGAACTTTAAGAATTTTTATGGAAATTTGTTTATGAAACTGAAGTTACCAACGTTGATTTAACAAAAAAAATAAAAGTTAAGGATTCTAATTCTCATTAATGAAATTTGATTATTTTCAACCCTCCTCCAAAACTTGAAATAAAAAAAAAACAATATTTATCATTGTTTTATCATTTTGAAATTACAAAATTTCAAGTAAATTGCTATTACCTCGCCTCGGAAGCAATTTTTCTGTTTTTTAAAAGGCTTTTAGCATTGAAATAAATAATTATCAAACGAGAAAAATTGCTTCCAAGTCGAGGAAGTAGCAATTTACTTGAAATTTTGAGATTTTTGGAAAATCCGTGACAAAACAATGATAAATATTGTTTTTTTTTTTTATTTCAGCTTTTTGGAGGTTTGAAAATAATCAAATTTCAATGATGGGAATTAGAAACCTTAACTTTTATTTTTTTATTTTATTTTGATTTTCTTCGAAAATTCAATTATCTGAAAGTGTTTTTCAATTAAAAATTTTTGTAATTCAATTTTTGTATGTGATTTCTAATAAATTCTTCATCAACAGAAATTACTAAAAAATTCTCTTATTATAATAATTGTCTGAAATTTCACAAAATCTTTTGAAATTCAATTATTTTCAAAATTTTCAATTTAAAAGCTTTTAAAATTTAATTATTTATAAAATTTTACATATAAAATTATTTGAAATTTAATAAATTCAATTATAACTCAATTCTGAAATTTAATTATTTTTAATGATTTTTATAATATTCTTCGAAAATTCAATTATCTGAAACCATTATTCACTTCAAATATTTTTAAATTATTGTATTTTTTTATGCAATTTCTTACATTTTTTAGTAACAGAAAAATCATCAATAATTTTAAATTAAAAATCACTTCAAGTTAAGATAATTTCAAAAATAAAAATTGTAAATCTTTAAAATTTTAATTACTTTTAAAAAAAGGTAATCTAAAATTATTTAATAAATTATTTTTAATTCTGTAAAATTTAATTGTTGTCTGAAATTAAAAAAAAATCTTTTCTCAGGATTCAATTAAATTTGCGGATGTAATATTTAAAATATAATTATTAAACTTACAATGTAAAAACATTAATTTATGCGCAGAAATGTTGAAAAATAATTTGTTTAATATTCTTAAACTTGTATTAATTTAGAAAATACAAAATTACAGATTTTTATCTTTTCTACATAAATAATTTAATTGACTCAAGTTTGAATTTATGAAAAAAAAAATTTCATCAATTTCAAAATTATTTATGCCAAATTTCAATAAATTTAAATTAGTTAGAGCATTTATTGATTAAAATTGTAATTTATTTAAAATTAAATTTATTTTAATTCTAATCAACCATCAATTTAATCAATAAAAAATTCAATTTACTTCAAATTTAAATCTGTTCAAATTTTAATTCATCCAAATTTCAATTTAATTAAATTGTATTCGATTTAAATTTTAATTGATTGAAATTTAAATTTCAAGTAATCCAAGTTTCAATCAATTCTAATTTTTTATTTACCATATATATGCAAATTCAATAGATCGAAACGAAAAATTAACGAAAATTCAATATATCTAAAGATTAATCGATTTAAGTTTCAAATTATTCGAATTATAATTTATTGATATTTCAATTGATTTAAATTTCAAATTATTCTAATTTCAATTTGTCCAAATTTTAATTGGTCTATTTTTCGAATTATTCGAATGTTAATTTATCCAAATTTTTGATTGATATAAGTTTCAATTTATTGAAAATTCAATTTACCCAAATTTTGACTATTAATGTTTCAATTATTGATTAAAAATTTAAATGGGATACAAATTAGTTAAGTTTCACGTTAATTGATTTTTCTTTCACCTTTTTGTCATCTGTTTTTGGTAAATAATTCACTTTTTTACATATTTTTAAAAAAGGTACTATGATCCCTGATCTAGTGAAAACAGTGAAATATAGTATGAAAACACGTTTTTCTAATTAAAATTAAAAAATTTATTCTTGTGGCAATCCTGTTTATTAAAAAAAACAAACACAGTTTTCAATAATCAAAGAGTTTCAGAGATTTAGTAAAAATTTTGAAAAAAATTAATGGTGATGTTTATTAAAAAATGGATTTTTATTATTTTATAGAAATTATTAAAAAGAAAAAGTACTTTTCACTTTTTTTCTTCGATGTTAATTTTAATCAGAAATATATGATTAAAATAAAAAATTTCTTTCTTGAAAATCTAAAATCGGTTAATTAAAACCAAAGTTAAATAACAGTAAAAAAAAAAAAGTTGCAAAAATTTTGAAAATTCTTTTGTATTTGTAGATTTTTAAATTGTTGAAAAAATATTTATTTGTTTTGTTGAAATAATTAATTAATTATATTAATTTACTAAAGAACAGCCAAATCAAATTCAATAAAAAAAAATTAGTGTGATAAACCTGAGAGGGTGAAATTCACCAATATTAAAAAAAGAAAATTATTTTAAAATAAAAATTGCAAATTTTGCATTATAGGCAGTACAGGATTATATGCATGCACAACGTGTTTTAAATCAATATGGAAATATGCCATCATTTCAAGGAATTCAAACAGATTGCGAAGAAATAGTTGAGGAATTAAAATCAAAATTACGTACGCAATTTCATAAAAAAGATGCATCAACAAAATTATTAACTGAATGTGTTGATCTTCTTCTACAATTAAATGAACCAGCTGATTCTTTGTGTGCTGAATTTTTAAAATATGCCGAAATAAGATTAACGGGTCAATTGGAATTGCTTAGTGATATGTGTGAAAATGATATTATTGAATTTGTCGATATGGGAAGTTCAGGATTTCTCAGCGATTTATGTTTAATTGTTGCATCTTATAATGATATGTTTATAAATAGACAGCCACTTGATGACAATGAATTTAGTGATGATTTTGATACAAAAGCTGTTTCACGTTTAAATACATTTATTATGAATAATATGAAAAATTATTTTGAATTAATTGGAAAACGTGTTGAGGATGTAACAGACACGGCAATATTAGTGAGAGCACTCGATAGATTTCATAGACGATTACAAGCAATGAATTCACTTTGCAGTGAAACTGATTTTGCTAGGTAACTATTTTATCAAATTTTACTATTTACTTCGATGAAGTTCACAATGCGTTTATTATAATATTAATGATTTAGAATAAAATTAGAATTATTATTATTAGAATAATAATTTTAAATAAAATTTTGAAAATTTTTCTTACAATTAATTCGATTATGAAATATTCGAAATAAATTTTCTTGATAATATTCATTATAGAATTAATAAAATGAATTTAATATATTAGTTATTTAAAGAAAAATATTCATTAACAAATTAAATTTTGTTAAAATAAAAAAATCAATTTTTTCGACTTTTTTTTATTCCTTAAAGTCGATCCGTGGCCATCAATTTTTAAAAGAAAAATTAATTATTATTTTTCGAATAAAAATTTTTTTTTTTTTTTTTTTTTTTTTTCAATCGTTGATCATAAACATTGTGAACTTCACCGACACGTATTGATTTGTAAATTGTCATATTGTTGAAAATGTAATTTTTCATTTTCTTAAAATTATTATTTTTTCCATTAATTACGTCGGTGAAGTTTGTAACTATTATAAAAAAAAAATATATTTTTTTTTCTTTTAGAAAATAATTAATTTTTTGCCTAGAAATTTTTTTTCTGAAAATTATCGAGAAACGTTTTAAAATTGTTTTTTTTAGACAAAAGATTATAATATTATGAACAGAAAAAAATTTTTTCTTCTAAATAGTTGATCATAACGTTAAAAACTTCACTGACGTAATTAGAGAAAAAAAAAAAGATAATTTAAAGCAACTAATATTATTTTTTTAAAAAATAATTTATGAATATTAATTTGATTGTGATAAAATTTTTTAGATCGAGTGTCGATATTGTTATTAACGCTGGAAGAAGACAGTGTCGTAATCATTTACATTCATTGAAGCAACATTTAAATGAAGCTTTAGTCAAGGTGAGACAAATTCTTGCAACAAAAACAATTCAAGAAGGAGATGGTGGATTAGCTGAACTTCAAGCTACACTCGTGATGCCAATTATTGAAAAAGTCAAAGGCGTACTTCAAGATCTCTTGGTTTGTTATTTTGTTATTTTTTTTTTATGATTCTAATTCTAGATAATAGAAATTTCCATTTTTTAACATTCAGGGTGCGAAGTCGCGATTTTATCGACTAAAGGAAAGAAATTCGATTTTTATGTTATAGTAAAGCGAATCTACTTTTTTAAGTTCGAAAAGTATTTTTTTTTAATTTAAAATCGAAATTATAAAATACATATATATTAACAGAGAAAAATAATTAATGTTGACTAATTTTTGAAAATATATTTTTTAATTAGACTTTAAAAAAAAAATTGTTTTAAGTCTTGAAATTTATTTTAACTCAAAAATTACAATTATTACAATTTATTTACAATTTAAACAATTATTTTGTAAATCTGTTTAAAAATGAAAATTGTTTTTATTTCGTTTTAAAAATTTTGCCCAAAAATCTAAATTAGAATAATTTTCAAAACTCAAGCTTTTACATAGATAAAGAACTGAATTTTTTTTTACACTTTTATCATAAATGAGAAAGTATTTTAAATATCATCGGTTCCGTTAAAAATTCGTTTAAGAATTATTTTGATTAATTATTAAAAATTAAAAATATAAATTTTTTACGATTTCTGATTATTTATTTATTTGTAATTTACGGTAATTGTAATGCAATTTTTTTTGTGTTTTTTAAATTTAATCCAGAGCCTGAATATTTATTTATTTATTTAATTACAATGTACGAGATATTAATATTAATATTCATTTTAATGTTCTTTAACAAAAAAAAGTTTAGAAATACAATAAAAATATAAAAATTAACGACAAAAATATAATTTAATTGCAATATTATTATCAAAGAATTAAAAGGAAAATTTTTAATTTTTTAGGTATTTCTACAATCAGATTTGTCATTTAGTTTAAAGCCACAATTTCTTCAAAGCTTTTGTGTAGACGAAGTGAGAGAAAGTTTAGTTGTTGGATTTTTACATCATTTAACAGCGACGGCAAGTGGATTTTGTACTGGATCTGACATTCCTAAATTCCCTCCAACATTATTGTTACTATTGAGCAAAATGTGCTTGGAATTTAAAGACAACAGCGTTAATTATTTGGTAAATATTTTTCATTTTATTTCATTCATTTGTTTTAAATAAATATTTCTACACTATCAAATTAAAAAAAAATCTCTTATATCTTCATCTAAAAGTACATATTGATATTTTATTTGAATTTTAATATCCAGTAATATTTAATTTTTTTCAAATTTATATTTTTTTTCCTGTAGAAAAATAGAATTAAAATTATATTTTTAATAATTTTAATTAATTAAATATTTTTTTTTTAGCTTGCTGCTGCTGATGAAATGTTCAGTGTTGAAGAATACTCTGGCACTGGTAATATTATAACTCCAGAGAGTGAAATTTGTGAAAATTTCCAAAATGCTGCTCAAACATTATTGAATCATTATGTTCGTCTTCAAGGCTTAGCCGTTTCACAAATGTTGAGAAAATCTATTGAAACTAGAGATTGGTTACATACACTTGAACCACGTAATGTGAGGGCCGTTATGAAACGAATTGTTGAGGATATTACGGCAATTGAATCTCAAGTTACTGCCCTCTATGAAGATTCAGATGTTCAAATGGACAGAAGTAGCGATAGCAGTAGAAAAGCTCACAGGTTTTTTTCATGCAATTTTTTCAAATTTGCTTTCTTTATTTCAATTTCTTTTCTTTTTAATTCTACTTTATACTCTTTATCAGGCTTTACAGAATAAAATTTTCTAAAAGAAAATAGGAATAGGAGAAATTTTATTTGAAAAAAGGGGAAAAATAGGGTAAAATCTAAATGTATATTTTCCTTAACTAAAAATGCTTTAAAGTTTTTTTAAATTAAATTACCGGTGAAAATTTTGAGACCACCCATTTTTTTGATGAATAAAAAACATCTTAAAACATAGAAAGTATAGAAACCAACATTTTTTTCCAAATTTTTTAAAAGATGATAAATTTATAAATAAAAGTGAGATTTAAAGGAAAAATTTTCCAAGTATAGTAATTTTTTTTTGTTTGTTTTAATGTCATTTTAAATGTTTTATAAAAATTTGAATTGCATACATCTAATAAATAAACGCTTTTTTTTATTTTTTAAACATATTTTAAAATTAATTTTCCGCAGAATGAAAATTACTTCTAAACTAATTTTTTTCTTGAAAAATGCAAATAATTTTTCATTTTATCAAACAAAAAACCGTCTTGTAAAATAAATAAAACTTGATTTTATTCATATTTTTCAAGGAAACTAAAATTTTTAATTTATTTAAATTAAATTTGTTTAAATTCAATTTTAAAATTAATTTTCTGTTAAAAAAAGAATTCCAATTTTCCTAATTCAGGCCTTGGATTGACTTTAGATATAGAAAGAAGTCGATTTTCATTACAACAAAAATCGGAAAAAGTCAATATTTTTTATTTTTAATAAATTTTATTAGTTAATAAATATTTCATTATTATATATTAATATTAATTATTAGAAATTAAATAAATTTTTTCTAATTCTATAATAAGAATTTTTTACAGGAACATTTCCATAAACTTTTTTTTTTTTACTTCAAGAATTAAAGTACATATGACAAATTTTCAAGATTTCAATTCAGCAGGGCAAATTTTGAAAAATAATAATTTAACGTTACTTTAAACGAAGAAAAAATTCCAAGTAATTGTACAAATTATTCGAATTCAGAATTTTGGCAAATATTTTAAATAATTAAATTTTCAAAGAAATTGATTAAAATATTATTAAAAAAAAAAAAAAATTAATTTATTGTTGTAAATTTGAATTACTGAAAATTATTGACAAAATTTTAAAAATTAATTGAATTTTAAAGAATTTCTAATAAAAAAAAAATTGAATTTTTAAAAAATTTGAATTAAAATGATTGAAATAATTAATTTAGCGAAAAATTTTAGATACAAATTTTGGAAGTAATTGAATTTGGAAGAGGTATATTTAAGTTTTTCTGATATAATTAAAATTTCAGAAAATATACAAAAAGAATTTTGGTAAATTTGAATTGAGGAAGATTTTTTACAAAGTTCAGAAGATAATTGAATTTAAAAAAAATTTTAATTGAGAAATATGTTAATTAATGGAATTTTTGAAGACTTTGATTAAGGTTGTCAGAAATAATTAATTCAACAAAGAATTTAAGTTAAAAATTTGAAAAATTATTAAATTTTAAAATAGTTGCAGTTACAATTTTTTTTAAAAAAAAGGAGTTTCAGGAGATTTTTAATCAAAATTTTCGTAAATTTAAAGTATATTTTTATTCAAAAATGGCGAAAAAGTTTCATTTTATAAAAATAAGTCGAAATAGTCGCATTCCTTGAAAAAAATCGAGAAAGTCGTGCAATCCGAGGCTTGCAATTTTTTTGTTCAAATTTTAATTTTTATGAAATATCCCATTATTCGAGTTTCCACATAAACTAGGGGAAATGAGTGAAAAAAAGGGGGAATTTTTTAAAATAGAGAGAAAAAAAAAGGAAAACACTGTGAACCCTGCTTTATACTAAATTATTTATATACATTTTTTTTTCTTTATACTGAATAATTAATTTTTCTTTTCCTAATCTTATAAATTTTTCTGTAATTTAAATTTCAGTAGTAGTACCACTTCGAGACATCAGTTTCGTTCAAATTGGTCATCATTCACATCGAGTCATTTGGATTCATCGTTGATGACGAATATTCACAAATTATTCTCAGAAAGGATTGAAATTTTCTCATCTGTTCAATTTAATAAAGCTTCAATTTTAACGGGAATTATCAAAATTAGTTTGAAGGTAATAAACGTTCATTAAACACTTGCTTAAATGAGTTCTCGTTTGAAAAACTATATTTTGCGTCACATTCAACTTTTGGCAGTGATGATACCATAATCGGTGCAGATGCTGCACAATGACAAAATAACCTGATCATTATCCACTTTGTATCGTGGAGATAACATTATTTTGTCGCGACTAAAATTTCGATTCACGTTGCACCAATTCTACAGGATAATATTTTATATATATCTTCTTTTTTTTAATATTAAATTTCTTTTTATTTCACATTTTTATAATTACAGGGTTGCCACAAGTCAGGGAATTTAAAACAACGTGAATTTAGAAAAAACCGTGAATTCGCTTTAAATTTTTAATTCTACCTTGAAATTATTTTTTTAAATTCGCATTTTGCTTTTCTTTTAAATTGAAACTTGTGATTAATTGTCCTAAATATTAAATATTTTCTTTCGAAATTTTTGGTAAAATTTGAATTTTTTCAAAAAATAATTTACGTCACAATAGATTACAAGTAACAATACAGCGCAAATGTTAATTTTTTTTTTTTTAAATAGAAACAAGAGTATTTCTGTTAAAACTTTTTTTAATTTCTCAAATATTTAAAAAAAAAATTTCAATTTTCTTTTACGCTTATTGTTATATAGACCATAAAAAAGATTTTTTTTTTTTTTGAAATTTTAAGTCAAATCTTAGGTTTTTCAACGCAATTTTTATAGTATAAAAATAAACGACATTAAACAAAAAATTATAACTTTAAAACGATATTAAACAAAATGATTATCGTTTTAAATACTAGATTCTTGTTTAACACTTAAAATAAGCCTCGTTTTAATACTAATTTATAATTATGTGATAAAATCTCAATTTAAAAACCTTGAAATTTTTTTTTAAAACTAGGAAAAAACCGAGAAAAAGACTTGAATTAGGAATTACAAAAATCATTAAATTTTAGACATTATTTAATTAAAAATTTCTTTAAACAATCAAATTCTTGAAAAACTATTATTATTATTATTATTATTATTATTATTATTATTATTATTATTACTGAAAAATTATTGATTTGACGAAGAATTTTAGATAAACATTGATAAATACTTAAATTTTCGAATAGTTCCTGTTAAGATTTTTAGAATTAATTTTTCAGAAGATTTGAAATTTTTTGTAAATTTGAGTTCCTGAAGATTTTTTTTTTAATTTTTAACAATAATTGAGTTTTAAAGAATTTTTAATTAAAATTTTTTTGCTAATAATTAAAGATAGATAAGATTTATTTCATTGATGCTACATGTTTTACATGTAGATGTTTTACATCTTTTGCTAATAATTGAAATTTCGGAGAAATTTGTTAAATTTCTTTTAATTAATTAAATTTTTGAAGTTTATAAGTTAAATTTTTTGTTAATGATTAAATTTTAAAAGATTTTTCCCCACTGTTTCAGACTTTCCTCGAATGCGTCAGATTACGAACTTTTAGTAAATATGGATTACAACAAATTCAAGTAGATACACATTATCTGCAATTATATTTATGGAGATTTGTTGCCGATGAAAAGTAATATTTTTATTTTCCTCTATACGTTTGTTAATTAATTTTCAAAAAAATTTCTAAAAAAAAAAAAAAAAAAAAAATTCTCTTTTATTTTCAGTTTGGTGTACTTTTTGCTTGATGAAATTTTAGAAAGCGCCGCACACAGATGCCTAGAAGCTGTCCTCATGGAACCAAGTGTCGTTGATATAATCTGCGAGAAATTAATTTAACTGTCCACTAGAATTAATATTATATATTACTATTAAATTTTCAAATATTTATCCCTATAAAACAATTTTTTTTAAATGATTGTACATTTAAAAATATTGTAAATAGAAATTTATATTTAAAACAATTATATTTATAAAATTACGTTAAATAAATAAGAAATGCAATTTTAAAGAAAAAAAGATATTTTCAGTTTTGGGAAATTATAAATGAATCGCAGGCCTCGGATTATACAACTTTTTCCGACTTTTTTTTTTCAAAAATACGATTTTTATTCGACTTATTTTAACAAAATGAGACTTTTTTGTCTTTTTTTTTATATTTTTTAAAAAAAATTTTTAAACAAAATACGTTTTTTCACTATACAATGCAGATCTTCTTCAGATATTCTTTATTTCAATTATTTAACAAATTTTTCGGGTAAATGTATTCGGGCAAAAAAAATTCGGGAATTTTGCATTCGGGCGAATGTACATTCGGGTGAGTGGATTCGGGCGAATGACCTGTAATCCTAAATTCTTCACTAAATTAATTTTTTTTTTTAAATAATTTTAATGAAATTGTTCACAAATTCAATTATCTTAAACTATTTTTCAATTAAAAAATTTTTATGAAATTTAATAATTGTTTATAATTTTAAAAAATTACCAAAAATTTTAAATTCAAAATCACTTAAAATTTAATTATTTTTTATGATTTTTAAAATATTCTTCAAAAATTCAATTATCTGAAAGCATTTTTGAATTAAAAAGTTTTTTAATTATTTTATTTTTGTCTGCGATTTTTAATAAATTTTTTAGTGAAATAATAAAAAAAATTTTAAATTAAAAATCACTTGAAGTTCAATTACTTTCAAAAATCAAAATTACAAATCTTTAAAAATTCAATTGCTTTTAATAAATGTTATCTAAAATTATTTGATAAATTATTTTTAGTTCTGTAAAATTTAATTATTGTCTGAAAATTCAAAAAATCTTTTGAAATTCAATTATTTCTAAAAATTTCAAAACTCTTCTAAAGTTATTATTTAAAAATCTGTAAAACTTGATTAAATATTGCCTGAAATTTTTTTTGACCATCAAAATTAAAAACTATGAAAAAAATTTTTTTTTTTTTTATTAAATTTAAAATTATTTATACATAATTTATATTTATGTAAGGGATTTGAAAATGTTTAAACTATGTACATAGTATACAAGAATAAAATACTACTACTACTAAAAAGAAAAAAAACTAAAAACTATGACAAAATTTTAAATTCGAATAAATTGATTAAATCAGACTTGAAAAAATTTAAAAAATGGAACTTTAAGAATTTTTTTATAGAAATTTGTCGTACTTAAATAAAATTTTGAAAATTTGACTTACAATTAGTTCGATTTCGAAATAAATTTTCTTGATAATATTCATTATAGAATTATTCTCATTACAGAATTAATAAAATAAATCTAATATATCTAATAAAATTAGTTATTTAAAGTAAAATATTGATGAACCAATTAAATTTTGTTAAAATAAGAAAAATCGACTTTTTCGATATTTTTTAAAATATAAATCAACTAAAACGACTTTTTTTTTGGTGCTTTAAAGTCGATCCGAGGCCTGGAATCGAAATTTAATAGCAATTAAAAATTATGTCTACGCTTCCTGTAAAATTGTTTGATACTTTGGTACGTCTGTCTCGACCTCCCACGCAGGTCGAGGTACCAGGGGTTGAATACAGTGTCAGAGTATATAATTTAAATGTCATGGAGTCACATACTTTTCTTCGTCATCTCCCTCTTTCTTCAACAAGATAAATAAGTCTTTCACTCTTTTTATACCCGATTAAAGTAAAACCATTAAGAATAGAAATATGGTATTTATAGTGAGGTCAAATGATTTTAATAATCATCCTTAACACTCTAACACACATTGGACTTTTGAATGTATCATTCAATTTTTAAGATTAATTTTACATCACTGCTCGTCTATTTTTGTTCATATCTAATCCTCTATACTATCTATTGAGACAGTTTTCTTCCATAAACGGTTTCATTGTAATTCTAGTATATTTGATAAAATTAACAAAAAAAAAAAAAAACAATTTTCTCAATTTGGAAAAAGAAAACCGATTTTTTTTCGTTTTTATAAAAAATAATAAAAGCGCAATAATTTGCTTTTACAAAATAGCAAAAATTATTTTCTTCATTTCAAAATGTAATACTAACAAAAAAAAAAACTATCGCACCTTTAAAACGCAATTAAATAAATAAATATCGTTGCAACTGTTTAAAAAAAAAATTAATGTAATATTTAAAAATTTCTTAGTAGAAAAACAATTACATAAAATTATTATTTAATACTTGTAAAAAAATAATATATGTCTAACCTTAGTCTGCAACTGATGTGTCATATGATAAAATGTGCTAGAAACACAGGCGATTTAAAATTTTTTAAACATAGCGGAAACCATGTTTTTAAATTAAAAAATAAAATATTTTTTCTAAAAATTTAATCGATTGCGATTTTAAGAATTTCGTACACTCCTGGTAAAAAAATACAGAACTAAATTCTTATTTAGAAATTACAAAATTTACACTCACGTTGACAACGTCTTAACAGGTTAATACACGAATCGCAACTGATTTAATTACCTTTAGGATTTACCATCCCAAAATTGTTATATGACCTTTAATTTAAGATAACCTTTGTATTTCAATATAAACAAAAATCTCGGAATGTAGGTATAAAGAGGTAATAAAATCCCAAAATCGCGTCGATATATTCAAAATATTTTGTAATTATAATTCTAAATTTCATATTTAATTCTATTTTATTAATTTATTATAATTTCAATTATTTTTATTTATATTGAACTTTAAAAATTTTTTACTTGAAGGTTTAATTTATCAAAAAAAAATCATATTTCTAGGACTATATCTTTTGCTGAATAATTTAAAGCAAAATTATGTATTTTTCGGAGAACAGCAAGATGCATTGTACCAAAAAATCTATCATCCCAAAGAATCTCAAAATTTTAGAAAAAAATCTTTTTTCATTTTAGAGTAAGATGGATACTACTAAAACACATTTTTCCATGCTAGATCACGTGGGAGGTTCCCACGTATACTCTTAAATTAAAATCTTTGGAGAATTTTAAGGTTTTGCTAATTTTTTCTAGCAAAAAGAAAAATTATAATTATAAATTATCTTGGTCAAAGCCAGATATGTTTTAAAATTGAAATTTCTTTGTTTAAAAAAATGTTTTTTCCTAAATTCAACAGTGACAGATCGATTAGTGACGTCTTTAATATATTAAATCTGCATTTATCTCCTCTTTTTTAAAAAATTATCAACTTTTGAAAATTTTCTCCTCAACTATAAATTCACGTCGTTTATTTTCCATTTTTAAGATTTTCTATAACTTGAATGACAATTCTGGAATTATACAAAAGTAGAAATTTTGAAAATATTTCGAATAATTTCAAAAATGTGTTGAAAGATTATTATTTTATTTTTTTTAAATATTATCAGCTATTAACAGATTTCTGAAAGAAAAACAATTAATAATTTTTAAAAAATTATATACAAACGAATATTCAATAAAAATATGAAATGCTACAAAGACTTTTTTTTAAATAAAAAAATATATATATGAAATAAAAAAGGATACAGCTCGTGTTTCACGTAGTACCCCCTTGGCGCGGCTTCAGTTAATTCAAACTTCCTCTCTCGTTGGATGAGATTCATTCTCCGAGTATCCGGCGTAGCCCGTAAGCCTACGCACCGCTTGCTACCCAATTTAATAAAGTCTTCTAAATTACTCTCGAGGCTATGTCGAGAACCAAATGAATTTCAATGAAAAATCCACAAGAATCACCCTCAAATTATCACACCAAATAAATACTTTCATTTTCTCATAATAATAAAAAAAAAAAAAAAAAAAAAAAAAAAAAAATTAAAAAACAATTATCAAATTGATAAATCAAAATTTAACATCTATTCCATACTCGAAGATAATAACAGTAATACATACTTAATAAATAATTATATAATAATAAAATAATAATTGAACATATCCAGAGAAAAATGTCTTTAGCAGTAATTAATTATTTTTTTAAAAATATAATTAAAATTTATCAAAATTAAATTGACCACTTTTTAACAAATCAATTTTTTATCAATTTATCTATTAAAATATTTTAATTATTATTATTTAATAATTCTTTTTTGTCATTACAAATTTTTCTTTTTTTTCGTAAATCCGTTTACTTGTAAATAAATAAATTATTATTAAAATACGAATTCATATTATTATTACTATAATAATAATATGAATGAATAATAATTAAAAATTTGTAAGAACAAAGAATTATTATTATTATTATTAATTATTATTTATTCATAGTCCACACCTTTCGGTTTCGGACGAATTTCCGACTTATATCTTACATATTCACACATTAAATATAATATAATCTTCTTTTTACCTAAATCAAATTAAAATATCAATAAACATAAAAATCGAATTTTTTTATTATTATTATTATTATTATTATTATTATTATTATTATAAATTATAAGAATGATAATAATTATAATATATTATGCAAACAAAACATAATAATTATGCAATGAAAAATTTGACAATTCCAAAGGATAAAGATAATGTGATGTAGTTTAAATTGATCAAATATATATAAGAAAATTAAAGTATGACTAAAATTTAAAAAAAAAAACTATTAATTTATAAATAAATACCGAAATAAAGTGAGGAGACAAATTCATGTAATAAAGACCAATGTAGCACAAGAAACATATGGCACACGTGATCTCAGAAAAACACCTGTGCATGTGTGAATCTTCTGTACTCTGTACATTCAGAAGAGTGAATTTCCAATGACATCCATTCCAACGTAAGCTGCCACATAGATACTTCCAACATTACATTTTAAGTATATATAAGGTAAGAAATCATTTTTTTCTTTTTTTTTCCCTATCAAAAAAAAATAAATAAATAAAGAGCGTAATTTTTTTATTTATACATTTAAAATTATATTCCAAAGAAATAATAAATTAAAATTTAATTCAATAATTAATTAAATAAGATGAAAAACAATTGATAATTTATTTGAAAAAACTTTCTAAAATTTGTCACTGTATATATAACGTAAGAATAAATATTGTTGAGTAATACAATGTAATTTTAGTGTTTAAAAAAAAAAAAAAACCTCAACTCATAAAATATTTGGTACTAGTGATAAGAAAAAAAATAAATTACATACTCTTCGAATCTAGAAAAATTTTAGTGTAAAATTTTTTTTTTTTGCTTTTTAATTATAATTTTAAAATAATTATTAGAAAACATATTATTTAAAAGAAAATAAATTTAAAATTCCTTAATTGCAATTTCAATTTTAAATATTATACATATCATAATTTACTTATTATTTATAAAGACAGAAAAATATTATTTTTTCTTTTCCTTTTTTTAAAATTTACAATAAATTCTATTTTCTACATGAAAATTAGAAATTTTTAACTTTATCTACAACACTAATACTATCAGAATGTAAACTTGAAGAATAGTAAAACAAGATAATATATACATTTAAATACATGTTAGTTAATTTTGTCAAACATAATTATATTACTATTTATTTTAGAAAATTGTATTTTTTACTTCCAAATTTAAAAATTTAATTTCACATTTAAAACATTGGTTCATTGATTAAATCTGAATATTTATAAAAAAAATAAAAATAGTTAAATCGAAAACGTAAATTTTAATCTCTAAACTAATAATTATTAAAAAAAAGAACAATACTATTATAGTAATATCAAAAAATATATTAACTATTATTTAATAATCATGAAATACTTTCATTAATTTTTCGTATTTGGTTGAAATGCAACATTTAGAGAAAAAAAAAAAATTCTATATCGCTACCTACAATAAAATAAGAAAAGAGATCACAAACCTTCGTGTTGCGATTCGAGTCGAGTAATTAATCAATTAACCCAACATTTGTGAGTGAATATATATATGATGACGTGTCCCTCGAGCAAAAATTATACCCGCATGTTTCCACTAAAAGTTTCTTACTGCTCAGGACGATGATCCTCCGCAATAGGCAATCCCTTCTTTTCTTACATCATCAATTTAAACAATATTTGCATTTTTTTCTTCAAATTCTGTCATCTAAAAATCGTATTACATTATTATTATAAAAATAAGAACATTTTATTATTATAAAAAAGCATATTTATTTGATTATCAAATCGAATTACAATCATAATTATAATAATTGAGACTTTTATTTTTTTTTTTCATATTTTTTTATAAAAAAAATTTTACCAATTCAAAATGAAAGTTTCAATTAATAATCTCCTATGAAATTCAATTATTATTTCTAAAATTTTTAACTCGAATTTCTTTTAAAATACAATTATTTCTAAATTTTATATCTAAAATTGAAATTGTTGAATAATTTAATTTTATAAATTTTAATCAAGATTTTCGAAAATTCAATTATTTAAAATATTTTCCAATTCAAAATTCTCAAAAAGTTTAATTTGAATTAAAAATCTCCTGAAATTCAATTAGTTAGATACAAAAATTTTAACTATTGCTCTTCCAAAATTCAATTATTTCTAAAATTTTCAACTTTAATTTCTTTTTGAATTATTTCTAATAACTTTAATCAAGTTTTTCAAAAAATTCAATTACATAAAACGTTTTTTAAATTATTAATTCTTTAAAATTAAATTTTTGTTTATATAATTTTTAAAAAATTTCAATAATTCAAATTTATTAAAATTTTAATTGAAAATTCTCTGTAATTCAATTATTTCTAAAAATTTTATTTAAAATTATTCGCTAAATTAATTTTTTAAAATTATTTTAATACAATTTTTCAACAATTCAGGGAAATAAGAAATTTTTTAAATAAAAATACTCTAAAATTCTATTAATCTTTAAAGTTTGTAAAAAAAATTTATCAATAAAAAATTTATGAAATTTTCAATTTAAAATCTTCTGAAATTTAATTACTTAGAAAAAAATTTTAACTCGAACTCTTCCAAATTCAATTAATAATTAATTAATTAATTGAATTTTTTCCCCAAATTTGTATCTATAGGGTCAGTTGGGGTAAATGGGGACAAAATCGCTATTTTGCACAAATTACGTAAGTTTCTTCCTTTAAAAGGTAATATTTGCGGGTTTATTTTTTTTAAGTTGTTATTTACATTCCCAGAATTAATTTTATGCAGCAGAAAAAAATTTAGATAAGCTTTAAACGCATGAAACTGACTGTCCCCCATTTACCCCAAAATTTAGAAAATTTCATAAAGTTTGGGGTAAATGGGTACAGCATAGTTTCTAAGAAACTTTAAGAAAAAAGTTTCCTTAAGTATATTTCTGTATTAAGGGATGAAAAATCTTGAAAAAAAAATTTGTAGTAGATATATATAATAGTTGAACCAATTGAAATTTTTTTATTTTTTTTTTATTTCAGTATTTTGTCTCGCATTTGAAAAAAAAACAGACTTAAAAATCATACCAAATTTTTTTCTTATTCCTTCTGACTCCCATAACTGAAATTCACTTGAATTTTTAATTTTTGTCATTATTAAACAAATTGATAAAAATCAAAAATTTAAGTGAATTTCTGTTATAGGAATCATAAGAAATAAAAAAAAAATGTGTATGATTTTTAAGTCTGTATTCTTTAAAATGCGAGACAAAATACTGAAACAGTTTGACTTTGATTTTCAAGTTTTTATGCATTGAGCGATAACTTTTTTTATCTTGCTGCCAATTGTCAAGATAAAAGCTTGGCAATACTCAAAACCTCTTGCAGGTGATCTAAGGTTAAAATATTGACGTTGAACTTCATTTTAAAACTGTAAATTAAGCTCCAAAACCTCTTGTCCCCATTTACCCCAACTGACCCTATAATTCTATTTGTTTAATTATTTATTTCAAGAGTTTTAATCCAATTTTTGAAAAATTCAATTATTTAAATCGTTTTTCAATTAATTCTTTATGTTTACAATAAAATTATAATTTTTTAAATCTCAAAAAAATGCAATTATTTCTAAAAATCTTAATTTTAACTTCATCAAATTTTAATTATTTAGAACATATTTCAGTTGAAAATTATCTAAAATTTAATTATTGTATGAAGTTTGTAAAAAAAATTTGATTTATTCAAATTTATAAATGTTTCAATTGAAAGTCTCCTTACATTCAATTATTTTTAAAAAATTTTCAAAAATTCAATTATTTTACAAATTTTCATTTAAAATTAATTATTTTTCTATAATATTTAAATGAAATTCTTTGAAAATTAGTTATTTAAAATATTTTTCGAAATTCTGAATTCGAATAATGTGCATAAATCAGACTTGAAAAAATTTTCCTTTTTTTATGTAACTTTAAATTATTTTTGAAAATTTGTTCTGAAACTGAATTGAAATCTTGAAAATTTGTCTCAGTTTAATTCGGTGGTTTAAAAACAAAAATTTTTTTAAAAATATTTCTGTGAAACACTTTTTATTAAGGAATTAATAAATTTTATTTAATTTCTAATAACAAATTGATAATAATAATAAAATATTTATCAACTAATTAAATTTATTGAAAATAAAAAAATGGACAGAGACTTTGTAAAATGTTAATAAATTACTTTCTTTGCTTTCAAAAGACGATCCGAGGCCTACAATTAAAAAAAAATGTAAGACAATAAAATTTTTAGAAGAAAAAATTTGAATTGAAAATTTCAAAAATTATAATTTTAATAGCATTTTTCGAAATTTGATATTTTTCCAGTACTTTTTATAAAATTCCCTGATTTTTCCTTGATTTCCCTGAAATTGATTACCCTGACTTAACAAAAATTTTTAGCTACCAAACTTTTTGTTTGACAGAATTTTTATTTTCTCGTCATTTAATTTACATGACTTTTTATTAAAGAGAATTTTAATTTAGCAGAATTATCATTTAATTAAATTTTATGATACGAATTTTTAAATGACAGAAATTCTAATTCACTGATTTTTAATTTTTCCGAATTTTTAATTGATAGAATTTTTAAGACGTCAAATTTTAATTTGTCCGAAATTACAAATGTTCGAACAAACAATCGACAAAAAGAATTTGGCGCAATTTTTGAAATTGACCAATAATTAGAAATTATCAAGAAAATTGTGATTGGTCAATTTTAAAAATTGCACCGAAATCTTTCTGTCGATTGTTTATTCAGCTATTTGTAATTCTGGACAAATAAAAATTCAGCGTCTTAAAAATTCGGACAAATTAAAATTGGGTGAATTGAAATTTCTGTCATTTAAAAATTCGAATAACATAAAATTTGATTAAAATGAGAATTTTGCTAAATTAAAATTCTCTTTAATAAAAATTCATATAAAAAAAATGTTTCTAAAATAAAAATTCTGGTAAAAAATCGTTAGCTAAAAATTTTAAGTAAAAATTTGTATAAAAAGAAATTCTATCAAATGCTAATTTGAAAAATGAAAATTCGTCTAAACAATAATAATTTTTAATAAAATTCTTTAAAATGAAAATTTTAATTAATGATTTTTATGTGATAATCATATACGCCCTGAGAAAATCTTCACAACACGACTAAATAGTTTAAAAATTTTCCAAATAAATTTTTGAATTTTGGTTCAGCGATAGAAAAAAAAATTGCACAAGCCTCGGTTGACTGTATCTAAAAATTTCAATATATATTTCCTTTAGTCACAAAAAAAATTGACTTTTAAATGGATATTAATAGAATTTTAACACCACAATATATGAATAAGTTTATTGACCGTGAATTTTCGTTTGTTAGGGGAAAGAAAGGGATATAGTATATGGTATATACAAATATATATATTGTATGGGCATTCACAGCGGAACCGGAATAGGGTAAAATAATTTTTAATGGGATTCGGAGTGTGAGCCCGCATGAGAAAACATTGATAGAAACTTTTTTTTTCGTGAGATGTAGCATTGTAATTATATTAAATATATTATAAAATACAAAGTCTTGATACCTCTCCTTCCTTGATCACGAGAGATCTCCTCTCACACAGGAGAATTCCATGACGATGATGATGATGATGACGACGATGGGGGCTCACATATAGCCAATGTACCATTAATCAACAAACTGCCCTTTTCTTCCGTCAAACTAACTGCTCCAATACACACCCTCATTGTTTGCCAATTTACCAACGAGGACCTATTCATAGTCTTCAAACCGTAATTTGCTTTGTGAATGGCGATCCTTTTCTCGTGCCTGCAGTTATGTGAATAGGAATAAGAATCATATAAGCGATACCGGAAAATAAATATATTTTTTTTCTCTCATTCATTTACTTTTACTTTTGTCCATTCAAGCAATCAAAGTCAATTTTATTTTTTTTTAATGAAATTAATAATTGCAAAATTATGTGAAAAAAACTTTTTCAAGGTCTGCAATAAGTATATAAATATAGAGTTTTAATAAAATATTAATTAATATAATACAGCATTTTTCAAATTAGCTAAAAGTAGCAAATTTAATTTTCAATATTAAATTGTTTTTTTTTTTTACTCCTACAGTAACCAAAATAAGTTTCTGCAAAATATTGAAAGAAAAAAAAATTGATTGTTAAAATTATCCAAAGTTTAAAAATTCCAAAGTATATATTTTTTCCAAAATACAAAATTTCAAATGTAAAAAAGTTCCAAAATACAAAAATTTCCAAAATACAAATAAAAGTTTTTAATAAATTATGGTAAAACTGAAATAAATAAATCAAAAAATTGCGATTAAAATTGGAAACGATAGTAATGGCTTTTAAATGTCCTAAAATGATATGAATTTATACTAAAATTTTAATTTAATGAACTAGTGTTTTTGCTTATTTTTTAAAATAAACAGTGATAATTTAATAACAGTCACAATAAATTACAATCACTGAAATAAAACGAGGAATGCTGTCTGATTCTGAATACGTAAAATAGGTTAGGTACGCGGTCACTACAATTAGGCGCACACTTTGCCACTCAACTGCTTCTTGCACTAAGAGATGGCGCCACATTCACTTCTATTATTACATTCTTTTACGTGAAATAATCGACAGTTTAGCACACTTTAAGGGTATGTGGGCAAAGGACGTTTTTTTGTGGTTTGAAACTTATTCTGAAATAAAAAATGATTTTAGATTAAAATTTTGGAGAAATGATTTTGTTTGGTACAAGGAATCTCGCTATTCTACTCATTTACCATAACTTAACGCAAAAATAATAAAAATAAAGCAATAAATAGTAAAATAATGTATTTAATCATCCCAGATAGCAGGTAAGCTTGCAACATCTTTGCGGCATGTTTGCCGCGCAATATTGCCAACTTTGCATGGCAAGTTTGCCGCAAGATTGCAGCAAGCTTCAAATGTCCCACCTAACCCAAGCTTGCATGGTAAGCTTGTCAAAAGATTGCAGTGTAAGGTTACTGTAAGATTGCACAGTAAGATTATCGCAAGATTGCATGGTAAGCTTCTCAAAAGATTGCAGTGTAAGGTTGTTGCAAGATTGCACAGTAAGATTATTGCAAGATTGCTCAGTAAGCTTGCACGGTAGGCTTGTTGCAAGGTTAGTGCAAGGTTGCCAAATAACCTTGCCCAATCAGCAGAGAAGTTTGCATTGAAAATAAGGACTATGCGTTCTTGCAATCATAAGCACTTACGGCTGCGCAGTACATTTTTTTGACCTCCCAGGAACTGGTGCTCAATGTATGTACAAAAATTAATTTCCTCCCCCCCCAAAAAAAATTTTTTTGTTATATTCCGCAAGCTTGCGCAAAGCTTGCCATAAGGTTGCCGATAAAACTTGCATGGCAAGCTTGCTGCAACCTTCTGTGCTGATTAGCAAGATTATTTGGCAACCTTGCAGCAATCTTGCCACAAGCTTACCGTGCAAGCTCACTGAGCAATCTTGTGATAATCTTACTGTGCAATCTTGCAGTAACCTTACACTGTAATCTTTTGGCAAGCTTACCATGTAAGCTTGGGTTCGGTGGGACATTTGAAGCTTGCGACAAACTTGCCATGCAAGGTTGGCAATATTGCGCGGCAAGCTTACCGCAAGGTTGCTACAAGCTTAAGTGCTATCTGGGATAGCTCATTCAGCGGCCACTCCCTTGAATTGGTGCTGTTTACTGGAGCACTGACACACTCAAGTAACGTCTGTATATGCGCCGCCATCTTTGTTTTCATTTTTGTTTAAAAATGCCACTTTTTAAACATCATTTTTTAATAATTTTACTCAAAATTATGTATTTTTCGGAGAACAGCGAGATTCTTTGTACCCTAATCTATAATCCCTCAAAATTTTAGACAAAAATCTTTTCTCATTTTAGAGTGAAACGTATACTACCAAAACACATTTTCCCATACTAGAGGTCACGTGGGAGGTTCCCAAATAACCTTAAACACGTAAATAAAGTAGTTATATTATTTCACAAATTCTAATTTGGATTATAAAATATATATATATATATAATTTAAAATACAAAATTATTAAAATAAAAAATAAAATAAACTGTAAATTAAAATTTTCTAATAAATAACTAATATTTATGAAAAATATTTAAAAAAAATGTAATTACTTTACAGAAATTAATTATTAAATTCTGATTTTTTTTCAGTAAAAGAAGATTTTTGAATATTGTTTACGAGTGAAATCAAGAAAAATTTTGGAGACGTTTCGATTTGTGACCGCAACAATAGGCGAACAATAAAACCGCTTGTTGCTGCGTTCACAGAGTCGGACCATCTTAAGTTTTATCAACAGAAAAAAATCACAAAAATAATCATTGCAGTTATTTTCTCGATTGTAGATAAAAAGAATTACAAACTACATAAGAAAACTAGAATCGAAAATTCAAATATAGGAAAAATAAATTATCATTTTAACTGTGCGGAACAAAATATTTGAAAAACAAACAGCATTACATTAACTTATCTATAAAATATCTTTCAAAAAATAGTGTGAATCACCAAAAAAAAAATTTTTGTCCTTCAGATATAATAATGTCTGCATTTTGACAAATAATGACTAATGCTATACTACGAGAATTTAAATAAAGAGTAAAATAACTATAATTAAATATTATTTTATCAAAATTTCAACTTTATCAGTTTTTTTCTCGTATATATATATATTTTTGAGTATTAATCCTTCCTGGTGCAACTATTTTTAAAATAAAGAAGGATATTTTTGTTTTTAAGAAAAACATTAGTAAGTTTTCACCGAATGTGTGCGGTGTGAGCGGAAGACTTTCAAATTTTATCGGATTTGAATGCTAAGTAGTAGTGCCGTAGGTGATGGATTTAAAATTCACCTCGACACGATTACTTTGCACGCAAAGATGATTAATCATCAATATTATTTCTTTTCATCAAAATTTGGCTGAATGTAGCATATATTATAGATTGAAATTTAATAAAGTTTCAAATTATGATGATAATTTTCAAATTATATATGGAAATTCATAAATCATTCAATTATAAAATATAACAACGTCAAAAAATGTTTACACTGAAGTAAATAAAATAATGATTTTAATTCATTATAAATTAAATTAATTATAATAATGGGTAAATTAAATTAATAAAAATGAGAACCAATTAAATTAATAAAAATAATGGCTAATTTTTTTTTTTTTTTCTTTTTTTTTTTTTTAGTAGTAGTAGTAATTTATTCTTGTATACTATGTACATAGTAAATGACTAATTAAATTAATAAAAATAATTATAAATCACTTTTAAAAAATTCAAAATTTGGACGTTTTCTTTTTATTAGAAATTAATAACAATTTTTTTTGGGTTAACAACTAAATCTAATAGTGAAAATTTTAATTAATTTTAATTACTCATTAAATCCTGATTTGGATTATTTCGAAAATTATTCACCAAAATTTACAATAGAACTACGAAAAATTCTATTTTTAAAAATTTCTATTCTAAATTCTAACCTGTAAAATCTTTATTTCTGTCACTTTTTTATATTTTCTTTGAACTTTCTTTCTGTGCAAAATTTTTAATAACATACTTTTTTACTAGTTGTTCCCTTCCATTACGAAATTTTTTGAATAAAAATAATTGTTTAGGGTCAACTGGGGTAAATCCGAACGCTTTTAGTAAGTTTCAACAATAACATAAGTTTTTTCTTTAAAAAAAAAATACTTCCGGTATTCTGGTGCATGAAGTTGTTACTTTACTTTCATAGAACAATTTTATGGGGTAGCAAAATTTTTTGATAAATTACAATCGCAGGAAACTTAGCGTTCGTATTTACCTCGATACTTTGCAACTTTCCTAAAATATGGGGGTAAATACGAACGCCACTGTATTTCAGAAAAATCTTAGGGAAAATAAATTTAAAGTATTGCAATTGTTATTATATAAAAACTCAAAAAAAATACGATAATAAACCTATTATGTAATAATGCATCATATATAAATACAAAAATCAAACAGGTTAAAAATTAAAATGCATTACACAATTAAAACCTTCAATAACTTTATCAAATCATAACGGATTTTTGCAAAACTTGCTACAAAAAGTATTTTGGAGTGATTGAATGTAAATACAAAAATAAAAGTCAAATTTTTTAAATTCAAAATGGCGGACTTTCCTAAAACTTATTTTTAAAAATGATCAAATTTGCTAACCCTGAAACCCACCGAGTAACAATTTTCGAGCGAATCCAATGAATTTTTTAATTCTCGTCCGCCATTTTGAATTTTGAAAAACTGACTTCAAATTGGTAATTAGCGACCCCAAAAACCGTAGAATACCAAATTTTATTAAGATCCTGAAAAACTTTTTTCAACAAACCATTTGGCAAAAAAATTGAAACACTCCTTCGAGAGAACAGAGATTAAGTTTCTGCTTATTAATTACTAACGAGGATACGTATAGAAAGAAAAACTTTTTTCTATGTACTTTTATAATGTTAAAATAATAGTGTAATCAAATAAAAACAATTTTGTGTGGCTTTGATGTAAAAAAAAATTATTAAAAATACCGTTCGGATTTACCCCAGTTTTCCAATTTTCTTGGGTAAATACGAACGGTCTGATATTATTAATAAAATTTTACAGAAGGCAAAAATCAAATATAGTTTCTGTTCTAGTATTCATAACAAACAATTATAAATAATAAAATGAATTTTTAGCTTCTTTTTCTTCAAATACGAGACAAAATACTGAAAGAGTGTCATCTTTGATTTTCAATCTTTTTTGCAATACTTGTTATCTTTGTTTATGCTGTTGCTAATTAACAAACAAAAAATGGGATAATACTTAGAATCTCTTCAAGAGGATCTGAGGTAAAAATTCTCATATCGAACTTATTTTTAAAAATTTTAATTAAGCTGAAATAATTAGCGTTCGGATTTACCCCCCGTTCGGATTTACCCCAACTGACCCTATTTAAGCGAGGTATAACAATAAACAATGAAAAATATCACAAAATGAAATGAAGCAATTTCACGTGAACTGATCGATTATTTTTTTAGTGTTGTTAGCAATTTTTATGAAACTTTTTTTTCTTCTAATGTGAAGGGTACTAAGTGATAAAGTGAAGATGATTTTGAAAATTTT